TGCTAGAAAGTTACAAAAGTACGTTAAAAAATTTTAAAATTCCAAAACTTTACTCTTTTTTGGTCATTTTTCATACATCTTGACCAAAAAGTCCAGAATGCTTACAATTTTTAGAATTTTTTTAGGATAGCTTTGTATCGAAAAAACTTTTGAAAACTGAGAAGAGCCCACATTTACTGTCAGAATTAGTCTTGCAAATTATTTATTAAGGAATCGGAGTTTTTTGGGGTTCTTGCGCATTATCGGGGGTGGACCGCGGGTTTTTCAAGGAGAGAAATAATGCCTAGTATCCAGAAATGCCTAGGAGCGTGATAGTAAATGTTTTCCTTAGAAGAAAAAAGTTGGTCCCCCGATACATCGAAGGAACGATTTTAGGTGATAACTATAACTGTGTACTTTCCTTATTTTCCCTGAAAAAGGTTTGAATGGCCGACCCAGGGGATCCTCCCTCTGTATGTCTCTGTATGTGTGTATGTACAGGGTGTCTCAGGATTATTCGGACAAACTTTCAATGCCATTTCTTCCTATTTTTATCCTGTTTTATGAGCACACCGTGTAGCTCCTATCAATCTTTGAGGTAGTTTTGAGGCGCTGGCAAAGAAAAGTGCCCGAGGTTCCACCATATAGCTTCGCAAAAAATCGAAGAAGTTTGAACCTAATTTCTCCCACCTGGCAAACGCCCAAAACGCATGCTGTTTCCGACGCTATAAAAAGCTTCAATATAACCGGAATAACGAAGAAACCACAGGAAGAGGTCGGAAATGATAAGTCCATGCTCAGCCCGTCCCAAAAATGCTAAGTTGACTCTAGGAAAAAATCAGCAAGCAAAAATGATGAATTAATGGCACGCGCCGCCGTATTTACCTTAACAGATTTGGCCCGGAGGAACCCTAAAAAACCCGATAAGATACTTTTCAAATAATAAAACGATAAATATCTACAGTAACACTGATGTACAAGCAATTTAAAGAAAGTTAACTTTAATTTGTGAGGAGCTTGAGCACGAGCAAGCTGCGAAAAACCCTTATCAGCAATGCAAAGGAAATCGATATAAAATTCAAAAATAATCATTGACATGACTAAACGTTGGCGCAAACAGGTCCGTTTTACCAGAAAACGTCATCTCTTACCTAGAAAAATGTCGGAACATTTTTTGAATCTTTGCTCCAAGTTTCGTGGTATTGAAGAGGTGAAAAATATTACTGCGTTCTTCGCTTGATTCTGAAGCCATTAATGCGCCTTCGAGGAATTTTTTTTTGCTCAGGACATTGAAAATGCCTCAAAAACTCATATGAAATACATTAGGTTGGCAGAAAACAGCGGTAAATGCGAAAAATTGACTTTTTCGTTTTGTCCGGATAATCCTGAGACACCCTGTATGTCTGTTTGTTTGTGCGTGTGTTGACACAGTTCCTTTTATCGCCTCCCCTCCCCCCTTCCCCCTGGCGGTCCACAGCATTCTCGACGTCTTCTTGTCCTTCCCAATCATTCCCTCACCCTCCGATCCACATTCCACTCTTTCCCACCCTTTTTGCAATGAATGGCCGCGTGAATCGAAGCACGTAAAAGTCTGGTCTTATGCTGGGAATTTCTTGCCTTTTATCGCATGTTTACTATAGAATTTTCTATTTTTTCGGCGCCGCGACACGCAACGCGCACGCCACGTTTCCATAACGTAACGCATGCCTAGCAGCCTCTTTAAGGCGGCGTTTCTAGAGAGGGCGTTAGTTTAGGCATTAGTTTAGAGCTCCTGGATCTTTTTAGAGACTCTCCAAGCACTCTTGGCTTTCGATTCCCGCTAGTTATTTTTGGAGCTTTTGCATTATCCGGGGGGGGGCATTTTTAAGTTGTAATTTCTCATTATAACGTTGTTAAACCGGAAGGGTTTCTAAACCGTTTTTCTTTTAACTGCAACCCTACAAATTTTTGTGAAAAAAAGTGCCAAAAATTCGGGTTGTCGGCAAAATTTTGAATTGACAAAAATTTATGATGAAACATTTTTTTAGTTAGTGGCCATTGAAAATAACGAAATCTCACAGTGGCCGCTGACTCATGCCCCCAAAAAATGGAGGGGCGAGATCTGCATATTCAAACAGCGCGGTGACAATCAACAGGCTGTATTTGGCTCGTCCCCACCTTGAAAGTTCAATGGCATTTTGTCATTGTCATATACTATTCTTTGTTTTTGTGCGCATTACGACACCAAACAACGTTACAAACTACGTTTTTAACTTCTAAGCTTACCACGAAGCTAAGCCAAGCCGTAGCTTCGCTTGATTGATGACCAGGCCTGGCTGAAGCCAGTTTAAGCTCATAGAAAGTCAACCCTACGCCCCGATAATTGAGAAACCGTGAAAAATGAAGATTACCGCAAGGTTGAGAATGAATATAACGGCTCGGGCTTGCGCAGCAGACTTATTTGTGAAGCTAGCGGCTCAAGCTAGCATTTTATGACAAAGCTAACTTTTGAAGATTTCGACGAAAGCTCGACAGGGCATGTTGCCTGCCCGCAAGCTCAAGAAGATAAGAAGCCGCTTAAGCCAGCATTTCATGGCGTGGCCAGCTTCTGAAGCTTGCGCCGCAAACTTAGGAATGGATGCCAAAACACCAAATCTGTATGCAAATATTAGCCCTAATTTTCGACATCTGCGAAGCGATCCTTTTTGTGTCCGTGTCGGTAGATGCGATGCGTAGATCCGCAATCCATCCAGGTTGTCGAGATTCGAGATTCGGGTGGTGCGGAAAGGCTGTCGAGGCAGTCCCTCCGATGGAACGGTGTGAACGAGCCGTGAATGCTTTGATGTCCGCCCTCGGCCCGGCCTCCTGTCCACAGTTCTCCCCCGTACACACACCTCACCCACCCATTTTAGGGAGGACGGCTGCTGTGAGGCGGCTTGCGCACACGCACGACCTTTGACTGACCAGGTTGTGTTTCTCTCTCTCTCTCTCTCTCTCTCTCTCTCTCTCTCTCTGTCTCCCTCTCTCTCGCCCCACTTACAGCGAACACAACTCCCCTCCAACCACCCCACCGCACTCTCCACCTCCTCCCCCCTCTAACAAGTGTGAGCGCCCGCTTTTTTGAAACGGACCCCCTAGGGCGCTTTTTCTTCTTTTTCTACGAGTGATTTTCGGCTTTACCAACCGGCTTCGACGTCTAGAATCACTTCAAAATCTCCGGAATTCCCCGGATTTCCTAGTTCTTCAAAAAAAATCAGATACTTTCCCGTTTTCCAAAAACCCACCTTGCGCAAAAATTCCTTTATTTCGAGCTGCACATACTTTAATGCCTTTTAATGTTTACCAGGGTTGAAAAGCCGCTTCGCGACTTTTCAACCCTGGCCCCTACTGACCCATGAAATTCTTCACTTTCCATAATACGCCCCTAACTGCGATGAAAAATAATGAGAAACGATCTCTCTGTCCCTATATATAGGCTACTGCAACTTCCGGCGTATGCTAATTTTTGCTAACAAAGAGGGTGGCCGAGAATTTTACAAAAACTTAAATTTAATGTCGAAAACAGCTGAATTTTTAAAATCTCATATGTGTGCAGTCATCTCCAGACCATTACGCATCTAATGACGTATCAAACACACCTTAAAAACCTTCCCTTTCCGAGATATCCTCCGGACAGAATGACGGAAGTTGCATGCAAAGTGGCACGGACACACACACAGACACTATTTTTTTATACATAGTAGGATTCGCGCTTTCACGATTTTATAAACGTAATTTTTCATACCGTAATCGGTTAGCTTTTGGCGCCTTTTTTGCGCTGAACGTCCGGAAACCTTTTTAAGACCTGGAAACTTGGCCGAAAACCCAGATTTTTTCCTATAAAGCGCTACAATATTTCTGGCGCTCCTTTCAATAGTGTTTTCAGAAAAATTTAGCCAAATTTCACGCAAAACCAGCTTGAAAACTTGAAAAATGCTTAACGATTTGGAGTCTCGGTCGAGAATTGGTACCCAATTTTTGGACGAAATTTTTTTTCTTGCATTATCCCAATAAAATTCTTCTGCGCCTATTTTAAACCTAAATCACAGGCAAAAAAACGTTTATAAATTGGGCGGTTTTTGCCGGAAATCCATGTTTTTTTATAATTCCTAAGACTAAACCGAAACTTTGGCCCAATAAAAATGAATTTCAAATGCAGTTTTTTACCTGCAGGTTTATAATGCTGCCTTTTTAAAGTTTAAAACTCTAACTTTTATCCGTAATTCACGGTTTTAGGACTTTTACTTTTTTCCTGCTGTTTTAAATAGCGTAATCGATAGCCTTGAGTGTTTTTTTACGAAATGTCGATCAAAACTATCAGCTAATGGGCCCTATTTTTCGTTTATACCCCTCTTTTCGCATTTGGCCTTGACACCAGCAAGTTTGAACGCCATTTCCGCCTCGCATTACGCGTGCAAATCCCCGGCCAGGGCCCGTGTTTTGAAGCATGGCGTAGCGGGTTTTTTGAAAAGTCTTTGGAAATCCAGGGAAAACAAGTAAATGTGTATTGGGATTCGAGATTCAACGTGCTGCAAGGTCGTTTCCTAAAATTTCCCGTTATGACCGCAAAAACACCGTTTTAAAACTACAAAAACTAGTTTAACAGCTGTGCGTTATTTTTCGTGTTATTTTTGTTCGTAAAACAATCTCTGGTCTGGAAATGTGCACGGGATCCCGTAAAATCCCACGGTTGTGCACGGGATCGCATGAAATCCCGCGTAACCCCGCGTTTTACGCACGGGATCCCGCGAGCCGAATTTACGCAGGGGATCCCGTGATTTGTGCACGGGATCCCGTAAAATCCCACGTTTGTGCACGGGATCGCATGAAATCCCGCGGAATCCCGTATTTTGCGCACGGGATCCCGAATTTTGCGCACGGGATCGCACGGGATCCCGCGGGTAAAACGTGCGACGTCCCGTGCACATTTCCAGACCAGAGATTATTTAAGTTTTTCAGCATCTAAATTTTCTAAGTACGTTCTAGATAGTTTTTTTTTGCAGATGTCGTCGCTATTTTCGCGTAAAAAGGACAAAGACAAGGATGAGATGCCGGTGGTGGCCAAGAAGCCGCCGGTGCCCCCGAAGCGGAACAAGCTCTTCTCCTTGGGTGGGTTCGGCTTAGATAAAAATCGTATTTTTAAAAACTCTGATGTTTTATGTTCTGTTAGCTGAGAATCTAGCTTTTCGCCTTGTAAATTTATGCGGTACTGAATCGTTAACGGGGGGGGGGTGGCATTTTAGCCGATTTTCCGCCAATCTCCCGGCATGACCTTTTAACTAAATCTAGGCCATTGTTATGGTATTTACAATGTTTCAAATAAAAAAACATAGGAATAAACTACATGGTTTTTCAAGTTTTTGAGTCAGAAAAAGCCAGATACGTATCAAAGAAGACGAAAAAAAATCGATAAATGCGAATTTTTCAGAATTTTGAAGTTTTTATAGCTTCATGGCGATCGGAAACTACTAAAGATCTTATAAAAAGACAATATATATTATTAACTGAAAGGTGTAGGCGAAAAATCAGCCCCCCGCTAACAGCCCAGTACCGATTTATGACGGTGTCACAATCAATATTGTAAAAATTTAAATATTTTGTGGCACAAAACTAATCCATTTTTTTAGAAACTCGAGAAGAAGAAAAATATATCTCATAGTGGATCTTCCAGAAATGCCTGTATAAAGTTTAAGGCAGCCCGTTACAGGCTCATCCCAAAACAGTCGCGAAGGCCCCCCACCCGCCGAGCCGACGAAGCCACTCCCCTCATCCTCCGTCTCCTCTAGCCAGAATCTCGACGATTCGACGCGCAGTCGAGCCAGCACTAATCCAGGTAAGTCCGCAAAATTAGAATTCACAAGAAACGGTCTGAAATCACTAAATTCTTGGCAGCGAACTAAAAATGAAACTATTGTTTTTTCAATTTTGCTGGCTCATGGTAGTTTTTTCAAAGAGTTTGTTTTTGGTTTTTGCCGCGACAGCGACACGCAACACACACGCTAATTTGCGAGATAAAATCACTCGTAAATTACGTAGAGATATTAAGAGTCGTAATCCATTACGCAATGGAAAACCGCCTGCTTTGCGAATCGCGGTGCCGCATAATCCGTGAAAAAGCCATGCCTTGCCAGGCCCTTTAAAAGCGCCCGGCCTTGTATGGCGCAATCGTTTACGGCAGCTTTATCGATAGGAAACCCATGCCTGGCCAGGCCCTTGAAAGGAAAAATCCAGGCGAAAAATGGAGAGTTTTTAGGCCCTCAACCGCTGGAGCTGAACTACGGTAATGTGAGGGACGAGGAGACGTTCGCCCAGCGGATGCAGGCATTTTTGCAGAGTTCTAATGGTTAGTTTTTGCGGTCGCTTTTATTATTTTCAATTTTAAAATTAAAAAATGTAGATTTAACAGGAAAAATGAGATTTTGGAAAAAGGAAAATTTGTTACAAATTCGGCAAAATTAGCAAAATTACGTTATAATTATTACAAAAAGTCCTGACTTGAAAAAAATAGTTGCATTAAATAGGTTAGGGAAAAGTAGCCGGCCGCCAATTTGACCATCCTCTGACCATCCTCACCTTCAGCCCCCCGGGGGGTGTTTGTCTGTTTGTCCAAAGATTGGCCGCCGCTCTCTCTCTCTCTCTCTCTCTCTCTCTCTCTCTCTCTCTCTCTCTCTCTCTCTCTCTCTCGAGTTTGCAATTCGCATCTTTAACGGGAGCGTTGCGCGGGATCGCCTTCTCGATACCCCATCAAAAGTCTTCAGTCTTCAGAAGAGACCCTCTACCCCCTCACGTTCCACATCACACTATCGACGCCTCATTTCAAGCCATAATTTCCTATTTTAATCACTTGAATTAAAAACTTAATTTCTAACGTCCCTCACCATTTAAAGGGTCCTGCAAGGCATTCATAGGGATTTTGCTGGTAATGGATCCCTTATGGATTTTGCGACCTGCCATATGATTTTTATAGTATTGTTCCCATCCCTCTAATGGCGTAGATCCCCTCAGAATGCTGCGATTTTCACCAAAATCCGGGTTGTGATTTGCATATAAATGGGGCGGGGGGGGCGTTTGCCCGGTTGAGGAAGGGAACTCGCTTTTGGTACGGGTATAATCTGCGCTACGGACTGTTTCTCTCTCTCTCTCTCTCTCTCTCTCTCTCTCTCTCTCTCTCTCTCTCGCTCTCTCTAGTCTCACCCTCTTTCTCTCTCGATCTCTCGCTCTCTCGCTCTCTCTCGCTCTCTCTCTCTCACCACTGTCCCTCTCTCTCTCCTGCTCACTCTCTGATTTTATCTAACGCTAAAATTTGTATAAGACCGGAAAACTACCTGGAAAATTTTCGCTCTCTCTTTCTCTCCCCCCCCTCTCTCTCTCTCTCCCTCCCTCTCGATTCGATTTTAACGTTAACATTTCCCCGATTTTTTTGGCGCCAGATGGCCCACCAGATCTCTGGTATCACGTCACGCACGATATATACGGTCTCAAAATGGTTGGCCGGCAGTGATGGGAATGAGAGCATTGTAAAGTGTGAGGCCTGTGGGGCAGCTACAGGTTTTTTAGAAAATATTGGAATCTGAAACTGAAATCCAAGTTTTAGCTGTGAATACGGATCCGCTGTCGCCCACTCAACCACATTCAAGCGCTGTTTTTGGGGCATTGAAGGTGAGAGAGAGTGAGAGAGGGAGAGAGAGAGAGTGAGAGAGGGAGAGAGAGAGAAAGCGAGAGAGAACGAAAGAGTGAGCAAGAGATAGACAGGCATCTAGAGACAGCGAGCGAGATAGAGAGCGAGACAGAGCGAGTGAGAGAGACAGAGCGAGCGAATGAGAACTCTATCTATTTTTTTTTCAGGATTTTGACCTTCCTGGCCTAAAATTACCAGCTCTCCAAGCTGTCCAAGTCAACCAACGACGTCTCCAGCTCAAACGAGGCCTAGCAGGTCTGTTTCTAGATTTAAATTTTGTAAAACTCCTCCTTTTCTAGGCGATTTTGGCTTCACGATTCGCCGGGTGCAATTCCCGTTCAACGGCGTGCTGAAGACGATCGTGTTCGCCGAGCCATCCGAGATAAAGCCCGGCCCGCCACGGCCGGATGATATTAAGTAAGTGGTTTAGAGGATGCTTATAAACCGGAAATTGGACGAGCGTTTTCTCTACTACCGCAATCATAGCTTTTTAAATCTGAAAATTTACAAAAAAAAATTGCTAAATTTTTTAGGCTCTGGGATAAGCCTGAATTTTCAGAAAAGGCCTCCTCCCCGGTGATCAACTCGTCGAAATCGATGGGAAACGAGTGGATGCCCTGAATCGGGATGAGATCAACGATGTTGTGCGGCAGGCTGGAGATGTTATTTGTGAGTTTTAAAATTTTAAAGAGGGCGGAAAACTTGGTTTCCCGCTGCTAACCCCCCCTCCCCCGCTAAAAGTCCAGTACCAAAAAACGAGTTCCAGCCCTAACCGTCCGTTCCGTACCTGAATTGGCCGAATTCTGCGATCGCCACCGTGGGCCGAGAGATGTTGGGGATAGTCTACTCCTGACTGATGTTGACACGAATGCGCACGAGGTATTAAATGGACTGGAAGGGGATAGAAAAGACACTTTAGAATATCCCAGAGGATGAGAGATATTGGCTGATACATCGAGGCGGATATACGGTGGCTAGGTTGAAGGAACATCTGCCTGATGGCAGGGCATTGGTCGCTGTCGCTGGTGGGTTTTTGGAAAGTTTTCTCTGATTCTGTCTGTTTGTCCCTCTCTTTCTCGCTCTCTCTCGCTCTCTATCTCTCTCGCTCTTTCTAACTTTCTCTCTTTCCCTAACTCGCTCACTTTTCGCTGCTCTTTCAGGCTTTACCGTTCTGCGTCCCCCTCTCTCTCTCTCTCTCTCTCTCTCTCTCCCTCTCTCTCTCTCGCTCGCTCTCACACACTCCCGTTCCCTCTATCACTCTCGCTACCTCTAGTTCTCCCCCTAACTCGTGCTCAGAGCGCGGATCTCTCTCCCTCGCTCTTTCTCTTGATCTCTCACGCTCCCTTCTCTCTCAACCTCAGTCTCACCCTCTCTCGGGCTCTCTACTTCCGTTAATCTCCGTCTCTCTTCCCTCTCTCCCTGTCACTTCCCCTTTAAACCCTCGATTCCAGGCCGTGAAATGACAGTCGACCCAACAGACGTAGACCGTGCCAATCCCTCACGCCTTGATCGAGCCCCCGATCTTGCTCAACTCCGATACCTCAACGAAACTGGAGCTGTCCATCTCCTGAGACAACGGTCAGTTGAAGCTCTAATCCTCTCGAAATCCCCCTTTGAATTTCAGTGGTGGCAGCAATCTGTGCTATACAAATGCTGGCAGTGCATCTCTGATATGTCTGGCAACGACACAAGAACCCGGGGTTCAAGAGAGATTGTTGACGCTGTTTAAGGTGGGTCAGCTAGCGGAGCGAATTTGGGAAACCGGGGAGCTAGCAGGGGGTTTTGAGGAATTTGGAGATGGGTCAGCTAGCAGAGTACTTTGAGGAGATCGTTACCGATGGTCGGCTGGCAGAGAGAGTTTTGGAAAGGGAAAGAGAGAGCTTGAGAGAGAGAGAGAGAGAGAGAGAGAGTGAGAGGGAGAGAGGGAGAGAGAGCGAGAGAGAGTAGAGAGCATGAGAGAAGGAGAGAATGAGAGAAACAAGGAAACAGAGAGACGGGCAAATTTAGAAGCCAACTAGCGGAAATCTTTACGGAATGAGGCTTTTTTTTGGGCAATCTAGCAGCGATTATTTGAGCATTTTCCAGGGTTGCCGCCGTGGCCAAATGCCGCCCCATATCTACGCGACGGCCCAGCAGGTCTACAGGTGATTTTTGTGCGCTCAAAACATGGCTTATACCTCGGAATCAATTCCCAAAATTTCCAGATACATCCAAATGACGGCAAGCCCGCAGGCCGTGCTCTTCACCGGAGTTTCCGGATCCGGAAAATCCGCCCAGCTCCGCTCGTTTGTACAGTACCTGGCGGCAGTGGCTGGCTGGACCAAGACGTTGCCCTGTAAGTTATTCTATCGTCGACTTATTAAGCCAGAAGAATATATTTAAAAATGTAAAAATCCATCAGTTAAAAGGCCGTCCGCGAGTCACTCGAACAGTTCCCATTATAGCTTGGCACAGTTTTTTTCGACCCCCCATTTTTGATGCCATCTGATAGAGCGTGGTCGAATTAGAGGAATCGCACTAATTTGGGATTTTTAAATTAGCATTTTCCTGGTTAAACAAGGCGTTAAAGTTGCCAACGTCCAAAATTTATCTCGGCGTCCACTTGACAGAATTGGCCGAAATTTTGTGACTAGGCCTAACTTGGGATGAGGATCATTTTTCTAATACATCGCGAAGCACGAAAATGAGCAGAACCTAGTTAAATTGCATAACCAAAACAGTTTTTGGCGAATTTCAAATTAACGGCGAATCGGCCGCAAACTGGAATTAGGCTAGAAAGATGCGCAAAATTTTTCTGCATCGATTGATGTATTATTTAGGTGGCGGCCAGGTCGCCGTTTTCTCACAGCGAGCTTTTTATAGCTGAAAAATGGTCAGAAAATCTGACTAAAATGAAAAATTTTGCGATTTTCTATGTTTTGACCCACGGGATCATATTTGCTGATCACGCCAAGCTAAACGCAAAAATTAGCAAAAAGAAATTCGACATTTGAAGGGGAGCTTGTTTTGGGCGGGAATCGAACCCGGACCCTCCGCCTGGGAGCCCGGTGGCGCAGTGAGTAGAGCGTCGGCGTGCGAATCCAGAGCCGCCGCCAGTTCAATCCCAGCTCCCTCTCAGAAGCCGAATTTCTTTTTGCTCTTTTTTGCAATCGACTTGACATGTTTTCTTGATGCGTTTTGACTACTCCGATATGTAAATACCACAATATTTTCCATTTTAGTCAGATTTTCAGACGATTTTCAGTTATAAAAAGCTCGCTGTGAGAAAACGGCGACCTGGCCGCCACCTAAATAATACATCAATCGATGCAGAAAAATTTTGCGCATCTTTCTAGCCTAATTCCAGCTTGCGACCGATTCGCCGTTAATTTGAAATTCGCCAAAAACTGTTTTGGTTATGCAATTTAACTAGGTTCTGCTCATTTTCGTGCTTCGCGATGTATTAGAAAAATGATCCTCATCCCAAGTTAGGCCTAGTCACAAAATTTCGGCCAATTCTGTCAAGTAGACGCCGAGATAAATTTTGGACGTTGGCAACTTTAACGCCTTGTTTAACCAGGAAAATGCTAATTTAAAAATCCCAAATTAGTGCGATTCCTCTAATTCGACCACGCTCTATCAGATGGCATCAAAAATGGGGGTCGAAAAAAACTGTGCCAAGCCTTGTTCGGGTCTCTCGCAAACGGCCTTTTAAATTAGATTTTCGTAGAGTATAGATTTCATTGTTATAACTTAGCTTTAGATCCGAAAATCGCGGACGCGTTCAACATCCTCGAGGCGTTCGGCAACGCATCGACGACGTTGCATCGAGACTCGACCCGATTTGTCCAAATGTTCCAGCTGGGCTTTGATAAAGCCGCAGCGTTGAGGTGAGGCTTTTAAAGAACTTGAAAGAGTCAATTTAACCATGTAATTGTTTTTATATTTCATAGTGCTAATTAAAAAAGTTACAAATTAAGTAGTTTAAATTAGATTTAAAATTCTACCTCGATTTTTAGAACCGCAAAAATCCAATGTTGCCTTCTGGAGAGTGATCGTGTGGTGAAGAGGCCCGAAGGGGAATCCTCATTCCACGTCTTCTACTACCTGTGGGCCGGTCAGTTTTTGAGGGTTTTTTTAGTTCAATTGAATTTAATTAGCCGATTTAACGGAATTATTTGGGTCGACTTAATTGAACCATAGAAGAAGAAAAAAATCGTGATTTTACAAAGCCATGACATAGCACATTTTTCGGTTTAAAGATGATAGACAAATTTAAAGAAATTTCTTGGGCTCTAAAACCCTGTGAAAAATGGCTATTAACGTTAAGGTAATAAATATTTACGGTGCAAGACGTTATGTCACGTCATTTTTCTAGGCGCCGATGCCGAGCTTCGCCAACGACTTGGCCTCGATTCGATCGAATCCCCAATGATTGGGCCGATACCGGGCGGTGAGGCCCGTCAACAGTACATCGAGGTACGACTCTTCCAAGTTAATTAAAGCCTGGATTTTAGATAAATTTTGCCAGTATATTTTTTTGATATTTCCAGGGCTGGAGCCGTCTGCTTGAAGCCTTCCAATCCCTCGGTTTCACCCGGGCTCAAATCGATGCGATCTGCTCGTTGCTGGGCGCTCTTTTCCACCTTTGCAGGTTTGAATGAATTTTCTAATATTTTGGGTTTAAAGGGACCGCAAAGAGATAAATATGAATTTTGTGCGGCCGCGACGCGCCACGCACAGCTCAGCTTTTAATCGCGTTTTACGGCGTCGAAGCGAGCCTTGGCACATTTCGTAGCATATCCATAGCCAAAAATGACTTGCACGTCCCTTTAAAACTCGTTCAAACCGTCCAAAACCCCTGCTTTAGAGCCGAAGCCTCGCCCGGCCCGGCGCAACGTTCCCAATTCCTTCGCGCACCTCACGCAAGACAAGCAGCTGCCCTGCTTGGAGTCAGCGAAGCCGAGCTGGCCACCACCATCTTCCGGTCATCTACCGGAGCGGCCCAGGCGAATACGAGTTCATCGCTTAGGTCGGTTTTAAGGGCGATTTCACGTACTCTCTCTGTCTCTCTCTCTCTTTCTCGCTCTTTCTCTCTTTCTCTCTCGGTCATTGAAATTACTCAACCTGTCACTCTCTCTTTAAACCCCCACTTTTCAGCCGTATGTCCCTGCTAAGCCGTGGTCCCGAGGGCCCCGAAGCGCTCTCCGTCTTCTGCGCGGCCCTCTACTCGGAGCTGTTCGGCGCGGTGGTCGATACAATCAACGCCGCGCTGGCTGTAAATATGCCCTGTACATCGGTTACGGTTTGTCTTTAAGCTCGCTTTCTCACTCTCTCCCTCGCTCTCTCTCTCTCTCTCTCTCTCTCTCTCTCTGCTCTCTCTATCGCTTTTTTTAGCTGATCGACATTCCGGGCGCGAATTTCAACGCTGCCTGGGGTGAAGAAGGGCGAAGACGTGCTTCTGGCCTGAATGATCTCGTGTACAACTACGTGAATGAACGAGTGGCCGAACTTTTCCACGATAAGGCATTTGCAGAGATGGATCAGGTAAGGAAATCTTAAGATTAAGTCTGGGCTAAGCCGCCTAAGCCGAAAAACAACCCAATTGTTCATCTTCAGCTGTACACACGCGAGCAAGTGGATGTGGACGTGGAAAAACCGCTCGGCTCGCCGCACGCCCTGAATCGGCTGCTCGATCAGAAACAGCACTTGGTACGTCGTTTTAAAGGGATGGTGACAGGGCGGGAAACTCAACTAGACGGCCTGTTTCTCAAGGATCTCTGCTAGCTTGTATTGGCGTGAATTTCGTGAGGCATCAAATAATTTCTGCTTGCTTGCCTGGCCTCTTTTCACTGAAATTCCTAAAGAGTTTCTGCTAGCTCTTTTTTACACGCGCGTTTTTCTAAGAATCTCTGCTAGCTTACCCCGACGATCTGTACACGAATTCCTCAAGGCACTCTGCTAGCTGCCTTTTCTATGTTCCGGCAAAGATTCTCTGCTAGCTTCCCAAAGAATTTCTGCTAGTGCTTGTTTGTTTTTAGCTGAATTTTGAAGGGCCCTTTTTCGTTGAAATTTTGATTTTTACCCGGTTCCGGAAAGTTTCTGCTAGCAGATCTCGCAATTTTCGGCTCCATTTCTCAAAAAAAATCATTGCTAGCTTGCCTCCTTTGCCATCAGCATTCTTTAAAGGAACGTGGAAGGCAAACCGAGTCAATATTTGCTGTAGATTTGCCTTCAAGACCCCCTTGACACCGATTTTCAGGTGAACTGCACGGATGTGGACCGTCGATCGGACGAGATGCGTGGGGTATTTCCGATTGTTGAAGAGGAGAGCTGCTATCCGGGCGCCACTGATGAGAGCATTGTCGATCGCATATTTATACATCTTGGGGACCAATCCAGGTATCGGCTACGCGGGAAAACAAAGATTACAAATCGCATTTGCCAGCGCTTGCTGGTTTTAAAACTTTCAAATCTTAACGTAATCTGCGCGGAATTAAGTAGCGTAATCAGATGGAAAACGGGCAAATACCATGGCAAAGGATACGCAAAGATATCCCGTACACTATCGTAATCAGAAAACGCATTGCATTCTACCGTATGGAGTAAAAAACGTCCCGTAACCTGTCTCTTTGAAATATCTTTGTAGATTCATCCGTCGTGCCACCCGTCAACGCCAATTTGTCGTCGCCCACGGCCTCGATTCCCAGCCGACCACTTATGACGTTACAGGTACCGTATATCTACCGTACCTCAAAAATACCCATATTTTAGGCTGGGTTCGACAGGCACAAGCGAGCGATCCATCCATTGGGCTCCGGAAATTGTTGTATGCCAGCAATAGGTGGGCTAAAAGTTGAACGCGAAGCAGAGATACGCGCGCGCGACGCGTATCTCTGCTTTTCATTGCGTAATCGATTGTACCTTAAGAACACGTTACTTAAATAAACAAGAAAAAATAAGACAAAAAAGTTTTTAGTGCCACGCTGCGAGAACTGCTTGCCCCGAGCGGACTGTCGGCTGGCGATTCAAATCTGAAGCTACGCCGGGCCACCCAATCCGTTACGTCATGTAAGTTTTGCCTTGCTCGTCCCTTTAAAAGGGATGTTTTTCAACCCGTTTCAGATTGTCCCACTCCCTTTAAAGCGCTGCGTATTTCTTGGTGGCTCTAAAGGGACAGGGACAGCAAGAAAATCGAGAAAATAACCAAAATTTTCCAGTCGACCAAGCCGGGCTTCTACGGCGCCGAGAACACGGATTTGCGGCCAATCTTGCCCATCAGATCGTGAGTTTTTCGGATTTTTATAACATCAAAAATCGCTACGGTTTGCACCGATCGAACGCAGGCGTAAAAGCGTACTGCCATCTACCGTAAATCATAAAACTGGGCTTTATTCTGCCGTAATCAGTAAAGAAAGGTTATATAAATTATCGCGATGCGTATAGAACGTACTGTAAACCCCCGTAGTCAATTAAAAAACGTACTTTCATGTATAAAAATCATAAATTCGTAAAAAGCGTAATAATATCGATCGTCATCGGCAAAAATTACTATTAACAACCGTAATCAGTAGAAAAACGTATTATAGGATACGGTAAGCGCATAGAATGTACTGTAGCCTAGCGTAACCAGTAGAAAATGGAAAAAACGTGCGACTGTCGCCCGAAAAACGTAAAAACCAGATTATTTCTGCCATAATCAGTAAAAACCCGTCATACCGTAACCGGTCAAAAATGTACTGTAATCTATAGCGATCAAAAAGCAATGTACTGTAGTCTACCATAATCCAAACAGTTCCTTAATCGACCGTAAGCGGGAAAAACGTACTGTCATCGACCTCAATTAAGAAACAATCTACAGTATCTACCGTAATCGATAAAAACCGGGTTCCGCCATTTTCTTTTTATCTTCGAACCTCGCATTTTTCTCGTTTTTGCTATAGTACTACGTTTCGTTCCTCATTCCCCCAGCATCAAAGATGCCCACGCTTTTTTTGCTGGTAAATCGAGGCTTTTGCCCCTCTACCCCCTCGCCCCCTCCCGCCCCCATTACGCCGAACAACAAATGACGGTCCGAAGGGGAATCCGTAGATTCAACAAGGGTATTCGCCCCACCATTCACTACTATTTGTCCCTCATCTGTGTGGGTGCACCAAGGGTTTTTGCGGGGGTAAATGGTCTCTGCTTGCTTGCCTAGGGTTCGGGGTAATGCTAAAGGATCTCTGATAGCTGGCCTAGGTGTTTTGATTTTTCCTAAAAGATCTCTGCTAGTTTTCTTTGGGTTCGGGCTAATCCTCTAGGGTTTCTGTTAGCTTGCTATAACAATTTGATCCGTCCTAAATGATCTCTGCTAGTTAGCCTTGGGGCTCGGGTCAATTCTAAAGGTCTTTGCTAGTTTGCCTTTGCGATTTTATCCGTCCTAAAGAATAGCTGCTAGCTTACTTTAGCATTCGGATCCTTCCTAAAGGATCTCGGCTAGCTTCCATTAGCGTGTTGATCCATTCGAACGGATCTCTACTAGTTTTCCTGGGCTTTTCAATTCGTCCTAAATGGTCTCTGCCTGTATGCCTTCGGCTTCACGTCTGGAAGCTGTCTTTTTCGATAAGAATCCCTGCTGGATTGCCTGTTTCCTATTCCAGATTTCGCCTTTCCTAACATTTCTTTGCTAGTCTTCCCAACCTTTGCAAATTCTGCCATTTTCTTAACAGTCCTTGCTTTCTCGTCCGTTAGGATCGCTGCTAACTCGCCCAATGCCTTAGAAAAATGAGCTCAATTCCCCAAGATCTCTGCCAGCCTGCTCCACGCTGAAAAATCAGGTTTTGGAGGAGCAGCGTAAGGACAAGGACTCTCCCAATTCTCCAAGAACCTCTGCTACCTTACTGCCTCTTAAGGAAAATTTCAATTTTCAATACTCTGTGCTAGCTTGCCCTGGTTGAATTGACATCTTGTAGCTGAAATTTCCTCAAAAATCTCTGCTAAATTACCGGCTTCCTACCTCTCCCCTCAAAACATCATTTATTCAAAAGGGAAAGTGTCGTTAGTTTGTCTTGGCAGTATATGACTTTCTCTTTCTCTCCCTCTCTTCTCTCTCTCTCTCTCTCTCTCTCTCTCTCTCGCCCCCATAATTCCCTTTAATGTGCTGCTCATTAACCCACCCCCTCATAAATGTTTGACATTCAACATTCTCGTGTTCCTCGAGGAGCATTCATTCTTATATTCTCTTTCCAAAATACTTATTTTTTTTCTGTTTTCGTACTCAGTTAGGGCGGTCATTTTTTTAGGAAACCTGGTTCCCCCGTAAAACTCGGTGAATGGTGGAGTATTTCCGTAATCACGGCAATGTAATTCGCGAGGTGAGATCCTAAAAAGGGCGGATTTTTTGTCGCTTGTTTTATTTAAATTAGTGTGTAGAAGCAGAGAGATTGAGGTGTTCCACATACCCGGGAAAAATCCTAAAATTTGAGCCACAAAATCCAGAACCCAATCCGGCTGCCTGCCGCTGGTGATTTGATTCGATCCCCGGGGGTTGGAAATGTCTTGTCTTGTCTATATCAGCCAATATCGGGAGAGAGAGAGGAGAGAGAGAGAGAGAGAGAGAGAGAGAGAGAGGGAGGAGATTTCACTCTTCCCCCGAAACACCGGGGCAGCCGATCGGGCGGCGTCTCATTTGCATACGGGATCCATGGATTGTATTTGTCGCTCTTTCTCTCTCTCTCCCTCTCTCTCTCTCGCTTTCTCTCTCTTTCTCTCTCTCTCTCTCTCTCTCTCTCTCTCTCTCTAAATTACAATGCGATCCAAATAACCGCTCAAAAACTGTCATTAGTTGTCGCTCGTACTCGTCAACCTATCAACCCCATCAACCCCCGATTTTACGATCCCAACCTACATAATATGGACTTATATACCGTAATTATGTCTGAGAAATGTCTTATGATGTTTTAGAGGTCTCTTGATCAATAAAACGCTTTCTAAAATTTAAAAGTAGTGCACTAAAAATATATACTAGGCCATTAATAAATAAAATCAATATCTATAGGATATATATACATTCTTTAACCTAAAATTTCCCATTTAGGACTACGTCTTTTCCGTTGTACGCCGCTCACCTCGTGCCCATTTCGTGCACTGTATACAGCCGTCGCCGAACAGTGGAAGCTCTGCGCAGGTTTGTGGAAAGGAAATCTAAAAAACCCTTTTCCCAGATGCTAGCCTCCGGGCTTTCGACGCAGGACCCGGTGGATGTGCCATTTGTCAGGGGGCAAATGCGAAGTATTCTGCTGATCGACACAGTGAGAGCGAATAACAGGGGTTAGTACTGTAACTTCAAGCATACTGCAAATTTCGTTGCGTAATGGGTTACGCGTTTTTAGCAGCGGAAACGCGGCGTGCGCGTCGCGTGTCGCGGGCTCTTAAAATGTCGAATCCATAGGGAAAAATCGTATCCATGCCTTTCCCGTCCCTTAAACCACGCCCCTTTTTCCAGGATACCCCGAGCGAGTGTCGTTCCGTGATTTCCGGCGTCGTTTCGGTTGTCTGACAGATGATGGCCATGGCGCAGCGACGATCGATGATGAAATGGATGGTAATTTTAGGGTCAAAACTCAATAGAAATCTCTTTCTCAGACCGAGCGGCCGTCCAAAAGATCATGGATCGAATGGATATTCATGCGCATCGCTATCGACTCGGCATCAGTCAGGTTTGTGGAGGGAAGGGCAAGCTAGCAGGGATTCTTGTGCAAATTCACCCCGAAACACAGCCTGAAACCCGCTTCACTTTTGTTTCCAGGTGCTGCTCCGCTCCGACGTCCTTTCCGAGCTGGAAGACCGCAGGGATCTGGGTCTCTCGGGTCTCATCGTCGCCTTCCAACGAGAAGCCCGTCGTCACCTTGCCACCAAGTGGCTACAGAAGCGTCGCGTACTCGAGACCGCCATTCGGTGCATACAGGTTGGAATTTGAGGTGTGAGCTGCAGCTAAGCCTAAGCTTAAACATAAGGCTAAACCGAAGCCCAGAACGAAGCTTAAGCTTAAGCTGACGCCGAAGCTGAGACTGAAGCTTAAACCGAAGCCAAGCTTAAGCTAACGTCTAGCCCAAGCCTAACAAAGTCTAAGCCAAAGCCTAGATCACGCCTAAGTTTCCTAAGCCACTTAAGCTACTTAATTCAACCAATTTCAGAAAAATGGTCTCAGCTACATGCGAGTCCGTGAATGGCCATGGTGGCGTGTCTACACTCGTGTACTCCCTCTTCTACCCCTCAATCGAGTAGATGATGAACATCGAGAATGGGCTGAACGTGTTCGCCAGCTTGAGCATCAACTGGCCGTCAGCAAGAAGGAGAAGGTGAAAAATTGGCTTCATTTCGCCTGAAAACGTATCGTTTTAGTCGCGCCTCGAAGGAAAATGCTCGGAGATGGATGAAGCCCTGGGACGAGAAGCCGACGCAGTTGTTCAGCTACGCGGCGAACTGGAGGCTGAGCGTCAACAGCGGATGGTTGTTGAGAGAAGAGCCGCTGATGGGGATAGACTGTCGAGAGTATCATCTGTTGCTCATTTTGAGGGAGAGGGAAGGGAGAAGGAGTGGAAGATGAAGCTCGAACAGACGCTCGAACAGCTGGAGATGCTCAAGGCGAACACGCAGCGGACCGTGCAGCAGTTGGCTGAGGTAATTGTTGGAGTTATCGGAGTTATATAACTCTAAAAATCAGTGAACTGCTTGATGACCTCGGGCTTATTTTCCTAGTGGAGCATGAATCAAACCGTCTAGTACAATGTTTTAATCAGTATTAAGTGAACTTTTCGGTGAAGCCGTGTAGCGAAACTTAAAGGGAAAATACAGTGAACTTCTAGAAGACGCACTATCTGAGCTGCTCCATGACGTCGGGTAATTTTATGCCTAACCTAAAATGAACTTCTCGGTGACGTTTTGTAACTAAATTTAGCGAGAGCCCTAGTGAACTTCTCCCTGACGTAACACATTGCAAATTAACTCAAAGAGCCAGTAAACGTAGCGTAGTTAACTTAACGTAGTTGCGTGTGGGCTTAAAGACCGACGAACTGCTCGCTGACCGGCAGTATTTAAACCTAGACGCAGAATCTGGTAAACTTCTCCATGACGCCGCGATATGAATTAAATTTTTTTAGCGGAGTGAAAATTTCTTGACTGAACCGCTCCAAAATGCGGTATTTCAGGTGCGCGCCGAGCACGAGGAAACGCGGGCCCGGAACGAAACACTGGAAAAGAAGCAGGCAAGATTCGACGAGGAGCTCCGTGCTGTACAAATGGCGGCCGAGGAGCAGAGGGTCGGAAAGGAGAAGGCGAATCGAGAGAGGGATGAGGCGCAGCAGACATTACTGAGGAAGAGGGCCGATTCGGAGGTGGGTATCGAAACTCGAAAACCAGATCGCGCCCTTAAAACGCAAAAAAAAGATTTTTGATGGTTGAGCACCAAGGTGTAATAAGAAGCCTTTTAGGCGTTGAAATCGGAGAACCAAGAGCTACGAACGAGCATCAGCCGGCTGAAGAGGGAAATAGAGGAGGCGCAGGAGAAGTGGGTGCTTTTCGAGCTGTTAGTGTCTCTCCCTTACTCTCTCTCTCTCTCTCTCTCTCTCTCTCTCTCTCTATCTCTCTATCTTGCTCTATCTCGCTCACTAGACCACTCTCGTCCCCTCCTGCTCTCGCTCACTCTCTCACTCTCTTGCTCATTGACCCCAAGCGAGAAATTTCTCTCTCACTCTGTCGCTCTTTCTCTCTCTGACGCTCTCTCATCCGTCCTATCTCTCGCTCGTTCTCACTCTCTCATTCTCTTGCTCTCTCTCTCTCTCTTTCTGTCTCGTTATCATTTAAGCCAAATTCCCCAATAAACCCTGCTGGCATGCCGACCGGCGAGATGTGTGCAAATAACCCAGCCTGCAACTGAGTACGTTCCCTACGGAAACGCCGTTAGTTAGCCCCCCCATAAGAGATAAGTGCTAATTCCTTCCCCAAAAATCCCTGCTAGCTTGCTAGGTTTTTAAATGCAAGGCTGGCCATGGCAGAATTTTTGGAGGCCTGCTAGCAGCGATCCTTGAGGAATTCTCAAAACCAACTTGTTCGCTAATAGCAGAGATCTGTTGGGGAAATAGAACTTTTCTTGTGTTAGTATTTCGGCGTATAGAAGGGCATTTGGTGTGTATCGTAGTGTCGGACGGGCGGAGGACGGGGACCCGTTCATCCTACCTGCAAATAACAGCACAGAAGAGAGAGAGAGAGAGAGAGAGAGAGAGAGAGAGAGAGCAAAAAAGAAGAAGACGTGCGCCGTCCGTCCCCGCCATCCTTGCATACTCCCTCTTGCCAATTCACCACCCCCCGGTACACAATGCTCCTATCGGCAGATGCCGTACAGAGTTTCGGAACGTTTTTTTTTCTTGAATTCGGGATTTACCACAGAATCATCTGTAACCACCCCTTAAAAATATCTATAGGAGCGAAAAACAAAAGGTCGGTCTTTTTCTTTCGGGTCGGTATTTTTCTATTTTCCTCAAAGATCTTTGCTAGGCTGCCCTCCAAAAGCCCTCAACGATACTAGTGCCGTTTTCCTCAAGGGTTTCTGCTAGGCTGCCCTTGAAAAATTTTTGAATTTATGGTTGGCGCTCTGCTGTTTTCCTATAGATTTTTATTAGTTTACGTGAACTACTCTTTTCTGTCGACTTCTGACTTTCCGGTACCTTAGAAAACTTTTTACGGGTCGTTTCCTCAAAAATCTCGGCAAGTTTGCCCCGATTTCCAACTTTAATACACCTTTAGAAGGTTTTCATGTGGGTTTCCTCAAGAATCCCTGCAAAACGACCAAGAATTTCGACTTTTCAAGATGCTCAGACATTTTTAACGTTACTTTAGGAGACGTAAAGCTTTTTTCAAGCTTTTTGAAAACCCCGGCGGCCATTTCCTCAATGGTCTTTGCTAATTGTGGCCTAATAAAATTTACCGAATAGTGCAAATCTCGCTTTTTGCTAAAACGGACCCTGCACGGCCATCCAAATAACGTTTTTTGTATCTTATATTTATTTTTCCATTTTCTGACTCATTCTCACAAGCCACACCCATCCATCCCCCCCCAAGCAGCCCTGAATTAAAAAGGCGGCCAGAAAAAGGCGAGAAAAACGGCATAAATCAATTCAGGGACGTGCTCGGCTAGCCACTGCTTCATATTTTGCTTTACCATTTTGTCGTCTTACATTCAATTGTTTTAAAAATTTTACGCTAATTCCGGAAGTCACCAAGCTATAACCCCTAAATTTTCTGTCATGAAATATTTGAAACTAAGAAAGTTATGCCAATTTTTGTAGGGAGACATCGGCGGACGCGGTCGAGCTGGTCCAATTGCGGAAGGGAAAGAGGGAGATGGAGACAAAACTTCACGATCAGGTTGGTGGCGTTTTAAAGGGTTGAGGTAGGGAGAGTTTTCGTAAAAATAGACGGAAAAATCAGGTCGAAAAAGGTTTTTTGCTTTAGAAAGGCGAAATTGCCGCGCATTTCATGTCGTAATTTCGCTAAAAATCAGGGTTTTTGATAGAAAAGGGACAAGAAATTGATGTTAACGCTTCGCTATAGCTCCCTTACGTTTTGTACGCGCCCGCGACACGCAACGCACGTGCCACTCGGATGCAGTAAAGTGGCGTAATCGATTACGCGATGGAACGGTGGGCGTGCGCGTCGCGTGTCCTCAAAAAGCGGCAAAATCTATACGGAAATCTACGCAATCAACGGACGAAGCGTGCCGCGTTGTAGCAAACCCCTTAGAAAATGGATAAAAATGCCTTGAACGCCCCTTTAAATCTAAGCTTTTAAAGGGGCAGCGGCAGCAAAATTTTATTTGCTACGCCGCTAGCCAGCCGCGTGTTTAGCGACTTTGGTGTCATGCTCCATTTAAAACCCATTCTGTTCAGGAAGAAGAACTGGACGACCTGGCCGGCCAGCGGCAATTACTCCAACAAAATGTGACTCGATTGGAGATGCAGCTGGAGCGGATGAAGGTATTTGTTCTATTTTGCATTAGAATTACCGTATGTTTAGAATGACCTGTCGCGGAATAGCCAGGCGAGAGATGTCGAGACCGAAGAGTTGAGGGCCCAATATCAGCGGAGGGTGCGTTTTTTTAGCTATAATAGAAATTATAAGTTCAAACGTCTAAAATTTCACATTTTTTTTAGTTTTAATAGCGTAACCGGTTAGACCTAATGGGTTTTCGCGTTTCAAAAATATTGATTTTCGGCCAAAAACGCAATTTTGGTCCAAAATTCAAGCTTTGAGATAGTTTTTCTGCCCGAAATATAGTTGAATTCTGCTAAAAAACCTCTTATAATACTTGCTATTGGGTTAATAAGCATTTATAGACTTCAAGGAAAATGTTTTATCCCCTCCAAAAAAAAACTTTATCAAAAAAAAAAAAACTTTTTAAAAAAAAAATATTTCCCCCCCCCCCCGATAATGCAAAAGAACCCAGTTCAAAAATTGGCAATTTTCCAAGTGAGACCCACCGGTACAAGGATTTTCCCATAGATCCCCCTGATAATGCACAAGTACCGAATTCAAAAATTGGCCATTTTCCAGGCGGGACCCGGGCGGTCTTTTCAAATAATCAGTGCAATTATTTGCGGGTGCGCAAACTTTTGTTTGCCCTTTGTTCACACCCCCCGCAAAAGAGGCAAAAAGCGGGGTCTTCTTGTTCTCGTGTTTGTCTGTCATTTTGTTGGTCTTGCTTGTCCTCTCCTCCTATGCCAGATGGCTGGCTGCAACAGTTGTATATTTGCGTACAGTACAGTACTGTACACTGTACACAGTACACCCCTGTACACAAAATACTATTTGATAGGGCGTTGAGTGGGGGAGGGTCTTTTGGGTTAAAGGGTTTTGCAAGAGCATCATTCCATTCGAACGAACGAAAATGGCCCTCCTCCCGCTATCCAATTATATCTACTATTTGGAGCCGGTTTGGGGGAAAGCTACGGCCAATTATGATACGGTATGTTCGTAAATAAGCGGGTTACTCCGTCAAAATTTCGACATTTTAAAATGCCGTAATTTCATAGTATCGAAATTCCACATTTTGCAGAACCCATCCACGGAAAATCTCCCAAATACGCGGCAAAAAAACCCTTGAAATTCTCGATTCGACAGTAGAGAACATCGTCAAATTTCGGTATTACCCATTTTGAAATCACGGTTTCGAATCGAAATTCGCTGTTCTAGGCTGTTAGCGGGGGAGGGATTTTCAGCTGGGGAGCTACTTAGCCCTAACTAGCCAGCTTTAGGCCATTCTAGGATTTTCGCTCTTTTTTTATTAGCAAAATCATAAAAAATTAAATAAATTAGAATTTTTAACTTTTTCCTTCCATTTTTGAACAAAAATCAATAAATTTCGAAAAATTCATTGATTTTTTCGACTTAAAATTGGGTAGCAACTATGGGAATTGTGTGTTCTCATTTGGGGTATATGGGCCGATAGGCTCAAATATCACCTCCCACCGCTAAAAACCCAAAACTAAAATTAGCTTGCTATCGTTTTTCTTTGTTTTTCTTATCCGAGGCATACCTTTGTCCATGCTTATATTATACGCTTTTTGTATATTCTTTTTTTACGGCCACAAACTAGACTATGGAATCCTATACCACTTAGAGTTTTGTTAGGTTCAAAGTTGAGGTTTTTAAACATTTTGCACTTTGGATTTCAAAAACCCTGTAAGAATCTGTTTCAAGCTGTTTTTGACTCGTTTTGGCACGAATTCTGGCGAAAATCAAGTTTAGAACTTTTTTAGACGATTTAACGGGGACTTTTCCACTTTGTAAAAATCGTATGCCCGAAAAACAAGCCAAAAACGCTAGAAACTTCAAAAATAATACTTTTTTTTCCAGGTGCGAGCATTCGAGGATCAAATCGTCGACCTGCAAGACCAGAATGCCGCCCTCCTCAAGCAGAACAGATCGCTCGAGCAGAGGACGCGCAATTTCGACGCACAAAGCGTATCGTGAGTTTTGTTTTCAAGTTTTTAACACTCGCTATTTGATTGAATTGGTTTAATAACGACTATAAAATTTATGAGGAAGTACCTATGAAAATCTCACATTATCAAGCCCATTTTTCAGGCTCGAGCTATCGGGTGGGCACTACAAGCGAGAGCTTCGCAAGGCCCTTGCCCTGCTCGCTGACACGCGGACCGTTCTCGCCCATGAGCGTGATAATAATGGGGGACAGGCCCTCATTCGACAGTTACGGTATGCTGTGCATTTTATATCAGAAAATATCCACTTTAGCGATCAACTCGAAGACGCCGAGGCGACAAAACTGTCGGCGTTGAAGGGAAGGCACGGGCTCGAGTCGGAACTCAACGAATTGAGGGCACAGGTTTGTGAAAATTTCGGGGGTCTTAACAAAACGTTTCTACACTAAAAAGTTACAAACTATCGATTTTTTGATCAAAAATGCCCAATTTTCGACAAAATTTCAATTTGCGGGTTTTTAGAACATTTCAACCACTTCAAATATGGCTAAATTTTGCTAAAAAACTATTAAAACACTTAATATTTCCTTACAAGGCATTTCTGGACTTTTCGGAAAATCAGGCTCCCCCGATAATGCCAAAGAACCAAATTTATAACGCCCTGTTCAGATCGAGCAACTTTTGGCCGGGAAATCGGCGGCCGAGGAGAAGGTGCTGGCGCTGATGCGCGAGAAGAATAGCACGGCAGCCGTGCTTGACGATAAGGTAATTAATAGAATATACAATTTCACTAAAAATATGCTCCTGTAAAACCATAAAAACCATTTTCAGGACGAGCAAATCCAGCAGCTTCTCAAGAAATACAAGGCCGCCGTCCAGCAAAGTCATATTGATGGCATCCAGATTGCCGACTATATTGAACAGGTCATTTTTAAGGCCTAGGAAAGACTACTGCATTTTTTTTATTAAAAAATATTGAAAATAATGGCGAAAAATGCGATTTTCCTGGCATTTCCCTCGTTGTGTAACCCCGACCCCCCGGCGTCTGCCCATCCACCATGCCCCACTCTCTCCGAAGGGGGCCGTGGCCTTTGAGCCCGCCCCGCCGCCTCCCTCCCATCCTCCGTTGTGGTCTAGTGGTTAGGATTTATGGCTCTCACCCATAAGGCCCGGGTTCGATTCCCGGCAACGGAAGAATTTTTTGCTTTTTGGGATTTGGACTTCTGAAAGTGAAAGGAATATTGTGGAGTAATCGTTTTTGATTAGTACAGTGTCTGGATCGTTTTTAGCCCACAAATGCTAGCGAAGTTCTTAATTCTTCTACTTTCTACCCTCCTACGCACACAAAATGCCTGGGTTCGATCCCCGGCAATGTCAGAATTTTTGGTACTATTCAAGTTGGGGGGGCAAAATTTTTTTTGGGTCATTTTTGGGCTAATTCGTCAGTTTTTCTCTGGCTTAGGCTTAGTAGCTTAGTATTGGCTTGGCTTAGGCTTTAGCTTAGGCTTAAGCTTAACTTAGGCTAGGCTTAGAACTAGTTTAACCTAGGCTTAGGCCTATGCTTAGCCTAAGCCTTAGTACCTGGTCCTTAGCTTGGCTTCGTCACAGCATCACTGCTTTTGGCTTCGACTTAGCTTTGCTCAAGCTCCATTTAGCTGCGCTTCGGTTTAGCTTAGCTTAGGAGTTGAGTATTGCGCTGGATTAGCCACGAAAAACTGATCAGTAGCCTAATGACCTAAAAATTTTGCCCCCCAACTTGAATAGTACCGAATTTTTTGTTTTTTCATGGTTTTATAGTGCTTTTTAATTTTTAATTATCACATTTTCCAGGTAGTTTTAGCGTAAAAAGGCTTATAAATCGCATCCTAAAATCCTATTCCAACTTATTTTCAGATTGCCGACCTCGAGCGGGCAAAGCAAAAGCTGGCCGAGCAGTTGAACGAGCGGAGTTCGCAGCTCGAATTTTTGGGTAATTTTCCATTCTAAAATGTCAACCTTCTAATTTCCTACCGCAGAATAAATATCGTTTTAGAGCAACACACGGTGGAGAAGCACAAGCTGATTCTGGCCGATCAGAAGATTCGCGAGCTGGAGGCCAAGCTGGATGTGGAGATGATGATGAAGCAAAAGTTGGAGGTTCGTAAAATATATTTTTAATGCCTAAATTTTTAGTCGGATTTGCACCGATCAACCGATGAGGCTGAAGCATTGACCGAGCAGATGAAGGAGGCCTATATTGCCCGCGATAGGGAGGTTGAAGCCGCGAAAAAGGTAATGTAACATGGTTCTTGGGGGAGAAAGAAGAAAAAAAAAAATTAAAAAATATTTTTTAAAAAAGAATGAAAAAAAAAAAAAAAAAAAAAAAAAAAAAAAAAAAAAAAAAAAGAAATAAAAAACAAAACAAAAAAACAAAAAAACCCAAAATAAAAAAAAAAAAAAAAAAAAAAGAAAAAAAAAAAAGAAAAAAAAAAAAACCACCCCAAATTTTTAAATTAAAAAAAAAAAAAAAAAAAAAGATTTATAAAAATAGCCTTGAAACTCGCCTTGAAACTAATTAAATGTTCAAAAGATCGCAAAAAAAATTAATTTTCCACCAAATTGCACATGTTTAAAATTTTCCAGTTTTCTATACAGTTTTTCGACTTGAAATAAAGCTAGATTTCACTAAAAACTATTAAACTACCTATTTTAACGTTAATAATCCTATTTTTCAGCTTCGTAAAGAGCTAGTGGCCGGCCAGGAATCGCTGGAGACGATGCGAAAACGAGATACGGAGGGGCATCACCGGCTCAAGTTGCAGGTACGGTTTTCAGGTTTTATAAGTTACTTACGTCACTACGTAATGTACGTAGTAACCGTACGGAAAAACGCAAAAACAACGTAAATCTGCGAATTGCAGCGCGACGAGTCGGAGGGCCTCCTGGAAAAGTTGGCCTCCGCGCAGGCCGAGCTCAAGATGGCCAACAAACGCATCGACAACTTGCAGGTAACTAGAGGGAAAAGGCAATAGAAACTTTCATAAATAAAATTAAGAGAAAGCACAACGATGCAATGTTTTCAGGCGGCGCTGGCCCACAACCTGGGCGAGTCCGACCAGGAGTTGTCCGATTTGGACGAGCTGGACGAGGATGACGATGGCGTCTATGAGAATGGAAAAGCGCATCTCGACGATTCGACAAGCACTAACGGGTACGCAGCCTAACTTGAAAGCGGAGCTTTATCAATAGCGGGTGGGGAGAAGGAAGCCGAATTTTTTTTGCGCGGCGTAGATATGCATTTTCGATAAAATTTGGCTGTATTTCGAGTAGAAAACGATTTAGAAAAGGTTATAACTCAATATGCTAAAAAATAGTTTAAAATCAGAGGCGAAAAATCTGTACTTTTAAAGCAACAGTTCAAAAATTGAAAATCTCGGACGAAAATTGGCGGTTTTTGTTAAAAAAATTTGTAAAGGGTTTGCGTTGTAAAAGTTTAAACACCCACCATTTATCTATGCATTTCAGGATGCATATTTTATAATGCGCCACACTTCACATAGCCAGCCAGCCAATCGACTACACGCCACACCACATTCCGCTCCGCAAACCGACAAATAACCCAACCGTATTCCGCGCGCCTTACTGCCAAAAACGGGGATATATCCACTTTTGTAGACTACAGACTCTAAGAAATGACCAAAACAATCCGTTCCCAGAATTTCCTCTGCCTGTATTACCATTTGCCTTGGTTCCGCTCGCTCACCCTGCCCTCGAAAATGTATTATTTGTGCTCGTTGTCGATACCCGAATATACCAGTGAATGTCCTATTATTATTATTCATATTTTCGAATATATGAAATAAAGGTTCTGAGAAAACTCGAAAATTCACCCGTCTACCTCGCCTCTAAATACTGGCAAACCCGTGGCTGAACAACAAACCACTCATATAGACGCGAAAATGTACGGCCTAAAGGTTCTAAGGTTTAAAACGATAAACTAAAACGAATTTTAAAATACACTAATTCCTAGGTTATAGTGGGAAATCTGGTGGTCCTGATGATACCAAGGACCTTCAAAAATTTTGAAATTTACGATTATGAAAAAAGTTGGTTTTCACTGGCTGCTTTCTAGAAACGTAAGATAAAACTAAAAGAGACATACTCTAACGCAAACTTCCTTTTTTGGCGGTCCTCGAATCGAAAAATTCTACAGTAGAACACTTAGTATCTAAACCTTTTCCTGGAACTACGCTGGGTTCCTATCGACGCTAGCACTAGCTAGACCCACTTTTTGGCATGGCTGATTCGGGACGCAGAGACTCTTGACAATCCGAAAATCAAACCTTTTTGCAATTACGAAAATTCAATATTCCGACAATTTCCAATGTACGATGCATTTCCGCTCACCATTTATTTAGCACGGGGACATACAAAAAAAATCATACAAATCGAAAGCAGGGGGGGCAAAGAATGGCTGAGGGATGGCTACGGAGAGAGATGGGGGAGGAGGCGATAGATAGGGGGAGGGGGAGGGAGAGAGAGAGTGATCAGATGAAGAGGAAATAGTTGTAGCACAGTCGATCGCCAGGGCCATCCTGTTCGTTGTCGTGGAAGAGCCTGATCACATCGTCCGAGTCCGAGTCGGCCGTCGTGCCCAACGCTCCGCAGTAGCCGCGGTCGACGAACTAAAAAAGTAAATGAAGTTTTACAACGCTGTTTTCAAATCTTGTTCCCGCTTTTTCTCCGGGTTATAAGCCTAATAACTGGCTATAAAGTTCAAAAAACTATCTAAAGGTTTGCTTTCTTGTAGAACGTAGGAAACTTTAAAAACGGCAAGGTTTTTTTAGGTTTAACAAATGTAATAAGTATCCATGGTGTCAGCTCCTGATGGATGGAAAATCGCTTACATAGGCGGCGGCGACGCGCTCGTCGTGGGCGAGCTTGTGGCCGCGGTGCTCGAGCGCCCTGCCAATGTGGATCCCGGCCGCGTACAGCTCCCTGAAAATGCAATTTAGATCCAAGATAATTTGTATCTAATTCAGGTATTCAACACGTTCAATAACACAGTCAAAACTCACTTCGTCTGCGCCTCGAGCACCCATTTGAAGTTCTGCTCGACCTTCGTCTTCGTGGCCGCCACGTTGGCGCGCGGGACGTTCGACCTGAAAAATCGATTGAAAAGGGCGTTTTTAGGCATAGAAACTTTATATAAATCACCCAAATTTTTCGAAACAGGTTTGTGTTTGTTTTTACGGGTTATTAGAAATCAAAAATTCCAAAAAAAAAAAAAGATGCACGAAATCGCGAAAGGAAGGTATGGCTTCCCCCCCCCGCTAATAGCCCAGTCCCGCAAAGCTTACCAAACGATCAGCACGACGGCGTTGCGGTCCTCGACGAGAAGGCACGAGTCGGGCTGACAGTCGTGCCAGAACGCCTCCGAGTCGTGCGCCGTCTTCGGGCCCACCAGCACGTTGCGCCTGAAAAGGGGAAATTTACCGCCAAAATCGCGAATTCCACCTCGGGGCCGCGTCGTACTTCTTGCTCATCTCGTCGAGCTTGGCGCGAATGTCGTTGGCCATCTTCTTGTGCTCGCCGGTGGTGATGACGGAGGGGCCGGGCACCTTCTTCAGGTACTCCTTCACCCACGCCTCCATCTCGTCCAGGTGCGGCTTCTGAAAAAGAAAAAATCATAAAAATACCTAAAAAAATTCGTAATAAGGAAAAAGCAAAAAAACCTGGATCTTGCCGCTCTTTATCTGGCGCTGCGGGGCTTCGAGGTCCAGCGGCTGCTCGGGGCGGTCGAACGGAATCCCATCGGGGCTGCTCTCGACGAACGCCCTGGCCGCCTTCAGCAAACGGTCACGCACATCATCTGCAACAAGTACACGTAAAAAGGTGACCGAGTAGTTCAGACCGCCCAGCGGGTCCCAATTTTTGCTCCTGGTCGTCCTATCGGGTCGTAAAGTATACCAAAATACTCGCCTGCCCGAGACGAAGATTTTGAAATACTTTACAAACCTGTAGACCGACAGGGAGTCGAGATACCAAACTGACAAATTAGCATAAAACCGTGCTTTGAGCGTGGAGCTGGGCGATGACGCAGAAGGCGACGAGGAGAAGAAGGCACGACCGCATCGTCGGAACAATCGAGGAGACGTCCCCATCCTCAGCGAACACCTCAAATTATACCTAGGAACGTATGGAAATTTGGGCAACTTCCGGTATACCAGCCAAATCCTATGCAAAAACAGCCAGTCTAAGAAAAATTCATTACACAAGATTTCCAGACTACGCTTTCACGCTCCAGACGCCTTGAAAGTGGAGCTGATACTGTAAGCCTAATAGTAAGGATAAGCTTGGCTTCATTCAATCCAATCCAAGCGAAGCCCCAGCTTAAATTTTCAAAATTTAATTAGCTTGTAGGATGAAGCTTATATAATCAGCATTTTAAGCTGATAGATAAGCCCGCCTTTAAAGTTTAAGTCGTATTAATTTAACGAAAGTTATATTAAAGGAAAGGTGGTTTAATTTAATAGAAAATTAACTTAATCGGGGCGTTCTTTCGCAATCTTTTTGAGGCAATCAAGTTTTTTGTGTCAATTTCACTTTTTATAACGACGCCTGGTAGTAAACAATTTATCATCCAACGTGAAACATCATAACGGAAACAAAACACGCTAATGGGGGCAACAACAACAACAACAACAACGGAAAATCAACGAAACAACAAAGTGTGTGGCTGTGTGTGTGTCTACACGACTAAACAACGAAAACAATTCGGCTTTTGGTGGGCGTTTTCAGGAGACGGCAATCGGGCCTCGCATCGTCTGCAGCAGCGTGTTGCCCTGTTCCACTTGGCCCTTCGCGCGCAGCACCTCCGCGTAGCGAGACATCAGCTTTTTGCCTGGAAATGGAATGATATTTGAACAAATAGGCTCCCAAAAATGCAATACCGACGTTTTTTATAACTTGTTACTTCGTTTTAAGCTAAAGAAAGTTACCAAAAATTTTAAAAATTTTAATCTTTTTTTTCTATTGGAAATCAAATTGTCACGATTTTCTCAGTTTTTTAAAAGACTTTGTAGTATAAAAAACTACTCCAAACTATAAAACTACACAATAAGACGAAAAAATTGCCTTGTAGCTTTTCCACCCCCCGCTAACAACCCAGAACCAAGAAGAGACCGTACCCAGCCCCTTCGACACGGATCCCATCGCCTGCTCCATCAGCTTGTTCGCCTGCTTTACCTCGCCACGGCCCAGCAGAAATTCGGCGTAGAGGAGCCACACCTAAAAATTGGAAACTTAGAAAGAAGCCTAGGCTCACCTCGCTTTGCTGCTTGCTGAACCGCTTGACCATCTTTTTGAAGAGCTCCTCGGCCTCCTAAAAAAATGGAACGTTACGAATATCACGATGCTTTTGCAATACCCGGGGAGGTCAGAAAATGTTCAGGAAACTCAGGAAAATGTCGGCATTTAAAATTTCAATCGAAAATAGGCTATTTTACTATAAAATCGACTTACTTTTTTTACTCAAAAATTTGTCAAGAATTTGCGTTAGAAACAATAAAAAAATGTCTACTCAATTATGTATTTTGTCAGAAAAGCCCCCCCCCCGATATTGCACAAGAACCCGTATAATAAACACCACAATACCTCATCTTTGCCGCCCTTCACCAGGATCGCGGCCGCTTGTTTTTGGAACTTGAAGGCGTCGACGCTGCGGCTTGCCCGGGTGAGCAGCTGCTGCCACGAATCGTCGGTGCCGTAGGCGACCTAAAACCATAAAATTAGCTTTAATAAAGCACGCTGAACGCACCTCCATGTTGAAAAACGCTGTCCACAGGGCCAGACGCTCGTTGTCCTCGCGGTCGCCAATCGCCTAAGATTAAAATTTCTACTGAAGAAGGATAGCTTCATACCTCCAGCGCCCGTTCGGCCACATTTCGGGCCCCGATGAGGTCGTCCTTCTTGAGGAAGCGCGCCATGTAGATGATCCACGAACGGGCCGAGTTTGGCTGTCGCTTCACGAGCACCTCGAAATCCGCGTCGGAATCGGGAATCTAAACAATCGGGTTAGAAGCCCTTGGAAAGCCTCACCTCATCAGCGCCCATCTCTTCAGTGAGCAATAACCGCTTCTCCTCGTCAATCACTTGCTCGCTCTTGGCTGAAAATCGAAAATTAAAGTCTAAAAACAACTGGTATACATTTTTCAACGATCGGGCCCGGCGTGGGTAGTTCTAGCTCGTCCTCGCCCTCCTCCTCATCATCATCATCTTCCTCTGGCTCCCCCTTTATTTTCCTGCCATCCAGTTCAGCGACTTTGGTCAGATTTTCGGGGATGAACAGGTTCTCCTTGAAGTTCCAGTCGGCGTCCAGCAACTGAGAGAATTGGATATTTCGGGGAGAAAGCTTATACCTTTGACGTCATCAGCTTCTTCGATGGCTTTTCCTCGTCATCGTCGGCATTATTTGAATTCTTCCTCTTGCGCGTGTCTTTGGCCTGAAAAAGGTCAAGATAGAACCTTATCAAAAATTATCAGAAAGCCAAAGATAAGAAAAAAGGAGCTGGCCCACTAGCGGGGGGTAGTCTAAATTTTTCCCGTTTCCGTATAATCAAAATAAATCTATTTTAATAGTGATTCACGGCTTTTTTAAGCGATAAAAAGCTGAATTAAAAATGATCTAGCTTGATTTCTTTTTGGCTTAACCTGCTCAAAATTAAAAGGGCATTTAATGAACGAAAACGATGGTGGTTATGCTAACTCCTCCCCCCCCCCCCCCCGCTAATGAACCAGGTCCAAAAATGACAACTTTTTACTAAACGAACCTCGAGCGCAGACTCGTCGACGCCAAAGCTTTGGATGATCCGGGTGACAGCACCACTGAAGCTGCCCTCCTCATCCTCCTTTTCGAGCTTCACCAGCACCAGATCGTTCATTTTCAGCTTTTCCCTAAAGAAAGATGACCGGTTGCTTAAAAAACTCTTACTTGGCGGAAGTGACGCGAACCCGCACTCTGCAGCCGACGTCGACAAGATCCGGGCCCAGGTTGGAGACGAACCCTCGCACTTCAGCGCCCACCTCCAAGTCGGTGGCGGAGATGATCAGGCTGAAAATGCGGATAAGGGGCATTATTTTAAAAGTCGTTCAATCTAGCAAATTTTTAGTAGATTTTTCAGGAAATTTTTGTGCCTAGGGTAAGCGCGAAAATTCATACAAAATCCGTAGCGTCAAATTAAACTCACGGATTCTTTGCTGCCTTGTGGCGCCCATTCCAACGTTGCTCGGTGACCAACTAAAAAGAAATCTATTCGAGAAAACGCCAATTCAATATACCTCAACCTTTTGGAGCCGTTCTAACCATGCCGGCTTGTGGGCAACGACCATTTTGAAGATCTACAAGGGTTAATAGAGGATTTTTGTACAATTTTCGTAGCTTCCAACAAAGCAGACAACTATATGGGTCGATTCTACGCCATTCCGGTTGTGTTTCAGAAGGAAAGGGCGTCAAATTCGGAAATTCTGGTTTTTTAAATGGCTTAGAAATTATCTTAGCTAAATTCAGTTCGTTTTAACAGAAAAAAAAAACGTAAAATCAGTTGATTTCGAAAAACTTGCAGGCTCTCAAAAACAAACCTCGCCGATTTGCATGGCCTTCAGTTGTTCGGGGGCCTTTGTATAGATGGCGGTGACTTGTGTGGGCCCGAGTCGACCCGTCTTCCCATTCGGCAACTTGAACAAGACCTGCAGCGGTGAAGGCGAGATCTCCATGACGCGAGCCGCCACTTCGCTGCCGACCACGATCTGAAGTGGTTTTAACTGTTTTCGAAAATCTAGGCAGGGCACAAACTTTTTGCGCTTTTACTGATAGTATGTATGAATTTTTGCTACTGTTTTTTTTACGATATCAAAACCCAAACAATATCGCTATTTCGCCTAAAATTTGAACTTTTAACCATCCACATATTTTTCCACATAGTTTTTGCTCTTAAAATATGGTTAAAGCTTAATTACATTATAAATATACAAAAGAACATTAATTACAAAAACTGAAGAAGAAACACTAATGAAATTCTGCTATTGCATTGCTATTACACGCCTCATCTTGCAAATTTCGAAATTTCCCTATTTTCAAAAGAATATTTCATGAAATTTCGACATTATGGCATCGGAATGTCAATATGATCCGATTAACCGAGAGAAACCAACATCATCATCGTAGCGCAGCGTGACCATCGTCGTATTGTTCTTCTTGCCGTTCTTCTTCCGCTCGCTGCCCGCGCTTTTCGTGACCCATCCGTGCATCATCACACCGGCTTCCGGCACCTTCGGGATCAGCTGCGTGCTACCTTCCGGGCAAACCTAGATATATCCGGATTATTTTCGAAAAAAATCAAGGCTCACCATTTGATCGTCTGGGACCGATTCCCGGACGGCAATCGCCTGTGCATCCATGTGCAAATCAAAGTGGAAGGCCGATGCCTTTTCGTTGCCCACCCTCGCGAAAAGCGCCACCTAAAACACGGAGATGGCATTAAAAAGCTGGAAACCGAAACCCACCAATCCGCCGGGCTGGTAATACTGTGGCACTTGGAAGAGACGGAGCTTCTTTCGGGTCTCGGCCAGCTTCTCCTCATTCATCGTCAGCTCCGGCAAGCGCACCTGACAAATAAAAAATAAAAACACCTAACAAGCCAATAATACGCATCTTAATGACGTTTTTAATAATTTCACTGTGTTTTAAATGCCAAAAAAAATGCAAAAACTGACTAAAAAACCTAGAATTTTTAAATTTGAAATGGAAATCGGGCATTTTTCTCAGGAATTTTCAATTTCCAGTTCGAATTCTCAGGAAAAATGGCCCTCCCCTCGATAATGCCCAAGCTCCGAACGCAATTCCCCGCATACCTTGGTCAGCTTGTTCCTCTTCTTCTGCAACCCGACCACCTTGACGGTGACGTTTTTGCCGCGCATCTGGGAGACAAAGACCTCGGCCGGCTTCGTGCCCACCTCCAGGTATTTGCGCGGCAACTCGCTGGCGTGGAGGCGACCTGATGAAATGCGGTTTTGCTCAGTTTTAAAAGAATACCAACCAATCACATGGCCGGGCAGGGAGACTTCAACGACATTCGGGTTCTTCGGGTCGACACGAACCACTCGTCCTGTGAACACCTCCAGCACCTTCACCTTCACGGGCTAAAAACGATATTAGACTGCCGATTACGCCAAAATACTGGGTCCCGTCAGGCTAGAGGGTTTTTAGGAACCTCAAACGGGAAGGAAAGGAAAGGCGAATCCAAAACTGGTATTTTTCAATGTTTTTTCAATATTTTCCGAGATTTCATACCGAAAAAGCATTGAGAACCGTTTATATCTATTTCGTCTACCTTTAAAAATTTCTATAAATTTTAAATTTGGCCGAAAATCAGCGCTTTTGGGGCGTCATTCTGGGACTTTTCTGATGTTTACTAATGATTTTTACCAATCGGCACGAATTTCTGATGCGCTTTCGATGAAGCAGTTTTTATAAACATCTACGAACTTTCACACCTTTTCTGACCTTCCAAAGACGACGTTTTAAATTGAAAGACATTTGAGGAAACGCTGGGAAGGCGCTAAAGCCGATGAAACTGAGTTTTCCGGTTGAGAAAAGCGTTTCGCTCTGGATGAAAAATGCCAAAAACTGAGCAAAAAAAATGCGAATTTTGAAAATCGGAGCGATTATCTGGTCTCGCCTTTCCGAGAGCTCTACGATAGATATCTGAATTGTAAAAATCCGAAAAAACCGCGGCCCGCTAGGGACATGGGATTTTCTTGAGATCCACACCGTATTAATCGAAATAAACACACCTTCACCTTGGCCTTTCCTTCCTCAGCTCGCTTCGTTTCATCGCTCTTCTTGGTGGTCTTCTTTGTTCTAGCCTCATCTTTCTTCATAGCATCCATTTCCTTTTTATCGGGCTTGGGCGGCGTGCCGGGCAGACTGAGGAACAGCGTTTGATGGTGGCTTCGTTTCTTGTTGCTGAGCCCGGTCACCCGAACCTCCAGCGCCATATTCTCACTAAAATCAAGGGTTCAGAAAGAAAGACGCAAGCTACCGGACTGTCCCTTCCGGGCCGAGCGTGTCGATTTCAGACTTGAAGATGATGCCGCCGACACCGTTGAAGAATCGGAGGATGACGTTGCCCTTTCTAAGCCAAAGATAGTTTTTCCAGTCATTAATTTCGTTATTTTTGGGCCGATTCTTCGGCGTGTCGGAATAGCTTTTAACGACGAAAAAGAACAGTGCCCGTTTTTTCAAATTTCAAATTTTCGATTTTTCAAAAGGCATATTTATGACAAACCAATTTTCCAACCAAAAAAATAGCAATTATCGTAATTCTGGTCTCCCAAACGGCTTTTCGAAAATACGACCTTCAAAACTGAACTTTTACAAAAAGCGAATTTCGGAAAGAATATTTTCCAAAATACGATCGAAAAACTCACGCGGTAATCTGCTTGACGACCCCGAGTGTCAGCTTGCCAACATAGTCATCAGAATATTCGGTAACAATCGTGCCCTTGTATTCGACGAGCTGCTTCCGACACGTCAGCCACAGCTGGTGCTTTTTGTGGTCGACGCCCATGATACGGCACTTGATATTTTGATCTAAACCAAGAAACCCATAACTACATGAAGCTATGCCATACCAATCTTGAAAAGCTGATCGAGTTGTTGGATGTTGCGCTCGGTGGCCATGCCGGTGGTGATCCAGCCCGGCAAGCTGTCAAAGACCTAAACTAGTTTTAGAAAAAAGAGATCTTTGGCGTTTCCGGGGTCTTATTTTTCCTAATTACAAAATCTTTTTAAGATGAAAAAAATCAGTGTTTCAACATTTTTTTACGATCCCTAATCGTAGAAAACTTCATAAATTTCGATTTTTCGACCAAAAATAACCAATTTCCCCACAGAATTGGAAGCTTTCAAAACCTTCTAGCTCTCAAAATGGTTTATCCGTTATTCATATTGTAATAAGAAACCCATTAAAAAAAGTACCTTCACCGCGATGCCGTTCGAGTAGATACGCTCAACTTTAGCATCGACAACGCCACCGGGTTGCGCGTCCTGAACAAAATTTCAAGTGAAAAATCCAACTAAACTCACGGTAAGCGAAACGGCCGCCTGCTTCAAGATATCTTTTCTGGTCGCCACCAGCACGGAACGTTCCAGCATGTCGAAGCGAATGATACGGCATTGGTGCTGCGAGCCCGGGGCGTAGTGTTTCACTAAAAAGTCGAAATGAAATCGCCGAAATCAGTTTCGGTGTAATTTTTCGAATTGATCTTACTCATATCCTTGGCCGGCTCGAGCTTTTCGACGCTTGCGTACGCATCGAAGAGGCACTGCTTATCCCCTTCGGCCGGAAACGCGAATCGACAGCCGCCCTTTTCGAGATGTCCCAATGACGTGCAAACGACCGTGTCGCCAATCCGATGATTCTAAAGTAGCAAATAGTGATTTCACACAACCCATATATGCCTAGGAATTTAATGCGTATTTTCAAGGTGTTTTTGACCAAATTGAGCTATAGTTCCTGTAGCAAGCTCGTTTAGAAAGCTTAGAAAAGAGGCATGTTTAGTGAAAAATCTATATCTTATGCATTTAAAAAAAAATCGATCCTAACAAAAGCGCCTGTTCGAGAGACGAGAATCACGGTGAACCCTCACCCCAAAAGTGGTCCTCTTCTCCGGCTTGCTGACGGCCACGACGTCCGGATGGGCGCTGAGGACCAACAGATTCGAATTTTGCTGGCACACGAGGACGACGGCCCGAATCGGCTTCACAAACTTCGATCTGTCATTGCGCAGGCGGGGTGGAAGCATCCGGGAGCCCAGGAAGCCCTTGACGCCTAAAAAACGATGCATGAAGACTGAGATACTTTGTACCGTTTCCAAGTTCCACGATCATGCCACTAAGCAATTCGCGGTCGGGGCTCACTTCGAGGATTGTGCCGGGCATCAGATGATTGAGGTGAAGCGACTGTAGGAATCAAAGTTAGATTTAGTTAGATTTAAACCGGAAAAGTATCAATAAACCTTAGAACTTTTAATTTTAATTTAAAATCTATATTTTGGTACTTCTTAAAGGCAAAATTTCTAACGCTTGTGCATAAGGAATTGCAAAAAAACGTAGAAACAGCCTTTCTATTTATAAATATTTATATTTTACCTCAACGGCAGCTTGCGACAATATTTCAGTTTCCACGTACGGCGAGACGGTGAGCACGCGAGAGGTAATCTTCTCGATACGAACCTAGAAGAAAATTCTAAAAAAACAACAAAAACCATACCAAAACAGGCTGCCCGACGACGAGACCCGTGCCGTTGACGGGGATGAAGCCCTTGAGAGCGCCGAATCCGAGGTCGCAGAGGACGCCTAGAAACAGTATTTTCTTCCAATAAAAAATTCAACCTTTATCTTCGATGCTCTCGACGGTGGCGCCGAGGACGAGGCCTTGGGTCAATTGAGAAGGGACGATGTGTTGATTGACCACCTTCGGGTCGCAGCTCGCCACGGGAGAGCAGTGATAGACTTTGCCTTTGACTGAAAATAGATCTTGAAATGAGTCCAAAAATACAAAAATCGTTCTTAAAAAAAATAAATAAATAAAAAAAAATAAAAAAATACCCCCACCCCCCCCCCTTCCCTCCCCCCTCCCCATCGATCTCCACCCAGAACCTATACCCCCCCAACAAAATAAAACAAAACAAATATTAAATATTAAATATATAAAAAAAAAATTATAAAATAAAATAATTATATTCCCATATAAATTCTTAAAATAATACAATATTAATATACAATATATTATCTTTTTTTCTTTCTTCATTTAAAAAATCATAATAAATATTCAAAATACCCATTAAATACCCCTTTAAAAAAAATAATAAAAAATATTTTTTAATTTTTTTATAATCATTTTTTAAAAATCAAATTAAAAAAATTAAAAAAATTATTTTTATATTTTTTATTTATTTATTAAAAAAAAAATTTAAAAAAAAATAAAAAAAATTCTTTTATTTTTTTTTAAATATCTTTTTAAAAAAAAATATTTAAAAAAAAAAAAAAAAAAAAAAAAAAAAAAAAAAATAAAAAAAAAAAAAAAAAAACCTTTTATTATAATTAAATTAAAAAAAAACAAAAACCATTATTATTAAAAAAAAAAAAAAAAACTCCCCCCCCCCTTTTTTTTTTAATTAAAAAAATAATTAATTTTTTTTTTTTTAATTTTAAAAATAAAATTTTTTTTTTTTTTTTTTTTTTTTTTTTTTTTTTAACCCACTTTTTTTAAATAAAAAAAAAATAAACTTTTTCCTCTTTCTCCTTTTATTTTTAAATCCAAAAAAAAAAAAAAAAAAAAAAAAAACCAATCAATTTTTATTTATTTTGCCAGTTGCCTCATTTTGCACCGTTTTCACAGATTTTTCCCGAAAAAGCATATTTTTAAGTTACACGTCCACTTCACTGCTCTATCATGGTTTTTACTATACTTTAAAATGCGTAAAATTCAATATTTAGACCTGCATCAGATGATAGGAAAAAAAAGTTTGCTACGCCCCGGATTTTCTGCCAAAAATATACCTTCTTTTGTGCTGGCCCGCTTGGTGACGCGAAAGGAGACGAACTGGCCCAGTTTGAACATCTCCTCCAAAGGAACATCCTCATCGCGCAGCTTACTCAGGCACAGCTTGCCGAACTAAATTCATAAAATAAAAATAAAGGCGCGTTTCAAACTCACATTTGCCACTGGAAGCTCTAACGTGTTGCGGTGGGCCGTCTGCAGGATAACTGTGGTTTCTCGACACTAAAAAATGTTTGAAGCGTCAAAACGATCAATTACCGATCTGACAAGCCCGAGTCCCAGCACGCCTTCAATCAGATCCGACTCTGTCAATTTTCGATGCCAGATCGTCTCCTTGTCCTCGCGGACGTGGGCTCGCTTCCCGTCGCCAGACTCGAATTCATGGGATCTCTGCAAAAATGATGTAAGGAATCGATGCGCGCCAACCTTCTTTCCCTTAAAAACCTTCTTCTCGCGCTGCACGGCTTCTTCTTTTGAGTTGCGCGGAAAGTCTTCGTCCGGCATCTGAAAGACCGAAAAATCTATGACGTTGAGAGAAAATGAATAGCCCCAGGTTGGAATGCCCGGCCATCAGAAAGAAGAAAAACGATCTCCGCGGCGGAAAACTTGAATTTTTCCCGACATGCCTACATATTACCGCCATAGTAAGTATCTGAACAACCTTATTAGTAGAGTACTTATATTTGAGGTGGAAAACTGTTAATAATTTGGAAATTTAGTTGCAAATCAGAAAGCGTCACCTTTGACAAAAAACTATACTCAAAACTGACGTTACGGAAATCGGTGAAATTACCGCAATTTTTGTTCGAAGGATTGTGCAAAAAAACCATCCCTTTGCCTCGCAGCAAATTTTGCCAAAATAAGGTAGTGCAACCAACTACTCTTTTCTGAATCCAACCACTAAAATGAACGTTGCAAAAACATGTTTATTCCGTCTGACAAGCTGAAGCAAAAAAAGTAACAATACACAGCGAAAAGTGATGCGGAAGGAAGGAAGCTGACCAGTATTTAGTTGAGACGAGATCCGAAGAACAAACAAAGTGCACAATCAAATATACTGGGATGGGGAAGAGAAGCGGGCAAAAAAAGAAAAGGCCGCAAAAATAGACCTAATAATCATCATCGGAATCGTCGTAGTTTCGGCCGCGAATCGTCTTGGTGGGCTGCGGTTTTGCTGGTCGTGCGCGTTGTTCTTTATCCTGCGGGTCGAGGGCTCCGTTCTCGCTCAGCCGCTTTTCGAGCACCTAAAAGCTGGCATGTAAGGTTCACTAAACAAATGAAAAACAAAAACGATGGAGCTTTGGCATTATCGGGGGTGGCATATTGTGCTATTTAAAAGGGAGAAGCGTTTCTAAACCATTCTTCTATTTCTAAATGAAAAATACAGCAAAAACAACGAAATTCTACAAATTTTTCAGTTTAAAAATTTTTCTAAGTTTTGAGAGGGATTTCCACTCTAAATATATGAAATGTAGCTAAAAACATCTTACAAATTTATCATATTAGATTTCTAGGGATTCCTGGACATATAGGACCCCGCCGATAATGCGAAAGAACAAAATAAGAACTCCTTACATTCAATTCGTTGCCCGCCACTTCATACAAATATCCCACGCAAATGTTCCGCTTGATGACGGCGATCGAGGGCAGACGGCTCCGATTGAACTGCATGTTCTCGAAAAGGTAGGGAACCTAAAACGGCAGGGAATTGAAAAATATAAAAAAATAGATTTACCCTTTCCGACGACGCCTCCACGAAGAGCGTCGTAAAGTAGATCTTGGCGAGTTTTGTGAGCTTGAGTCGTAGCAGCTGCACGGATTCGGTATTCTGCCCCGTCAGCAGGCACACGACCTAGAAAAAGACTTTTTAGGTTTTCAGAAATCAGCTCAAACCGTGTCGGTCTTCTTGCAGTTGGCAAAGAACTCCTTGACATCGTTGACGTTCTTCAGGTCGCCGTGGCCACGTTCGATCTTCTCCTAAAAGAAATAAATCAAAAAATAATTTTTAAGACATACCTGCTTCTCCGTCTGCGTCTTCTTCATTTCAGCAATTCGTCGCCGGCGTAGAGCGGCCAGTTCGTCCTCGTCCTTGCTCACTTTCTCCAGCTCCTGAAATGGAAATTCAGCTGGGATTGCGGGAAAGATCGCGTTCTTTTTTTTTTTTATTTGGGGGATTTTTTTTTTTTTTTTTTTTTTTTTTTTTTTTTTTTTAAAATTTTTTTAAAATTTTTTTTTTTTTTTTTTTAAAAAATTAAAAATTTTTTCTTCACCTTACGTAAATCTAAGTAAAAAACTGACCACCAGCGTCTGGTCGACCTGGCGTTCGAGGACTTCTATCGTGCCGGCGAGCATGTTGTTGAGAGCAGCCTGTTGGGCGTCCATCGTGGCGTGTAGATACGCTAAATGAATCAATATATATCTTAATAAAATGCAGAAAGACAAGAAAGATAGAATATAGGAAATTTTAAAGTAATATATTAGAAGCAAAGATTTCGCCATAAAGGATCCAATGCATAGAAAATGATGGAAACCGGGCGCCCGGGCAACACGCTACAAACCACAACGTCGGTGCGTTGGGTGGAGCGTTCGGAATTTAGGCGGGCATAAAGTTTTGCAAAAATTCAACAAAAATGGCTAAAAACTATTAAAATAATACAAATTTTGTAGAAATCATACGTTTACGATGGGCACGTATTTTTCTGCTCCCGATCGATGCCTGTACAATTTTTTTAAACGCTTTAAAAAGCCGATTGTGGTCCTAAAACCCCGTTAAAGGAACCGCGAGGTTTAAAAAGCTGTTTGAAACTTTGCAGATTTGAAAAAAAACTGAATAAAAAACTGTAGCTGCATTACACAAACAGTTGGGCCGATTTTTCCCGTACTAGCGAGGGTACCAAACGATCCCGGGTATGTAGGATTCGGTGTAAATTTTCACAGGATATGAAATTTCTGCCCTCCAATTCTATTTAGTGATTTAGGGGATCAAAAATGAAACAGAAAAGCAGGAAATAAGGTGTTTAGCGAGCGAATGACGGTGAGCATCATCTGCTGCAACGAACCGTGCTGTGCTTTCACCCCCTATGGGCAGCGTTCCTGGAACCGTACGTGGAAAGGAGGAATTGTTTATATAAAAGGTACTTGGAGGATAAATACTAAAGTCAAGGTTTCATCACTATAACCTTATTGTTGAATTTTTAGCGGTAAATGGATTTCCAGATTCTTTCGCATAGCGGGTTTCATGGTAAAAGCCATTTTTTTTGTATTTGCCATTTTGCGTATATAAATAGAGGAAATACCTATGCACCATTTTTCAGTGTCACTAAGCTCAAAAACTTCCCAAAATTTTATTGGCAAGACACCAAAATCCGGTTTTTCGGCAAAATTTTTGAATTTTTCGGGATTTTAAAAGATTTTTAGCAAATTTTACTAAGAAACCACTAAAATACATAGCTTTCCACTTTCATAAAGCTTTTACTGGCGGTATGCTTACTATATTAATTTGAGATCAGATTTTTACACGGATTTTAAAGGCTTGGATGGCTTTTTCATGTTAGTCTTTTTCTGCTTCCGAGGATTTGTATGTGTGTCTATGGTTGAATGAGAGCTTTGCCCTCAATTCCACTCTCTCTCTCTCTCTCTCTCTCTCTCCCTCTCCCTCTCTCTCTCTCTCCTGTTGTATGCCAATGTGCCTAATAGGGATACAGGGGGAGTCCGGATCGAAATGCCGTGAGGGCATGGAGAAATGGCTGAAGGGGGCGGGGGGCAAGGGGAGGGCGATTTGGAGGATCGGTCGAGTGGAGAATATTTGGGGAAAGTCGAGGAGGATGAGCACATCGAATTACTGTCTACAACCCCAAGCTTCACACTTCGACTTAGATAATTTTAAGCTACTCGCTTCCCTGCTTGGCTTAGGCTTAGGCTTGGGCTTAGGTTTAGGCTTAGGCCTAAGTTGAAGCCTAATTTTGTGCTTAGACTTAGCTTGGGCATGCTTTTTCGGAGGGTTTCCGTCGTCAAGGCTGTCATCTCCTCGTTCCCTCCGCTGCCGGTCTCGCCCACTATCCTCTGGATCTTCGATTCCTAATCGTTACTGTATAGTCCCGAGGGCAAAGGGGTAGCTGAACACTTTTGACAGGTAGCTGAACCATCCGGAGGGCGTGTGACTGCCATTTGCCAACATTCACTCCCCCCTGCAGCCAATCCTCCCAGTTATGGTCTCGAGTCTCGGGATCCAGTCCTCAATGCTTTCCCCTCTGTCTGTCTGTCTGTCTATATGTCCAGAATATCCCCCTCGATTCCTTCCAGCTCCTCCTCCAGAGAACACACCATCGATTTGCCATCCTCATCCTCAATCCTTCTTTCCCTCTTAATAGCAAGTTCATGCTCTCCTCCACTCCGCCTCTTCCAACTTTCACCCTCCGAATCTGTCGAAAAACTCAAAAGCCTTAGCCCCCCATCCTGCTGTCGCTTCGACCCCTCACTTCTAACGTGCCGCCATTGACATTCCACGAAATTCGAGTGGCTTTGGTTTCTGCTTGTCTTGCCAATTTTGACGTTTCCGATTCCTGTAATTAAGCGGTGGTTGACGTTTAAAGAAGTGGACAAAGCTTTTTTGGCTGTAGATTTTGCTAGCAGCAGTTCAAAATTCACGATGTCGGCATTTCGGAATGCCGAAATTTCAGAATGGGAGGATTTGCGTCGACCAAGATCTGGGGAAATTTACGACTCAATGCGAAAAAATTCGAAATTATGAACCTTCGGCTTCTTGAGATTTCGACATGCCGATTTTTCGGCATTTTGAAGAACTGGAAAAGCGACCTTGTAGCCTGTCGCGGTCTCGCCAATCCTGTAGCATATGATGTCAGCAAAATCCATCGCTATACATTTCCCTTTAAAATCACACTTCACAATCCCTTTAAGAGCTTTGAAAAGCTGCCCTTTTTGCTGTTTTTTTCCGGTGTATACTTAATTAAGATCCCTTAATTTTTATGTAATCTGGAAATGATAATTGTGAGAATCGACTCTTTTTCGGAAACTAGGTCTCGACAGCTATGTATTTTGGCAAATGACGCCTTGAAAATGTTTTTACAGCGCCGTGTCGTTTTGCCCGAAGCCGCTGAAAAGATACGCTCAAAACAAGCATTCTCCTGTTAATGTTACGCGTAGCTATCGATGCCCAAGCGGCCCGACAGTGATTCTTGCATTTCCTATCCCTTTAGCCCGATTTTTCGATTTTTTTTTGCTTATTTTTTTGTTCTTGTTTCGTCTCTGTATTGTCTATTTGTTTTGATGGTATTTTGGCCCAAAATACCTTAAATTTACCGAATTTTAGTAAATGAGCCGCTACCGGCCGGAAATGGCCGCGATGGTCCTGTGGACGCTCGTCGGCGGGGGGTTCTCGTCGAATATTCCGTGTGGGAAGGCTTTTCCCTGTGATACGGCTTCACAATTGAAGGTAAGTTTTAAGCTAAAGCCTTAGCCTACGATAGCAGTTTAAAAAGAACACAAAAATATTTTTTCACAAATATGGCAAATTTGACCAAAATCTTTGAATTTTTAAACGATTTCAGCTTTAGAAGTCGTTCCACTGGAAATATCACTAAAATTGACAAAACACCCTTGACATGCTCAATATTACGCGACTAGGCATTTCTGGACATATACAAAGAATACTTTCCTAGATAATACCTCCCCCGATAATGCAAAAGCACGGGTTTACCGCTGAGCCGAAGTCTAAGCTGAAGCCGATGCCTGGCTGCGTTAACCTGAATTTTTCAGGCAAGCGAGATAGCGGTGACAATGTTCGGGAAGGACGTCGACCCAGAGAAACATTTGCTATCAAAAGGGTATGTTTTCAAAGCTCAGGCGCCCCCGCCCCCCCCCCTTCCCCCCCCCCGGGGGGGGGGGGGCGGGGGGGGGGGGGGCGGGGGGGGGGGAAAAAAACCACCGAAAGAGGAAGAACAAAAACCCCCCCCCCCCCCCCCCCCCCCAAAAACCGTAATAGGGGTGGCGCCCAAAGCCGCTTTAAAGTCAAGTAATAATGCATAAATCCACCAGCTAAACTAAAACATTTGCCATGTCGACACCCTTAAAAAAGCGCCGTAAAAAATTCCCAATTTTTTCTGTTTAAGAATCCCGAACGAGCTGTTCTGGGTGGCAGCGGGTGAGGCGAGAAGCGAGACCCTCGGCCTGTTCAACCATACCGATGCCGAGTTAATATATTCTGGTATGGGGTGCCCTTCTCCGTATCATATACCGTATCCCTCTAGGCCATCGTCTCTCCCCATCAGCCGATCAATTTGTGTTGATGCATCGTGTCGATAGGAAGGCATCGGAACGGGCGCGGGCCGCTCATGTTAGCGTGGCGATGAGCAAGAGGCTTGCGCTGTGAGTTGGTGTTGAGTGGAAAAACGGAAATCAGCATATTTTTGGTCGTTCAAAAGATTTTAAGGTTTTTTTTGCTTAAAACAAGAAGTTTTTGTTTTTAAACACCCGATTTTGACTTTCTTAGGCTTAAAAAATAGGCCGTAGGTAATTTGTACTCGTACGGAATATTTTTTTATCCAGGCTCGGACTGAAGGAGCGCGACTTCCGGCTGGGCGTTCCGAATAAAGTGGTCGAAACGGTGCTGGGAGCTGAATGCCCACTACCCACACTTGAGCAATGTCCCGGCACTAGATATCGGTACGTTACGCATACAAGTCGAAGACTACGATAGACAACAAACTACAAAACAATTCATTTATTGCCAATTTTCAGGTCTTTTTCCGGTGTGTGCAACAATGTGGCGAACCCGGAATGGGGCGCATCGCATACGCCATTTGCTCGTTTTCTCAAACCCGACTACGCTGATGGGATCACTCAATTTAGGGCGGCCAAGTGGGTGTTTTAAAGAGATCGTTATGGGTAGGCTCAGGCTTAGACTTAGCTTAGGCTTAGCTTAGGCATAGCTTAGGCTTAGCTTAGGCTTAGCTTAGGTTAAGCTTAGGCTTAGCTTAAGTTAAGCTTAGGCTTAGCTTAGGCTTAGCTTAGGCTTAGCTTAGGCTTAGCTTAGACTTAGCTTAGGCTTAGCTAAGGCTTAGGCTTAGCTTAGGCTTGACTTAGGCTTGGGACTAGCTTCGGCTTAGCCCGGGCCAAGCCTTGCTCACATATTCAACATATGTTTCACTTTCAGAAACGGCGAATCGCTTCCACCAGTCCGTGGAATTTCTCTGAATCTTTTCCCACGAACCTCACATCCCCATCAGTCCGTCACCACCCTCTTTGCGCAGTGGTGGAAATTCATCGCGTCGGATATGGTGAATATTGTGCCCGGGCAGAGTGTTATTGATGGTAGGTCTCTCACTCTCTCTTTCTCTCTCTCTCTTTCTCTCTCTCTCTCTCTCGATCTTTCTAGCACTATCTGACGAACACTGGATTTCTCTCCCCCTAATTATCTCTCTCTCTCACTCTCTCTCTCTCTCTCTCTCTCTTTCTCTCTCTCTCTTTTCTATCCTCTCCTTTCCAGGCCAAGTCCACTCCCTTCCCTGTTGCCGTAAAGGGTTCATCCATGCCGAATGTGATGCTATTGATATCCCGGCTGCCGATCCTGCATACCGGTATTTTCTTGACCGGTTTATTCACGCCTTGACACTGCTTTGCCCGCGTTAAGCGTGTCGTAATCGATTACGCAAGGCTAGAGCAGCGGGACCGAAATATTTATAGGCAATCTGAGAAAAGTTAGCTCGTCCATGGTAGCCACGTGTACCCTGGGCCGGACTACACGACGCTCCATCGATCGATTGCCCTGTTTTCAGATCTCGTCTGAACTGTCTGCCGCATGCCCGTTCGATGCCATCAGCCCGTCCACATTGTGGTCTGGGATCTCGGGAACAGGCGAATATGGCATCTGCATTCCTTGATGCTTCTACCATCTATGGGAGTGATCCGGAAAGGGCACGGAGACTAAGGAACTTCCGGTTGGTCTGAATTGTTACTGGCAGAGAGGGAGAGAGAGAGGAGAGAGAGAGAGAGAGAGAGCGAGAGAGAGAGGGTGAGGGAGAAAGAATGAAAGATAGTATGCATCGAGAGAGCGAGAGCGTGAGAGAGACAAAGCGAGAGAGCGAGCGTGAGAGCAAGAGCGTGAGAGATGGAGAGAAAGAGAGTGAGAGAGAGAGAGAAAGAAAGATAGATCTTCCTAACCTCTTCCCCATTTCAGCCAAGGCCATATCCGAACAGCCGGAAATGCCGGACAATTCCCGGACGTCGATGCCTCACTCAGATGCCAAGAATCAGATTCGCGTTGTCTCCTCTCAGGCTCAGATGACGTCAATATGTTGGCCGGATCGGCAGCGCTCCACACCCTCTGGATCAGACAGCACAATCGCATCGCCGAGAAGCTAAAGGTAGATGAACATAGCGTGAGATCGATCTTTGCAGGACCTCAACAAACACTGGTCAGACGATCGTCTATTTGACGAGACTCGGAAGATCATCGTCGCCCAGATGCAGCACATCACCTACAAGGAGTTCTTGCCACTCGTTCTGGGATCCGAGGCTGCAAAGTGGGGATTGGGCGTTAATTTTTGCTTTAAAGGGACTGGAACCCGCTTCGCAAAAATCGAAAATCATGCCTCCTGATGGTTTTAAAGGGACTAGTATGGCAAAAAATCGACCTCTGCCGCCTACTAGGTCTTGATAACTACGTTATGCAGCAAATGTCGAGTTTACTCACTATTTTCTAGGACAATTACAACGTATTTTAGCTGATTTCAAATTTATCGAAACCTAGTCTAGTGCGGGGGTCGATGATCACACTTCTCTGTCCCTTTAATTCGTCCTTAAACACGCTATGTGACAATTTCCAGAAAATACGGTCTCGCCCTCCATTCGTCGGGTTTCGACGCCGACTACGACATGTCAATCGAGGGGGCCGTCCTCAACGAGTTTGCCGTCACTTTCCCCTACGTCGTCTGGTCGCTGTTCCCGTCGGGTGAGGGCGCTTCAATGGTCCTTTAAGATTGCTTTTAAAGGGTTGGTCAGGCATGGCTATAGCTTTTGCGTGGTTTGCGACACGCAACGCGCACGCCGGCAGAAGACAGGCGGCAGGCGTGTCGCGCGCACGGCGAAAATTATTTCGAATCTTCAGCCAGAAAAAACTCTCGCCATCCCTTGTTGGTTCCTTTAAAGGGCCGGGTAAGGCAAGATTTCGCATCTTTTCTAATCCGCTTTGCCCGCGACACGCAACGCCGCCACCCGCCTGCCATTCGATCGCGTAATGGATTACGACAGCTTCAAGGAGTTCAAGCGAGCACTCGATACGCGTCGCGGTATATCCAAAATCACAGTTGAACCCTACCAAAAAAAAATCCATAGTTATGCCTAGTCGTCAATTCAATTTTTCTGACTCACTCCCTTTAAAATTACTGACTATAAGCTGCAACAAGCCCTCAAGCACTACGTTTAGTTCCTTTGTACACCCTCTTCAACAACCCCGGTCGAATCTTCCACAGCCATGGCATGGAGGATGTGATTAGGTGAGGAAAGCAGGCGCGCGCGCTTTCTCTCTCTCTATCTCCCTCGCTCTCTCTCACTCTCTCCGTCTTTCTCTCTCTGTATCTTTCTCACTCACTCTCTCTCTCTTTCTCTTTCTCTTTCTCTCTCCGTCTCTCTCTCTCTCCCTCGCTCTCTCTCACTCTTTCCGTATTTCTCTCTCTATATCTTTCTCACTCACTCTCTTTCTCTCTCTCTCTCTCTCTCTCTCTCTCTCTCTCTCCCTCTCTCTCTAGGGCCAGGCAGCTTTTTGAAGAGACTGAAAAGTCAGAATCGACCCTCCAATTGGCTAGGCACCGACAAATGGTTAGAGTTCGAGTCAAAAACCCTACTAAACATACTTTGAATTTTTGTGACTGTCGGACCTAGTCCAAGAAAGGGACGCTTTTGCCACTGCTTCCACGTCCCTTTAAACCCTCTAAATGCGCCCATCGTTTAGAACTCTACTGACAACAACCATCCTCCGGCCGGCCCTCCGAATGGGAGATGAGATGAAGAGCCAATTTTTGAGGGTTCGTTTTAAGGGGACGATGATTCAAGAAGAGGACTACCATCCCTAATTTGTAAAAAATGTGTGAACTATCGTATCCCGTAAAAATAATGACATTTCAGGACAACCTCGAGATCGGTCTAGATCTTGTGTCAATTGCGCTGAAACAGGGAAGAGATCACGGGATCCCCGGATATACGGCTGTCAGGGCACAATGTGGACTTGGAAAGGTTGGTGTTTGCAGGATTCTACCGTAGTGTCGTAGCCTAGCGTAGCCTAGCGTAGCGTTGTAATGTCTCTGCTAGCATGCCCTGTAAAAACCTCTATAACACCAAATTCCCTTCCACCAAGCTTCCCTGCTAGTTTGCCATGGTACTAAATAATGTTCAAGAAGGTGTTATAGTCGCTTGGAAATGTGGTTTTACCTTGTATAATTTTTTATGAATTTTGTAATGCGTAAACAGCCTATCCAGCCGCTGCTAGCTTGCCTTCTTTGCAGATCCGAGCCTTCCACGAGTTAGAAGACCACTTTGCCCCCGAGGTGCGCCAGGATTCGATCACTGTTATTTATGAAGACGTTGATGATATCGATCTTTTGGTATGTAATACCGGATTCCTAAACCAATTATACTAAAACTCGACTAAAAGCGCGATTTCTAGGTGGGAGTAATGGCTGAAAAACCGCTAAAAGGATCACTGGTTGGGCCGACGATGACGTGTCTTATTGGAAAGCAATTTCAACGGGTCAGTTTTAAGGAGAGAGAGCAGAGAGAGAGAGAGAGAGAAGGAGAGAGAGAACGAGAGAAAGAGAGCGCGCGAGAGTGAAAGAGAGCGAAAGAGAGCTAGCGAGAGCTAGAGAGAGAGCGAGAGAAAGCGAAAGAGAGCTACAGAGAGCGAGAGAGAGAGAGAGAAAGAGGGAGAGAAAGCGAAAGAGAGAGAGAGAGAGAGAAAAAAAGAGAGAGATTAGTTAGTGAGATAGAGAATTTTCTAGACGCGTCGTGGCGACCGTTTCTGGTACGAGAACTACTTTGCACGCAGCGCCTTCACCGAGGCTCAACTTGACGAGATACGCAAGACTACGCTCGCACAGGTTTGTCGGATTAAAACTAAAAAAGGGCATCTGGGCCTCAAAGTTTTCTTGTGATTTTCGGCCTTTTTTAGGTGGTGTGCCGGAATTTGGAGCTGACCAAGGTGCAGCCAAATGTTTTTATGGTCGAGGATCTCTACGAGTCAGTTTTCAGACCATTCGGTTACGCCGTTTAATGCGTTTCCGTTTTTCCTATTTACGCCATATTTTCGAATTTTTTTTAGAAATATGGGTATTGATTGCAACTCGACAATGTACGAGGAGCTGCACATAAAAGAATGGAGGGATTCAGAGGTACAAAATTCCAAAAACAAAAATATTGTTTTTCTGTTTTGGTGTAACGCTACAGCGCTTTAAAGGGGCGCGCAAGGCTAGGGTATCCAATACCCAGTATCCCTTTACCCCCAAAAATTGCAGGTCCGCCAAGAGCTTCCGGTCAGCCAGGAGACGATCGAAAAAGTGATGGCACTGGCGAAGACGAATCTCGAGGATCAGAAGAAGAGGGAGAGTGGACAGATTAAAGCCAGTACGCGCTGAAGGGTTACTGTAGGTGGAGCGTATTTTAGACCAGAAACGGTTCACGCGAGGAGATCCCCTATTCCAATACTCGTCCATGATGAGGGCCAAGCCGGAGGCGAAGCAATTGGCGCAGATCTCGGAGTTGTTGCTCGAGTCGACAAAGCTGTTGATTAAGGGGTTGGTTACGGTAGGAAAACCTGAACAGGTCACTAAATTTTGAAATGCTGGTAAAACCTATGTTAAAATTCCCCCGATAAAATAATTATGCAAACATAAAAAAACGACCATTAGGATTTTTTAAAACCCAAAATACAGATTTTTTTGCTTGAAAACCCTTTGAAAAGCTAAAAAAATATCTCTTGGGGCTTCTCTCGTACCCGAAATTTCCTCAAAAAAATTTTAGCGAAATGCTGCGCGAAGATGAAAAGCTGCCGGAGCTCGACACCGAGACGCTGCAACGAATTCTGCCGGAGGTGGACGTCACCACTTTCATCAACAACTACACGGCATTCCTCAGTCCCAATGGCCAGGTAGCGATTACTACAAAATAGACTTATGTTTCAGAGGTTTAACCGGCTAATAATCTAGCCCTAGACCACCCGTTGCTTCCCGGCAAAGTGCCGAAATTGCCGTAACGCAGCCGTGTTTGTTCGATTTCTAAGCCCAAATTTGATGGCGCACCGGCGCGACAAAAAATTCAAAAGAGGCTTTCTGGTTACTTAGCGGGGGTGCGGATCTTGGTCTCTGCTGGCGTGCCTAGGGCTCAAATGGCCTAGCTTTCCCTCCCCCGCTAATGAACCAGCTCCGAAGAAAGCAAAACAAAAACCAATTTCCGACCCCATTGATCACAAATTTATGCGGTTATTAACCGTTCTAGGAATTTTTCTGATGCACTATCGAATAGCGCTACAAAAATCCCGAAATGGGGCTAAAATCATCACATTCTTTTGACCAAACTTCAAATTTCAGAAAACCGTTGGCGAGTGTATCCCGAAGATGTTGCCGTGTGATCATACTTCGCGATATAGGAGCTATTCCGGGTGGTGCAATAATCTACAGTACCCGCATTTCGGGAACGCTTTCGGGCCGTTGAAGCATTTATTGCCACCGGTTTATGATGACGGTAGGTTTTCAGGGACGATTTTTGTGTTTATCTCTCTCTGACCAGATGGTTACAGTCGCTTCGCGACTGCAACCATCTGGCCTTCGGGCTACCCTACATGTCCCACTCCACCACATCCTTTCCCACCTCCATCAATACCCCCGATAGCCGAAATCCCGTTCAAAAACTACCTAAATACCTTCCTGATGGCTGCAGATACCCCCATGGCTGAAATCCCCTTCAAAAACTACTTAAATACCTTCCTGATGACTTCGGATACCCCCCATGGCTGAAATCCCCTTCAAAAACTACTTAAATACCTTCCTGATGACTTCGGATACCCCCCATGGCTGAAATCCCCTTCAAAAACTACCTAAATACCTTCCTGATGGCTTCAGATACCCCCCATGGCTGAAATCCCCTTCAAAAACTACCTAAATACTTTCCTGATGGTTTAAGGTACCTCCCCTAGCCGAAATCCCCTTAAAAAACAAAAATAACGACCGACCGGATGGAATGAGAGAAAAAAGAAATGAAATCCCCCATGAAAATTTTCATCCACGAAACGCGCGCGACCTGGCTCACTATGTCCAAAATCACCCCAACCTCCGTCCCCCACCCCTTTTACTAAGGAAAAAACTTTCAAAGTTAATTTTAATAATTTAAACAAAAAGTTTTTCATAATTTTTTTATCATTTTGGGGGTTTCTGAGGGCGCTCTATCCGAATCCGAAGAGAGCTAAGCTCTAGCTCCTTTCCCCTTCGAGTTGAATTCGGCTTCAGACACACAGACGTCTTTACTTTTTTATTATAGTTGATTGTCTTTGTCTCACTCTCTATCTCCCTCTCTCTCTGTCTCACTCTCTGTCTCTCTCGCCCTCTCTCTATCTCTCCCTCCCTCTCTCTCTCTGTCTCTCTCTCACTCTCTCTCGCACTCTCTCACTCTCTGGCTCTCTCTCACTCCCTTTCACTCTCCCTCTCTCACTCTCTCTCTCTCTCTCTCTCTCTCTCTCTCTCGCTCTCGCTCTATCGCTTCCCTTCCAGGATTCGACATCCCTCGTTGGCGTGGCAAATCGGGTCGTTCTCTCCCGAACCCTCGTCGGGTCTCAAATGCTGTCAACGAAGATGTGGACATCGAGCATACCCGCTTCACCCACATGGTCATGCAATTCGGTCAATTCCTTGATCACGAGCTGACCCATTCCCCGGCTGCCCGAGGGCCCAATGACGAGATTTTGAACTGTACAAGGTAGGGTTTAGCTTTTGCTAACCTCCCCCCCGAAAGTAGAGAAGTACCGATTTCGACTTTTTTCGATCGTTATTGTATTTATCCTTGAGATGCGACTCCCACGAGACAATCTCTATCCATTGTATGCCGATTCGAGTGGAAGAGGGAGATCCCTTCTTCCCGACCCATTATCCCAACGGGGAACCCCGATGTCTTCCATTTGCCCGTTCTCTTCTTGGCCAATTGAATCTTGGGTATCGAGGGCAGATGAATCAGGTACGGGAGTATACGGTAGAAAGGAGAGTACGCTGCATTCCAGTTAACCGCCTATATTGATGCTTCGGTGATGTATGGATCGACGGATTGTGAGGCCAAGGCGTTGAGGTCTTTCCAGGGGGGACTTTTGAACTTCACGGACTCGCTGCAGCACGGGACTTTATTGCCACAGGTTGGTGGGAGGTTGCTCTATCTCGCTCTCTGGCTCACTCTCTCTCTCGCCCTATCTGGCTGTCACTCTCTATCTCTCGCTCTATTTGCCTCTCACTGCCTGTCTCTCTTACTCTGCCAATCTCTCTGCCTCTCTCTTGCTCTCTCTCACTCTCTTTCTCTCGCTCTCACTTTCGCACTATCTGGCTGTCACTCTCTATATCTCGCTCTATTTGTCTCTCACTGCCTGTCTCTCTCACTCTGCCAATCTCTCTGCCTCTCTCTCTCTCGCTCTCTCCCACTCTCTCTCTCTCTCTCTCTCTCTCCAACCTCTCCCCTTTTAGGGCAATCAAGAACACGACTGCCGCTCAGCCCCCCGCCATCCCTGTTTTGTGGCCGGTACGGGACCTACAGTAACCCCTCTAACCCGCTCGTAATTAGGTGACGAGAGGAATTCCCACCAGCCCGGACTAACAATGATGCACACGATCTGGATGCGAGAACACAACAGAATTGCCGCCCAGCTACAAATTCTGAACCCGCATTGGACCGATGAGATACTGTATCAGGTACGCGGGTTTAAAGGGGGTGGGACAGGACACTATTTTGCGGTTGTAAAACTAGTACCGCGTTTCAAGGCCTTGTTTTTGGAATTTTTGTGTATTTAAGGCAATTAGGAAGCCAATCACTAGCGGCCGAAAAGTTCGCACGTTCTAAAAATGCCTAAAATACCTAAAATTTCATTATTTTCAGGAAGCCCGACGGATCGTGACGGCTGAGATGCAAAATATTGTTTTCTCCGAATTTCTGCCGAAAATTATTGGCAACGACTTGTTGGATAAGAACGGTAGGAGAGAGAGACAGAGAGAGAGAGCGAGAGAGAGAGAGAGAGAGAGTGAGTGAGTGAAAGAGACGGTGTGAGAGAGACGTAGATAGCGGGAAAGATCCCAGATAGACCGAGAGAGAAGAGAGAGAGAGAGAGAGAGAGAGAGAGAGAGAGATAGAAATAGGAGAATGAGAGAAAGAGCGAGAATGGGAGAGAGAGAGCGACATACATAGCGCGCGAGAGAGAATGAGTCAGAGGGAGTGAGTGAGTGAGTGACGTAACGAGTGAGTAACGTAGATAGAGCGAGAGAGACATAAATAAGTGTCGAGTGAGCGAGAGGGAGCGGGAGAAAGATAACCAGATAACCCCATTTTTCAGACCTCTTCCCCAAGAAATCCGGCTATTTCACCGGCTACGACCAATCCTGCGATGCCTCCATCTCACAACCTTTCGCCACAGCAGCCTTCCGTTTTGGCCATACCCTTGTGAGGAGAATGTTCCCCCGAATGGACGCCGACTATAGGTTGCCTTTTCTACCGTAACCCTGATCACGAATTTCTAAGGAATATGAGTGATCCGGTGGATTTGGCCAAGCATTTCGGGCATGTCGAGCCGATTTATAATGGGTCTTCTGGAGGGCTTGATTCGATGATGATGGGGCTTCTTGGGACTCCTTCGATGGCTTTTGATCGGCATATTACGACGGCGCTGAGGTGATCTCTCTCTCTCTCTCTCTCTCTCTCTCTCTCTCTCTCTCTCTGTCTCTCTGTCTCTCTCTACCTCTCTCACTCGCTCGCTCTCTCACACCCTCTCTCTTTCTCGCTCTATCTCTCTAGCTCTCTCGCTCACTCTCTCTCTATCTCTCTCTCTGTCTCTCTCTCTCTACCTCTCTCGCTCGCTCGCATTCTCTCGCTCACTCTCTCACTCGCTCACTCTCTCTCACTCTCTCTCTATATCTCTCTCTGTCTCTCTCTCTACCTCTCTCGCTCGCTCGCATTCTCTCGCTCACTCTCTCACTCGCTCACTCTCTCACACCCTCTCGCTCTCGCTCTTTCTCTTTAGCTCACTCTCACCCTTTCTCTTTATCCCTCTCTCCCTCTCACTCTCGTCCCCTCTCACTCTCTCTCCTCAATTCAATCCCCTTCCAGAAATCACCTCTTCATGCGTCGTGGCGAACCCACTTCCGGCATGGATCTAATCGCCATCAATATGCTTCGTGCTCGTGACCACGGTGTCCAACCCTACAATGATTTCCGAGAATACTGTGGCTTCAGAAGGTACACCAACCCCATAAACATTTCCATTAATGCCCCAATCTTTAGAGCAAAGACCTTTGGTGATCTTCGAGATTTAATGGATGTTGATGCGGTAAATGCCCTTCAAGAAGTCTATGAAAGTGTCGATGATATTGATCTATTCCCGGGACTTGTCGCTGAAAGACCGCTGGCTGGAGCTTTGGTAAGTTGTAAAGGGTTTCTGCTAGCCTGCCCGGGTTACAAATGGTCTCTATTAGGTTTCCCTTGTCTCAAGTGGTCTTTGCTAGCTTGCACTCGTACTCTTTCTGCTAGGTCGCCCTAGTCTCAAAAAATTTCTGCTCGCTCGCCCTGGGTTCGAATTGCCTCTGCTAGCTTGCCTTGGTGCAAAAGAATCCCTGCTAGCTCGCCCTGGTCCTGAAATTCTTTCTGCAACCTTGCCTCTGTCCCCCAAACGAGCTGTACTAGCTAGCTTCAAATAATATTGGTCCAAACAGTTTCTGCTGATTTGCCCTGGCTTCAACAAGTTTCTGCCGGTATGCCCGAATCTCAAATGGTCTCTGCTAGCCTCCCTTGGTCCCCAATTCTATCCGCTAGCCTGAACTGGATTCAAATGGTCTGCTTGCGCTGGCCGCACCAAAAAAACACGGATTTTGACTAGGCGAGGTTGAAAACCTAGCTTAAAAAACCAGTAAAAAATTGTACAATTTCAGCTGGGCTCGACGATGTCGTGCATCCTGGCCGAGCAGTTCGGCCGTCTGAAGAAGTGCGATCGTTTCTACTACGAGAATGACAACCAAGCCGCCAAGTTCACCCCAAGTACCCATTTCCGGACCCCCCATTTCCAATTCTCATTCCAGGCCAACTGGCCTCGATTCGAAAAGTGAGCCTGGCGTCGATATTCTGCCGTAATAGTCGACATATCAGGACATTACAGCCCCATGTCTTTGATCTACCCGATGATCTCATGTGGGTTACGGTAGGACGGGGGTGATATATAGCGTTTTAGGAACGCTCAAGTGCCGTGTACGGATATACCGGCTGTGGATTTGGACCATTGGAAGGATAGGCGTGAGTTTGGTAGTATCGGGTTCGTCAAAAGTTCCTGCTAGCTTGCCTGGGCTGGTAATTTTCCCCAAATAGCCTCTGCCAGCCTGCCCAGTCTCAATTTTCCCAAACAATCTTTGCCAGCCTGCCTTCGTTCTTTCCGACACGATCTCTTCTAGCATACGCTTGGAGTTATTTTCCCCAAAGTTCCTCTGCTAGCAGATCTGGCGCTCTTATGAGAAATAGACTCTGCTAGTTTGCCTACCATTTTCCAGCAAAAGACCTCTGCTAGCTTGCCTGGTGTTCTTTTCCCAACGGTTCCTGCTAGCCCGCCTGGCGTTTTTCCCAAATAGCCACTGTTAGCCGGCCTGGACTGATTAAAATTTTCCCCAAATGGCTTCTGCGAGGTAAGGAGGGTCTTTCCCAAATGTTCCAAACGGTCTCTGCTAGCCTGCCTGAACCCGATTACAACTTCCCTAATGGCCACTGCTGACCTGCCCAGCTCACTCACTTTTTGCAGAATCCGGGCTTTCCGCAAAGCCTTCCTTTCCCTCAAAAGCGGCTGCTAACATGCTCTGGCTATCAAGACGAAATTTCCATGCTTGTCCGCAAAGAACCTTTGCTAGCCTCCGTCAATTTTCTCAAATAGCCACAGTTAGCGACCAAGCATCCGCTTGAGACTCCTTGGTTTTCATAAAAATTCCATCTAGCCTGCCAGCCAGGCGCGGAAATTTTTCCCAAAAGCTCTCTGCTAGACTGCCTTGGCTTCTGTCCGGATTTTTAAGCCTTTCCAGAAAGAATCACTGCTAGTCTGCCTCAAAACCAATTTTTCAGGCCACTGCGACATGAACGGGAAGACGATAGCATTGGGTGAATCGGCGCATGTCACTCCATGCGTCACGTGCACCTGCACTTTGGATGGGGTATTTTATGCCATACGATAGCTTAGGGCACTTTTTAGGTGAACTGCCACCCCGCAAAGGTCGACAGCTGCGAGAATTTGTCGCGCAGCTTTTTGTTGAGCGAAATTGCAAAGGTTAGCTTGATTTTTTACATCTTAATCCCTTTAAAAAGTAACCCCAGTTTTTAATCCACCTTTAGGATACCTCGTGCATGATCCAATGTGCCGATATCGTCAAAAGAAGATAAAAAACCCTATTACCTGTCTGTATATACCGTATCATCGCCCCATTTATGCGTAGTGCAATACCTCCACTCGTGTACATATATATTATTTATTACCGAAAAAAGCTGAATCCTGTGATCACAAAGCCTTAAAAGTGAATAAAATAGTCAAATCACTATGTGCAGGCCTTATACTACTACTAAAAACTTATAAAACTGTCCAATGATCATGTAAAAGCCTACAGTATACCCTCACAAACCCTAGATCCAAAAAGCAAAAAGATTGCCCATGGGTGGAATCGAACCACCGTCGCCACGGCCACAACGTGGAGTACTAACCACTATACTACATGGGCCGAGAGAAGGGCAGGGCGGGGGGCGATAAGAGGGAAAGGGGCCGGAGAGGGGACTTGGCGGGGAGAGGGAGAGGTAGTGTTGGTTTTTAGTCCAAAGTCCACGGACTTTTTCGGACTAAAAAGTCCGCGGACTAAAAAGTCCACGGACTTTTCGGACTAAAAGTCCGCGGACTAAAGTCCGCGGACTTTTTCGGACTAAAAAAGTCCGCGGACTAAAAAGTCCACGGACTTTTTCGGACTAAAAAGTCCGCGGACTAAAAAGTCCACGGACTTTTCGGACTGAAAAGTCCGCGGACTAAAAAGTCCACGGACTTTTTCGGACTGAAAAGTCCGCGGACTAAAAAGTCCACGGACTTTTTCGGACTAAAAAGTCCGCGGACTAAAAGTCCACGGACTTTTTCGGACTGAAAAGTCCGCGGACTAAAAAGTCCACGGACTTTTCGGACTAAAAAAGTCCGCGGACTAAAAGTCCACGGACTTTTTCGGACTAAAAAGTCCGCGGACTAAAAAGTCCACGGACTTTTCGGACTGAAAAGTCCGCGGACTAAAAAGTCCACGGACTTTTTTGGATTGCAAAGTCCGCGGACTAAAAGTCCACGGACTTTTTCGGACTGAAAAGTCCGCGGACTAAAAGTCCACGGACTTTTTCGGACTAAAAAGTCCGCGGACTAAAAAGTCCACGGACTTTTTCGGACTAAAAGTCCGCGGACTAAAAGTCCACGGACTTTTTCGGACTGAAAAGTCCGCGGACTAAAAGTCCACGGACTTTTTGGATTGCAAAAAGTCCGCGGACTAAAAAGTCCACGGACTTTTTTGGATTGCAAAAGTCCGCGGACTTTTTAGTCGTGGAACCTCGGGGGTTTTGAATTAAAAAAGTCTGCGCCAGCATTTCCGCTTCCCATTCGTTTATGGCTCGACGAAAAACCCGCAAACCATTTTTTAATTGGCATGTGGTAACCATCCATCGCTCTTATTGTTAGACGCGGGCGGCAGAATAGGCCATAATTGTGCCGTTAGTTTGTCTGTGTTTTTGGTCTTGGTTCGGTTTGTTTGCCGAGAAAGGCTTTATCAGAAGTGAAACGTAACAACAAATGAGACTCTACACAACAAGAACAACAATATCGGCCTTAGGAAACTTTCAATCTAACAAAAACCAACAAAAAAGGGGCTCTGAGTGAGCAGATTTAGGGCTTTTTCCTGGGTTGCGACCGGGTCGGGTGGAGAGCATTGCTCTTCAAGTGTCGGCAGTCATATCTGAAAGGAGGTTTTGAAGATGATCAGATATTACCTCGTTATCCTCGAAAAAAAACTCTTCCGGTGGGTGAGATTTTAGGGCTTCTTCTTGCGCAATTTCCTCTTTGTAAAGCAGATAGTCTTCATCCTCTTCCGCAAGCTCCTTCAAGGCCGGCTCACCATTGACCATCTGAACGGAAAAGTTTCGGATACCAGAAGGGGATACTACCTGGTCGGTTAGCGTCTGGACCAGAATTCGATTCTCGGCATCAAGTAGGGCAAGTTCGGGATAGGGATCCGATGCTGCGGCCGCCCTAGAAAGGACATTGGCTTCAAGCACCGGAACGTACCAAAGTTTTGCAGCCCTCTCGGCGGCCAGGTGATGAGAAATGAATAGCATCTTTGATGCCCGCTTCGGATCCAAACGGTTCCGTTGTTGATTCACGTAGAGCAGGCCGGCACGAGAGAAAACCCTCTCACATTGAACAGAGGCGGGGAGACGGACAAAAGCGCAGCCGCGACCCTAAACATAAATATTAAAGATAGAAACATCGCGTACCTTTGTAGCAATGGACATCGCCGAGGGTTCTTCCAAAAGCGTGTCACATAATCACCGGAATCCAAGTACACGGGGCAATTCTCGGACTCGAAGGCTTCTTTTATCAGCATCAACTCTATCTGAAATGGAGATACCAGGGAAAAGCCGCCCCGACCTTGATGCTTTCCTCGACGTCCTTCGGCTTGCGGAGATGCGTCAGGTCGAGCCGCTGTGTAGGGGCGGTCAGCAAGGCGCCAATGGGGTCGTTAGCTTCGTCCCCTTGGGTGCTAGCCCAGGATCGTTTTCTTGGCGCTGGATTCTCGTACTGCGACGGCCCGACAGACTCGGACGGCTCTACGCTCTGGAGTAAATCTAAGAAAAAACTCAGTATAAGTTGATTATTTACCTTTTCCAAGAGCAACTAGCGCGCCCTCCTGAACAGCCATATCTTCCTCAGAGAAGACCCTGACCGAGCCCCATGAATAAGGGCACAAGGCCGCTGCGGCTAGGATCAATTTGCTGCGCTTCGCTGCCTGAACCTGCTGTTCACATCCGCGGACAATCAATTTACCTCCACCCGAGTCGCCAACTGCTCCGCCATCCTTTCGGCTAATTTGGTGCCAACCTCGGTGCGGTATTGATGGCTGCTATGGTACGGCACGTTACCGATAAGAAGAAATCACTAACCTTTCAAAGCCCTTCTGCAAGATATTCAGGGCATACATATATTCGAAAATCGTGATCTGATCAGCGGAGAACTAAACCAACATTGAATAGAGAAGTAGTTAAACTCACTTTTTTGGTAAACCAATGAAAATACTTCAATATTTGAAGGAGATCTTCAATGATTTGCCACTCATCTTCGGCAATCTCGAACATGCCCTTCTGCACTCGCATAGCTTCATAGACTTGCCGCTAAAAGAGACATTGCGACCCATTTTGATTTTCTCAACCTGTCGGAAGAAAAGGGCCAACATCTCATAGGTAGCACCCCAGCGAGTTCTGACGTCTAGCAGGGCTCGTCTCACAGGGATTCCCCACTTCTTTTGCAGCCTAAATAAAATTAAAGTTATTGGATCCTTAGCTTACTCTTCAAATAATGCTTTTAGCCTTGTAGATTTGCGAATCGTCTTGATGTTATGACGGATTCTCGACAAAAGATCTTCGATTTTCGGATCGTCGAGCCCGGCGAGAACGACCAGTTGTAGCAGGTGGGCAATGCAGTGAACCCAAGTCTCGTCACTAGAAGAAAAGGTATAGCGAAATGTCTGGGGTTACCTTAATCCCGCCTTCGTAGCGAGTCGCCTCGATGCACACTTTTCATTCGCGGCACCATCGGTGGTGAAGCCAACCAATTTCTCAAATGGAATTTGGAAATCTCGCAGATCCTCCAGGACTATCTAAATATACTATTTTAGACCGCCAATCGCGGAGTAAACTTGCCTCGGAAAGGAATGTGGCATCTTGTTTCTTGTTAGTCACGTCTTCAATTGATAACAGGGCATTTTGTCGCGTCATCTGTGCGTCAGACCAGTGAATGTATGTGCTAAAATGGGGAAGCTTAATAAAATGATTCAATTTTACCAATGTAGGCTGACAGTATTTGCCTTCGACGACCAGGAGTCAAAACTTAGCCCGATATTTACCGCATCCTTCAGCCTCTCGCACAACAGATTCTAAATAACAATTAGGAACATCGTAGATCCGCCAACCTTTAGTTCCCCGTACCGCCTGTCGAGGATTGGTCCCGACAATGCATGCCGCGTCGGTCCTTTGGTTCGCCCACCACTCACTGCCAATGTATATTCCCTAAACCAAGGATCAAGCTTAGACGCAACACCTACTTCCAATCGTGATTCTCCACAATGTTGAACGACAGATTAGCTGACAGTATCAGGTTCAGGCATTTATCGTCAATCTCCTGCTAAACATCCTTTTCCATGAATCAATCCCTTAAAATTATACCGGTCTTTTCTGCAGGAGCTGCCGCGGGCTAGCCTTGTCGCTGACGGGCCTTTTTGGGCTAGGGGGCCTATGTATATAGCTTGATAGTCGACCAGAAAAATATTACCTCTGGATTATCACCGTCCAGATGTTTCTTCAGATGGCGGCCGATTGCCGACAGCCCGCCTTTGGTGATGAACATCGCCCCACAGAAGTTGCATTTTTGAGGAATCTCCGACCGTAACAATGTGCTGCCGAATCGTCGTCGCACTGCCAAAGCATTCATTAGTATGACATAAACACTGACCTGTAATTCTCTCCCCTTGTTAGACGCGGATCATCTGCCGACCCTCCCATTTTACCAAGTTCTACCTGAAAATATAACGATTACTTGGCCGCAAATTTAAACCGTGTAAGAGAAAACGACAAGGACAATTGTATATTTCGATGTAGATGAGATGGCGTGCCAATTAAAAATGGTTTGCGGGTTTTTTCGTCGAGCCATAAACGAATGGGAAGCGGAAATGCTGGCGCAGACTTTTTTAATTCAAAACCCCCGAGGTTCCACGACTAAAAAGTCCGCGGACTTTTGCAATCCAAAAAGTCCGTGGACTTTTTAGTCCGCGGACTTTTCAGTCCGAAAAAGTCCGTGGACTTTTTAGTCCGCGGACTTTTCAGTCCGAAAAGTCCGTGGACTTTTAGTCCGCGGACTTTTTAGTCCGAAAAAGTCCGTGGACTTTTTAGTCCGCGGACTTTTTCAGTCCGAAAAAGTCCGTGGACTTTTTAGTCCGCGGACTTTTTAGTCCGAAAAAGTCCGTGGACTTTTTAGTCCGCGGACTTTTTTAGTCCGAAAAAGTCCGTGGACTTTTAGTCCGCGGACTTTTCAGTCCGAAAAAGTCCGTGGACTTTTTTAGTCCGCGGACTTTTTCAGTCCGAAAAAGTCCGTGGACTTTTTAGTCCGCGGACTTTTCAGTCCGAAAAAGTCCGTGGACTTTTTAGTCCGCGGACTTTTCAGTCCGAAAAAGTCCGTGGACTTTTTAGTCCGCGGACTTTTTAGTCCGAAAAAGTCCGTGGACTTTTTAGTCCGCGGACTTTTCAGTCCGAAAAAGTCCGTGGACTTTTTAGTCCGCGGACTTTTTAGTCCGAAAAAGTCCGTGGACTTTTTAGTCCGCGGACTTTTTAGTCCGAAAAGTCCGTGGACTTTTTAGTCCGCGGACTTTTTAGTCCGAAAAGTCCGTGGACTTTTTAGTCCGCGGACTTTTAGTCCGAAAAAGTCCGCGGACTTTTTAGTCCGCGGACTTTTTAGTCCGAAAAGTCCGCGGACTTTTTAGTCCGCGGACTTTTTAGTCCGAAAAAGTCCGCGGACTTTTTAGTCCGAAAAAGTCCGTGGACTTTTTAGTCCGCGGACTTTTTAGTCCGAAAAAGTCCGTGGACTTTGGACTAAAAACCAACACTAGGGAGAGGCCAAGGCGTCAAGGGAAAGAGCGAGTCAGAGGGTGGCAGGTGAATTTTGGGGGGTGTTTTGGCAGGAGAATTGGGGGGAAAACGGTTTTTACTAATTTAATTAATCTATTATAATTTTATAATCTAAATTACGGTAAGGATAATATCAATACTTAAAAAGTTGTCTCCAAATCCAGCTTAACCATGGTTTAAAAGGCTTAAAAAACTATTTTTGACGTAAAAATAGCGCAATTCCGTATTTTTTCGGAATTTATGTTTACTTCCCGCCAAAATCTACCGCAACCCGACGAATATAGCGGTTTTCTTAAAGCGCTCACAATTTTTGAGGGATTTGCCACACCTTATCCCTAACACTCTCTCGCTGTCTCTCCCGCTCTCTCACTCTCTCGCGACCCAGTCAACACACGATTTAATTCCGGGAGATCGTCAAATCGACCTCGCGCGCCACCGGGTCTCTCCTCTCTTTGGGTTTTGGACTACAGAGTACAACTGAGTGTGTGTCCAGTGGTGTTCCGTGTACACTCCGATCGAGCATCCCGCACTACCAGAAATGACCCCCGGTCAAATTGGGGGGAATTTCGCGCTAATCATTTTGAATTCGAGAAAGCGCCTTGGCTGAATTACTTCGTTTTCCGAGCCTATCTTCTTCCATAGATTCGGCTCTCTAGCTACTTCTACTTACGGCATGAAAATACACATTTTTTTCTGTTATTTTTGGTAGACCTGACGGCTAAATTTGTTTTAGTATACCAAAAATACGAGTTAAATTAAGGGTGGACCGGGGAATTATCTCCAATTTGAACCGTACTCTCAAATTTGGCTCAAAAACCTTTAACTTTTGAAAAATCAAGTCCAAAATTTCCAATTAAATTTTCCACATAAATCTTTCTTTTTCTTAATAATTCTTAAAGTTAATATGTTTGTTTTCTTCTTAAAAACTCGAATATGGGCTTAAAAAACTAAGGAACATTTAAAAAATTACTTCCAAAACTTTTTAATCCAAATTTTCATTTAAACTGTCGCTGCTTACTCTTAATATTTTGTAAGTTCTAGCTAAAAGGTCTGAATTTAAATTGGACACTTAAAATTGGCTAAAAGCACCTTGCAACCTTTGAGCAGTGACTACCAAAACCATTGCACCGAATTTTTTATATAAATCGCGGCCGCTTTTTCGCAATATATTTGTTCCTTCTGATTATAACTCTGAAATCTTGGCGTAGAATCGCAAAAAACTTGATAATTACTTCCACAACTATTTCTAATTCCAACTATCCATCTAAAAACCCTAAACATTTCCAGGCAAACCACAGATGCATTTGTAGCCGAAGTGCTAGCAAATTCACGATCTCAGAATAGCCGACAAGATGGACCCCAGGCATCTGCAGGTTTGAAATGCGAGGGTATGGCTCGTAATCCGGGTTGTTTTCAGAACACGTTGAACCCGGGCGGTGGGGCGATGGATGCGAATCAACAAAACGCCTTCCTCCACCCCCAATACAATCAATTCTTTGCCCAGAATCAGCTGCTCAGCCAGGGATTCTACCCGAGTCAACAGCAGGTAAGAGCAACACATTAAAATAGCTAAAAAGTCAATGATTATTGCTGAAAAATATCGGCAATTTTGCACCACCTTTTTTTTCCTCTAAGGGCAGATATGTTGTAATAGATAACAAGTATTTAAAAGTTTTTTTTACAGTTTAGTTATATTTATAGTGGAAAAACTACTCAGAAAACGCAGAAACATTTTGAAAATACAAAATTTTGGTAGGAAATGAACCTTTTTGGGCGAAAAATAAAATTTTTAACATTTGCTAATAAAGATTTGTAAATTTTTACGATTAGTATAAGAAAAACAGTGTAGAAATTGGGATTTTCTACCGGAAAACTGGCTCCTACGGAACCCCCCTCCCCGATATTGCAAAAGAACCCAACACATCGAAAAAAAGGCGCCAAATTTCAGATGCTCGACATGCAGTACATGCAACAACAACAACTATTGCACGTAAGTTGGGGGGAATGTAGCGGAAAAGCTAAAAAAAGCAACTAACACGAATGGATCGATACTTTGCTGACCAATCCTTAAAAATCTACATTTCAAGCAATATGTAAGTTATTAAAAGCTTTTCAGATGCAACAGCAACTCCCCCAACAACACCAACAATCCCTCCAACAACCACAGCTTGGCCTGCACCCGAATTCGGTAGATTAACTTAAAATTTAGCAAAAAATTTTTCTCACAATTCAGATGCTACAACAACAACAACTCCTACAGCAACAACATCTACCGCAATTCCAACAAGTTGCCCAGGTTCGGCTTTAGAAAACGGTCATAATCCTGTAATCTGTGAAAATCAGGATCATTTAAGCAAATTGAGCTTAGCTTCAGCTTTAGCTTATTTTTTTAGCAACAAATGAGCCAGCACCAACAGCCACAATATCAACAGCCCCCGCAGCAGCCACAGCCGCCACAGGTTCGTTGGAATTTTGAACACCAAAAAATCTAAAAAATAGTTTTCTATGAAACGGATCTTGTGTAGTATCAGGCGGAACGAACTTAGCATCAAAAACGGCAAGCAAGTATTTTAAAAAGCTTTTTAGTAAAATTTATCCACATTTCCAGTGGAAGAACTGTTTAGAAAACTTAGAGAGCGCCTCAAGAGCCAAACCTTGGCCGAAAAAGCTAGTTTTCTGAGTTGCCAATCAAAATTTATAAATTCCTCACGTGTAGAAATAGCAAAAAACTGTTAAAAACGCTTTAATAAAAACTTATTACAGAAACAATTATAATAGAAAAGTCTAACCTAAGCAAAAATCTGAAAACCATTATTTTACAGCAAATGACCCATCAGCAGCGCCTACTCGACCAGCAAAAACAACAAATGGAAGCGATACGGCAACAACGGCTAGCCCAGGAACGCGCCGAAGCTGAGGCTCGACTGATTGAGCAACAGAAGAGGGTAAGGCCAAGCTAGAACCTCTAAAAAGAGCTTAGGAAGCGGAGGAGGCTGAGAAGCGCCGGATAGCTGAAGAGATTCGGCGTAAGGAGGAGGCGGAACGGCTCGCGAAGCTCGAGGCTGAGATGTTGGAGCGGAGGAAGATGGAGGTGGGGAGTTAAAAAACCCATAATAAAACGTCAAGAAGATTTAAATAGGAAAAATTTTTGGGAAACTTCTATTCTTCAAAAAATTCGGGGTTATTGCTCTCAAATGCAAAAAAGCAAAAGAAATCAACAAAACCAAAACCATCTTCCAGGAAGAAGCCGCCCGCCAGGCCGAAATTGAACGCCTCCGCCTCGAGGCCGAGCGCCGAGAGCGCGAACAACTCGAAAAGGTGCAGGCCGAGCAGCAGGCGAAGGCTCGGGAGGCCGAGAAAAATCAGCACGAGCTAGAGGAGCGAGGAGCCAAGCTTCCAGCTCCTTACACCATGCTCGGCACGCCAATTACAAATTGTAAATACCGAAAAAAACTCGTAAACCAACTTTTTAGTGCTGACGCTGATCTCGTTTCCCTCGGAAAATTTGGCGAATTCGCAGATGCTGAGGATTTGTCAGCCGAACGAGCTGGGGGTAGGTTTAACGGGAAGGAATTTAATAAAATAGGGGTGGTTCATTAGCGCGGGGGGGGGGACGGGGGTAGCAAAAAAGGAGAAAAAAAATATATGACTATTAAAGTGCTCAAAAATCGTTGCCTTTCTGGTTAATAATGAATTATAGAGCTCAAAAACCTTCAAAAGATAAAGCGTTAAAAATTGGTGACTAAAGAGATGTTTTTCTTCTTAATTCTACCCCCACCCCGCGCTAATGAATCGGAACCATGGAATAATTTTACGTTTCTCGTCAAAATTGGATGTTAAATCTTAAAAATTTAAAAAGGCAAAAAAGTAACTAAAAGATATTTTTCTAACTGATCAGTTCTACCCCCCCCCCCGCTAGTAAACCAGAACCATAAAATACCATTTTTAGGCCCTAAACAACACCGACCCAACCCTGGTCGCAAATATCTGCGACGCTTTGGCGGCCTGTGACGTCAATGACATGTAAGCCGAAAACCCCCGAGCTATCACCCATCCCAATTCAGCAAAATGCGCCAAGACTTTGAGACGAATGAGACGGCGTTCGATCAGCTGCCCCCGTTGATAAAGGCCGTTCTCCAGCACCGTGCCGACGCCCTCGACGTGGAGACGTCGATGGCGCATGGCATCGATCTGGGCGACATCAACGACGCGATGAACACCGATTTCAATTTGGACCGGCCTAGCGAAGTAGCTTATTCTTAAAAAACGAAGGGTCAAATCTATTCCAGACATCAGCGGCGCCGAGACCCATGGGTCAACCCACCGATCCGGCCCGGCCAGCGTTCAAGCCCGCCGAAATCGCGCATCCCGATGGGTGGGCTTTTCTTTCGATCGGTTTAAAACTAACCTATTGTAAAGAACCCTCCATAAACCGTTTTTAAAGTAATCTCAAACCAGTGGCTAAAGCACCGCGACTAGATAAAAAAAGCAATAGAAACTCTTTTTTTAGTGAAAAGATCCGCCGCCAAATGATCTCACTAGGGAAACAACCGAAAGCCGCGCAGAATCAACGCAAGAAAAAGGTAATCAAGGTATAGAAAACCTAAAACAGGGCTTAGGACATGGTCGCAGAGCTGTACGACTCGCTGACCGACTATTTCGACCCAAGCCAGGGACCGCGGTCACGGAGAAAGGCCAAAACTTTTGAAGAGGAGCTCCAGGATAAGGTAATCATTATTGATTTAGGAGAAAAATTGAAAAGACGTCTACAATTTAAAAAACTAATAAAACAAAAAATTAAAAGTTTAAAAACACGAACGCTCCGCTACTTAACACTCCTAACGACACTGAGTTCCGTAATTAGTGTAGCGTGGAACGGGGGACCTCATTTTTATTTTCGCGCTTTTCGTCTTCTTCCCGCTTTTTTCGCAATGAAGCGACCGAGTTTGATGCGAACGCGGGTACTTTTTTTTAGGCTTCATGAAAAAGCGTGAAACTGGCAACTATGATCGGATATAGGCAATTCGGGCTCGAGAAAGCAAAACGTTACTAGGATGGTTTGCGGGGCCACTCTTTTGCCTGTTGGTGTCTGTTATAATATTTTTTTTTGCTCTGGGCTCGAATTTCACCGAAACGGAACCGGGAGACGATAAGTTTCGCCTCTAGAAACACCTCAAAAGCGAAAACCAGCAGCTAAACTTCTGATTCTGCTTGACTCATTATTTATGGTTATTTAGAAGGATCTCGAAATGGTCGAGCGAATGGAGCACGACGGAGACGAGTCCGAACACGACCCTGAAGCTGCAGGCCCTTCAAGCGTCAAGCGCCCCTTCGAGGAGGATGAGCTGGACGGGAAGTAGGCAGTTCCAGCTTTTCCTTTAATCCTTTTTCCTAGGTTCTTTGACAAGCGCAAGTCGAAAAAGAGGAAACACGAAGAATTCGAGCGAGCCCCCACCCCCACCGAGGTCATCCAGGAGCGGGAGGCTGAATGGATCGAGCGCCAGCGGCAACGCAACGAGAAACGGAGACGGAATCGCGGTGATGACAGCGGCGAAGAAAATTGGAGTAACGATGTGATGGCCGAGCAAGCGTCGCAAGAATGCTTCGAGGCCACGATTGATCAAATCGTGAATGAGGTTGACATCGAATTCGGCCGAGACGATCAAGATGGTATGCAATTTCGCAGGTGCAAAACCGTTTTTTTAGACGATGACAATGCCGACATGGACGCGCAGTGTTTGATCGAGGCGTCAAAGTTGGAGCAGCTGCGAATGGAGGCGTTGAAATTGAAGGAGTGGAAGAAGCTGAACAAGGTGAGTAAAAAGCACGCTATCGCTGTATTATGTTATATCCATTCTAGGTCAACGCCGATCGTCTCGTCAAGCTCATCACAATCCTCGAGCGCAACATTCGCGACGTGATTCCGAGGGAAGGCGAGGCTCCAATCGTCTCGTTTCTGGACGACGAGACCATGGATGATGACGATCAGGCGACCCTCGATGAACGGCTCTATCGCGCTGCGGCTGCAGCCTGCACCGCTCTGCTCGTCATGACCGGGTCGAAGATGCCAAAAATGGTTTGAGATTACCCGTGTTTTTCATCAGTTTTTTAGGTCTTCCTCGAAGATGCTATCGACCGCTCAATCCAACTCTGCAAGCAATACCTCAACTACATCGTCTTCCCGGCCTCGGATTCCGTGTTTCGATCGCCAAACAAGCAGAAGAAAGTCGAAGAGAAAAGCCGTGGACGCCGAAAACTGGGCCAATCGACGCGCACACCTAGCGCTCAACGAATCTATGTTCGGATGACGGATCTGATCGGATGCTTCGGAGAGCTTGTCCGCGTCCAATCGCTGTCCGAGATGTCGATACATCATCTGTCCACCATTGCCACCTCCGCCTTTTTCGTCAACAACATCGGCGAGCTGCAGTGGCAGGTAAAGCTGTTTTTACGAATGTCCAGCTTTTCTTTTTAGGCAATGCGCCTCCTGTCCAACATCTTCAACAAGTGCGACGACAACATCCGCCACGCCATCCTCCAGGACATCATCAATGCCCTTCATCGCCTACCCCATGCCAAGACCACCTCGAACAGTCTGCGTCTTTCCACCGGCACATGGCTGAACAACGTTAGCGTGCTCATCATGCAGCTTGTCCAGGCAACTGTGCATGTACGTTTTTCGGAATATAAAGCCTTGCTGTCGTCGAGTTCCTGTTCTATTCCTCGTTTCAGATGCCCAAGCGAAAGAAGAGGGATGGCGAAGAGACTGACGAAAAGGCTGAAATCGACCGAGCCGATAAGTCCATCAAATCCTCCTTCGAAAGCGCGTACCGCATCGCTGCTACCTTCCTCGGCGGTTTCCTGCAGAAGTGAGTTTCGAGCCCTGTTCGAAGCTTTTTTTATCTGATTTTGCCTACATTTCGGTTTTTAGGTGCTGCTCGAAGGGTGAAGAAGACAATCGGCGTGTTTTCGAGTCCTTCCTCCACGATCTCCTCAACGCTCTACACAAACCTGAATGGCCGGCTGCCGAATTCCTGCTCTCCATCCTGGGCAATATGCTGATCAAGCACTATCGCGCGAGCAAGGGCACGGAAATCGGACTGCGCACGGCCTCGCTGGAATATTTGGGCCTCATCACCGCCCAATTAAAGAAGGACGCGCGATCGGGGGCGGAGGATGCGAAGGCACGACTTGAGGTTAGCCATTGGCCGTCGTGTTTAAAAAGGTTATCTACAAAATTTTACGCCCTTTTTCAGCTCGTCGTCAAGACGGTCATCTTTGACGAAATGGAAGACCCGCCGGCCGACATTTCCGAGCTGGACATTGATGACATGTCGGCCACTGATCGGATAAAGAAGCTGGAACAAGCCCTCATCGACTATTTGCTCATCACAAAAGACGGCGGCGACGTGAGCATCGAATATGCCGTTTCGTTCTACGCGTGCTACTGGTACAAGGAGACTGTCGAGGACTTGGATCGGCTCAAGCAGGACTACAAGGCCATGAAGAAGCAGGAGGATCTGACCGAAAAGGACCTGCGAAAGAGGGAGAAAAAGATGGAGCGGATAAACGAGAAAGCACGTGCCATGAAGGAATATCTGGTGAAACTCGTGGAGCGGAAACAGATGAAGAAGCGTGTCGATGAAATTCGGGCTAAAGGACTGGATGTGATGCTGGAGGCTGATGCTGCTTGGGCCGTCAAGTTTTTGGCCACGCAACGTGAGCTCACGCAGTCTGGATTCGAGAATTACCTGAAGCAGATCCTCTACGGCGTCATTTCGGAGCCAATCGTCGCGCTGAGAACAAGAGCGATGAAGTGCTTGACGCAGATCATCGAGGCTGACCATGCTGTGCTGGGAATCCCGGAAGTACAAAGTGCCGTCCAGGCCCGCATGGTCGACCCGAATGCTCAAGTGAGAGAGGCCACCATCGAACTGCTCGGGAAGTATCTGCTCTCACGCCCCGACTTCATCCCCAAGTACTACCCCATCCTTTTGGAGCGCATCAAGGATTCCGGTACGGCTGTCCGAAAGCGCGTCATTCGCATCATGCGTGAGCTGATCGAGCAGAATCCCGATTTCGACAAGGGCCCGGAGCTGCTATCACGAATCGTGCGCCGCATCGGGGATGAGGAGGGCGTCAAGAAATTGGTGCTGGAGACGTTCAACAACCTGTGGTTCCAACCGCTGCGCGAGAAAGATCATGAAGCATTGCTAAAACGCGTCCAACTGCTTACGGCTACCACGGAGCTCTGCGCGGCCGAGAATACTGTCGAGCACATTGAAACCATGTTCAACCTCATCTTTAAGGTATTATTTCATTTTCTTATTTTTATCAAATATTTTCAGACTGGTGACAAGGGCACAATCTTCGCCTGCCGGCAGATCGTTGACAGTCTCGTCGACTCTGTGCTGACGTTGGAATCGAAGATGGCTATTGGTATGAACATTCGCTAATTGCTGATTTATTTGTTTTAGAAAACTCGATTTCTGCTGCGGACACAAATGGCGGCGGTGACAACTTGAACAAAGTGCGCCTCGCCAAGTCGAATCAAGACCGCATGTTGGCCTGTCTAACTGCGTTGAGCTTGTTCAGCAAGGTGCGCAGTGTTTTTTTTGGGTTTATCCATCGTTTTAGGTGCGATCCGAACTGCTCGTCAAACACGCTGAGACGCTGCAGCCGTATCTGAGCATGAGTGTTAACACGCCGGGCGAGATTCAAGTGCTCAAGCAGGTATCACAACCAATTTCTTCATCAGTTTTCCGCCTAGGTTATCGACATGTTGCGCCGCGTGATCCCGTTGATGACCCACCCATCGGATCAATTGATAGACGATCTAGAAGAGTCGCTGGCCCAGCTGATCGTTGGTGGAAAGGTGGTGATCGTCGAGTCGGCCGTCGAATGTGCTGGTGCCCTACACGAGAAATTCCCGCGACGTCGCCCGAAAGTCACCGAGCGCTTCTTGAAGTTCCTTGGTTAGTGATCGAGCTCTGAAGCTAATTTTGTTCTTTTAGGAGTTCTGAATCAAACACGCCAACTGACCGAACGCGATCCAAAGGCTCAGTCGCAGATGAACGATTCTCGGGTTGTGATGTTGGCAAGGTAATATTGAACAGATTCCTGCGATTTTTGGCCCTGATATTCGTCATTTGTCGATGAAAAAACTATTTATCCTCAATTTTCAGAGCCATCTTCTGCGTGGGTCTCCTCGGGCGCTATTTCGATTTCGATGTACTGCTCGAAGAAGAACAGGACACCACGCGCCAATACGTCGTGCCCACCGTCCTCCCCGACAACCCATTCCTCGAAAACCACCAAATTGAAGACGATGAGCGGCCGAGAAAGATCAGGGACAACGTCTTCTCCGTGCTCGTCTACTTTGCCACCTTCCCGCACGGCGTTATCAAGAAGAATTCGATCACCAGCATCGGGCATCTTTCTGCCCAATACGCCGAGTATCTGACGAGACCTGAAGTTCGTGGGCTGTATATGATGCTACTCAAATCCAACGATATTCATCATCTGGCGCTGAAAATTCTGGTCAGTCTATTTTGTTTTACGTTTAATTTTGTCTTTTTTAGGTGTTACGTAATCTCGAGCAGTTCTTGATCAACGAGGAGACGAAGATGCACAAGCTGAATCAAGATTGTATGGATTGACCTCTGAACCTTGACTTTGATTTAGGGATGAAGCGCAAAGAAACGGAAGATCTGAAGGAAATGGATCAAGCGGGCAGTGGACTCGGGTCAGCTGTCATCCAGGTGCGCCTTCCAAAAGGCCTTTCAAATTAATTTCGTTTTAGATCTACTGGAACTTCGTGCTCAATTGCTACTTCCATCGCGAGAAAGAAGTCCGCTCGGCAGCTGTTCAGGTATGCACTTGACTTGATCGCAACGTAAATTTTCGTGTTTAGGTAGCCTGGCGTACCCTGAATCAAGGCCTCGTGACCCCCGGCTCCTCCATCCCAACGCTCATCGCAATGATGACCGACCCGATCCCGTTGATCCGAAACAAGGTCGAAAATCTGCTGAAGGAGATTGATACGAAGTACCAAGGGATGGTCCAGGTATTCAGCACTTTCTTTGTCTATCCTTTGATTTAGACGAAAGCCGTGTCCGGCATTCGGGTCGCCTTCTCGCTGCACAACTTGGTGGGGCGTGAAAATGGTCGTCTGCTGCGCGGCATCCGGGCCATCGAGGGTTCTGCAACGGCGAATACAGGTAATTCTTAGCCTGTTTTTAGCATATTTTTTCGTTTAGCCAACAAGAAAATGGTCCTTGACGCGTGGGGCATGCCAAAGTACACGAACGACGGTCAAGCGCTGCTCTCAGGTCTTTATCAGGTAGTTCTGGTTGTTTTTGCTCACAAGTACCTTTTAGGCAATGCGTGGTAATAGGCAACAGCGCCGCAGCTTCTTGGCATCGGTGTTGCGACTCTTCTCCGAGGAGTACAAAGACGTATGTTTTGCCGTTTTGAGAGCAATCTCTTTTTCAGAAGCCCTCACTGCAAGAGTGGATCTTTGTCGGCGACAACGTGGCGATGTTCCCGTATCAAGTTCTCGATGAGCCCCTCTACGTCATCCATCAGATTGACTCGATTGTCGCGTTGTCTGGGGAGAGCATAATCAATCAATTCAAGGTATTTTGATGCGCTTTTGTCTCCATTTTAATGTTTTCTTGGCCGCGCTGCTCCCGAAGCAAATGGCGCCGAACCAGCAAAGTGATGACGACGTCGACTTTGAGCCAGAAGCCATTTATCGTAAGTGCTCGATTTCCAGGGGTTATATTTCTTTTTTTCAGTCCGCCTCCCCTCCGACAAGACGCATCTTTTCACGCTGATGAACAACTCGCAGGCTTGCTTTACCCTCCTCTTCCTCAAAACATTCCTCATGAAGCTCTACGGCTTCACTGAAGCGTGCGTTTTGCTTTCATCATCTAAAATTGTCTTTTGTTTAGGAAGATCCAAGAATACTCGCCATCGGACGGTGCCAAAATCTACGAAAAGCCGGTGACGCGCAAGAACGTGCAGATGTTCTACCCACAGACGGCCATCGCCGAGCTCGATCCGGCCAGGATTGCTGTCCGGGACACGATGGATGGCCACTACAATTTGTCGCATCAAATTTGTCATGTAAGCCAGAATTGTTTAGAGAATTACCGGTGTTTTAGTTCCGTAAGATGTTGCTATCGCTCGACCGTGGCGGTGATGACGATGACGAGGCCCCGCCGGAAGAGCAGCCAGCTCCTGAGAATGAACAAGTGGTTCGTTTATTTTTATACCTAGAAAAGGTTACAAAATTTACATAGAAATTTCGAAGATAATTTTTTTGCAGCCTTATTGACAAAACGTTATTACTTTCGCAGAAAATAAGAATGATGGCGAAAAAAGAGCAAAAACGTCGAAATACTGCTTTTTGAAAACAATGATTTCTCAAATTCTGATTTTGGGAAATACGATGGCCACCAGTTTTCCAATTTTCTTGCTTTAAGGACGAAGCCGACCAAGTTGATGGCGTCATCACCGAGGAGTAGCCGCTCGCCCCGACCAACTCCAGCTCTTCCCACCCGGTATACCATATCCCCATACCCCTTCCATTCTTTCTTCAGTCAACGATCTCACCTTCTAATCCCCATTCTTGAACTACTCGCCCGTCCCCGTCCAAATAGGTGCTTCTCTCATTTGTCCTGCTTGATCTTTGTCCCAAATAGTACTAGTCACACCTCATCCATCAGCCCTCTATATTCCGATTTGATTTTGGTCTTCCCCGCATTTAGTTGGTCTCAGGAATCCCCTCTTTTTTGTTTTTCATCTGTTTTTTAAACTTGAAACGTGTACACTCGGTCGCCGCCTCGCGCCAAGATGATCCCAGAAAGCTTTGACCCTCTACCCCGCTGTGCTATTTGTCCCGCTCTTACTGTACCCTATGTCTCGTTGCTGCCCCGTATATTTTGTCACTATAAATATTTACATGTTCTTCTTCCAAAACTACAAAATATGGGTCGAGGTAGTCGTCAATTTGTTTTTGGAGGGTGCGAAACATACCGTTTACGCTTCTACGTCTTTAGCTCAGGCCCGGGCGTAACTTAGCTTTTAAAGCTCACTTCGGATGAAGCGGAGCCTATTCCGAGCTTTTCATTCCCTTAGAGGTCGAAAAGCAGTTGTATCGTGTTTTAGATTACAGCCGAGCGTAACTTGGCTTAAATTAAGCATAGACTTGATTTGTGTGAAGCTAACTTCGATTTTGGCTTAACGTTTTCAGAAGCTTTTCGCTTCAAAAACGAAATTTGGAGCGCGAGTCAAGTGCACAAGCCCCTAGAAGTCTAGCTTTATTCTACAAAAATACTTCTACAAAACGAACACCCAATGAAATGCATGGCGAGGACCCGGATTGGAGCGGAGAAAAGAAGAATATGGTGGGGGATGAATTCACAGTGGTCGCGAGAGATAGACAATACATATTATACAAAATTATACAACGTGAGAAGTTAGTAAACCAAAAAATATACAAAATTGAGCAATTTAGTTAATATTTGTCGGCGGGGGCCACTGACGATCTGGGCTTGTTGACGACGTGGCCCAGCTGGATCTCCGACAGCGACTTGATGCTGTTGCGTTTTGCGAATTGGTCCTGGAAATCGGATTATTAGTTTGGAAGTGAATTTGAAGATAAATTATCGATCGGGGAGAGTTTTAAATGAATTTCCGGGGGTTTGGGACACTCGCGCGCTTACCGATACTTTATTCGTGGCGTTCACCTAAAGATTCGGACACTTTTAAGGGATTGAAAAGGGTTTAAAGATTGCTGTCTAACAAACCTCGGTCCACTTGCACGGCTCGCCCTTGATGAAGATGACAAAGATCGCGTTGGTTACGACCTAAAGAAGCAAGGATTAGCCAAGGAAGAAATTCTTCATTTTGGGCATTGTTTCGGATCTTTTCCAGTATCGGGGGTCTAAAAGCACGTAATGTCGCGTATTTTCAGAGTTTTTTGTAAGCTTTAATCATAACTCATATAGCAAAATCATCCAAAAACTTAAAATTCCAGTTTCAAATCGCATCAAAAATAAACATTTTCAAATAGATTGCAAACTGTGATAAAAAAGCTACATTTTTATTGCATAAATTTTTTTGTGTTGGTTTCATCAAAATTGTTAGTTTTTACGTCTAAGCATAGTTAGGGAAGCGTAGAAACTGAGTGAGAAACATTGGATTTCGACGAAAAACGTTGCGCCACCCCCCGATAATGCAAAAGCATCAGAAATCCAGACCCATGACAATTCCTGAGTATTTCTTTAAAAACTGACCATGACCGCGCCGGTGATGATGAACACCCATCGCCATTCCTCGGGTGTATTGTGTACCGTCAGGGCATTCACGTAGAACGGGACGACGAGCATCGTGATCGTGATTCCCAGCGAGATGTTGCCAGTCACAAAGTGGCTAAAATCACATAATTACGACGAAAAACCGCTGAAGCTGACCTGTATTGCTTCGACAAGACGGGGCCCGATTTGAAGAAGCCGCCGGTTGTGGCGCCAAGGATTCCGGCAGCTCCTCCGAGAAGTATCGTGCAGGTGCTCTAAAAAGGGTTAAAAATTCTTGTAAAAAAAGTTTTTTTTCAGGCGTAAAAGTAGTAATAAAAATTAACTGGGTCGTTAGCGGGGGTGGCCAATGCTAACCATGATTTTGCACAAATCAATTCAAAAAGATTAGAAAATCTAAAAATTTTACATTTTGATGATTTTTTGACCAAAAACGTTAATTTTCCGAAAATTTTACCGCTTTTCAACAAACTTTATATAATAAAAACAGCGTAATACCCCGCCCCCCCCCCCCCCCGTTAACACACCAGCACAAAAAAGAAATGTACTTACCGTATGTTTCGTATCCCAAAACGCGAGCGCCACCAGGAAACCGCACGAGCCGCAGAAGGCGAGCGTGTTGAAGAGGCGGAACTTGTTCTGCTCGGAGATGAAGTGGATACGGTCGGAGAGGGCACCTGAAGCATGCATTAATAGGATAGAAGCTTGGCTCACCAATGAACAGCTTCATCGCGAATTGGGCCAACGGCGGAAGGGCGGCGGTGATGCCGGTGTTGTGCACAGAGTAGCCGAGGACTAAAAATGATGATTTTCTAGAATTTAGGGGGGCAAAAGGCTTTCCTATAAGTCTAGATGTCTAGAAATACATTTGATAGTCGTTTTAGTAAAATTTAGCTTTATTTTAAGTGGAAAAATTTTTTCTAAAGCTTTAAAAACAGCAGAAAATGTGAAAATCCTGTCGAAAACTCTATTATACGCATTTTTAATACATTTTGTAAGGTTTTACGGAAAGATACCACACTAAAGCACCACACTTAAACCAATTTCTAACAAAATAAACGACAAAAAATAACTACGACTAAATAAACCCACCAGTCGCCAAATACGTCGGCGAGAAGAGGAACATCATGTTGACGCAGGTGAAGTTGCCGATGGAGGCGATCCAGGTGGCCCAGACGGCCGGCGTCTTCAGGATGTCCCCGTACGGGATCTTCTTCAGCGATTTTTTGCTAAAAATGGATTATTTTATCGTTATCAGTGCCCGTACTCAATCTTCGCCTTGCCGACGCTGATCTTGTTCCTCTCGACGTCGCCGACGAACGGGTGCTTGTTCGGGTTGTTGCGGTAGAAGAGGCCTAAAAAGCAGAGTTTTTCGCTTAGAAACGGTTTCAACCCACCGTAGGTGATGAACAGCACCAGCGACACGGTGCCGTGAGCGTAGAAAATGCTGGGCCATCTGAACTTCAGGTTTTTAAAGGCTAAAACAAAATTTTTACCTGAACGCATCGCACAAGGCGCCGGAGGAGGGGTTGGTGAATGCGGGGGACAACTGCACGTAGGCGACGAGGGCCGAGACGAAGAGGCCGTTCTAAAAAAAGGTTTTTAAAGGAGTTTAAACTTGTCCAACCTGCTTGTAATACGTCCACTTTGCGCAAAAGGCGCCGATCACCGGGAAGTTGGCGGCGAAGGCGACGCCCTGCAGCGCGCGGACCACCAGGAAGAACGGGAATCCTAACTGAAAAAAATATGTTTTTATTTCATAAAAAAACAGGTTTTAACTAGAGATGTTAAGAATCAATTAACAATCAAAATTATTTGCATACAATGGCACAATATTATTTGATTTGGATGGGGCTGAGCGCATGACCAAGTAAAATAATATTATTTGACTCCGCTCGAGAAAGAGCCAAGTAAGATTACTTGATTTACTTGATTTACTTGATTTACTTGATCAAACAATAGCTTTCTGGAATTCTGGCATTTTTCGGATGGTAATGAACCTTATGACATGATCGAATGCTAATTTACTGGGTACGCGGCACGATTGCCTGATTTGCATTGTGAATTTGCACAAAATCAAGTAATTTCGCTCAAAATCAAGTAATTCTCCCAAATCAATCAAGAGCAAGTAAATCAAGTAATTTTATTTTACTTGATGCTTATTTAAGCAAACGGCGTAAAATAATTTTATATTTACTTGCAGATTTCAGATGCAAATAAAGTTGTTCAAGCAAATTTACTTGGTCATTATATTACTTGATTCGTAACATCTCTAGTTTTAACCCCAAAAAACTAGTTCAGCACCGATTTCAAAAGCTCGAGCAAAGTTCAAATTTTGCAGAAAAGAATGGAAATAGATGCAGCAACCCGCGAAAGAAATACATATTCGATTCGTGACATTGCTACTTTCTTTCTCGACTTTTCAAGCCACTTTTTGAAGCCAAAACAACGCCGAAGATGTAAAAATCTTCAAAAAAAAACGAACCCGAATCGCCGACGGTATCAACAGCGTGGAGACGGCAGAGAGCAGCCCGAGACTGGTGAATACGGTGCGGATACCGAGCTGAAATTTGGGATTTACATGATTCAAAATCAAAGAAAACGGCCCAGTGTTCGAAACAAACCTTGTTAACCAGCGCGACGGCCGGGAAATTGGAGACGAGCGCCGCGATCGCCACCACCGAGATCACCCACGATTTTTGGCCTGACAAAGTTTTTTTGGAAAATTAATTAATTTAAAAAACGCAAGGCGTTGGCTCGTTTTCGGGAAGTCAAAATCTACTTTATTTTGTGGATGCATTTTTCAAAAGAAGAAGATTGTCTATTGGCAGTTTTCGGCAAGTAAAAACAGTTAAAAAACGTAGCTAAAAACATCCATTAAAAAATTAAGGAAAATTGGACGACAGTTGGGCATTATACCCAATTTTTTTGACGAGGATGTAGGTTTTTTCAAGTTTTAGGACTTTTCCGGTGATTTTTACGCGCTAAATTAACCGGAAATGATAAAATACGAGTTTAGGCTTTATTAGCAGGCCAGGGAGCTCCAGAAAAGCTGGATTTTACCCAAAATAACAAAAACTATAAATAGAAAAAGGCATAAACGCAGAAATACCTCCAGAGAATGTGTACGTGTCATCATTATTCGTCGAATTCGCGTCAGGGCCCATACAAATGACGGCAAAATTGAAGGTTAGAATGTTAGACCTAAAAAAAAATAAGAATTAGCAAATGAATACCAGCAAAAAACGTACCAAATGGATGTTAGACATAATAGGACGAGGACGAGCAGGATGAAGCGCGTCCGAGTGCCGAAGATGGCGCCGTATCTAAGCGACGAATTGGTCTCTTCATCCATAAGTTCATCGATGACAGCCAACTGATTGTGGCCAACAGATTGGGGGTGTAGCCGTGGAGGGTGTTGTTTATTTTGAGAGTGGCTTATGAGAAGGGGGCGGGTGATGATAGTATCCTCTTTCATTATCGTCACCATCATCATCTGCTAGCCCCCCAAAAAGGTCAGATCCCACACAATCACCGCTTTTTCGACGACAAAAATCGGCGCGATGTCTATGGCCAGGGAGCACATACATCGCCCGTCCCCTTTGTTTGAACAGCTGTTTTTAAATAAGCAACATTATTCAGCAGAAAACAGCGGGGTTTCTGTCTGCGGCCCCGCCTTGTTCAACACGTTTTTTCGCGGTTTCCGTGTTTGGGCACGACCATTTTTAGCCCTGGGGTGCTTTCGCAATATCGGGGGGGGGGGCGCATTTCCTTACTTAGGTTCTCCTTAGGATCCAATTTTTCGGTTCCTTTGCATTATCGGGGGGTGGGGCATTTTTCCCATATTCCCTAATGCCCAGTAGCGTAATCTACGGGATTTAACAGCAAAAAACACAAACTTTAACCATATTTTAAGTGGAAAAACAACCAAGAAAAATTACAAACATTTTTAGGAAAATTTTTGGCAGCAATACGCCCAGCTTTGGTATTAGGAAAAATTTGTATTGTAATGTAATGTAATTATTTTGCCTTTCGGAAACGGCAGGAAACCTCCACCCCCCCGATTCTGCAAAAGATCCTAACCTCCAAAAAAAAGCCAAAAATGACCAACCGTATTTTCTGCTCGGCTTGTGTGGCGTAGAAGCGATCGGCCGCATGCTCCATGCTCCTGGAAAATACAGAAATAAAACGGGAAATTTGGACCGGAATTCTGCAGAGTCGAAAAGGAGGAAGGGTTAGGTGAAAGGGGTAAAGTGTCAGAACAGAAAACGGAAAACAGCTTATTACTGGAAAGTAGACGTGTAAAAATTTCTTATAGAAGGTCAGAAACTAAACCTAAAAAAAGTTAGATAAAATCGGAAAATTTAAAGGGCAATGAAATAGTTTAAAAAAGTGTTTTTGACAGAGGAAAAGTGAGTAATAGTTTAGAGAAAAGGTTAAAAAGGCAATTCATAGTCGGGAAGACGGTTTTGAAAGCTGATTCGACAATTCCCAAAATAGGCGATTTTTTTCAAGTTTCACATCCCTAAAAAAAATAAAAAAATGGAGCGCCTCTGTTCCGCTTAAAAACCTATTCTATTTTTATGTGAACCTTCTTCTCATTAGAATTTACATTAATAATTAATTTAATTTTTAAACCAATTTCTATAACTAAAAGCATTGAAACAAGCATAAAATAGCTGAATTACAGTAGGAAAAGCCACGGTATCAATGAGAAGATCAAGAGGCCGCTACACGCCTTTTTACGGTGATAAATCCTCCGAAACAGCCCCAGATAAACCCTGCTCAAAACTGCAAAGAACAATTGATATGCCAGCACCGCCCCCACGCATTTTTTCGCAGCTTCCACCCCAGAAAAATGAAGAGTTTTTCGGGGGAACCCAGCGGCCAAGAGAACGGACCGGTGTGACGTTGTGCTTTTGGACCGACCGCCGCTCCTTGACCACAACAAATAAAATACGCATATTGTACAAATACAAATATCGTATTTACAAGCTAAACACAAAGTTTTGTGGGGTGAGCGGGGTGGAAACAGGCTCTAAAACGTTTGTTGATATGTGGCGCGGTGCTGAAAATAGGTTTTTTTTGGGGGCGAAAGCGTAACAGCATGAAAAAAGTTGTTGAAACTCGAAAGATTCCATTTTTTATTGCCCGGATTTATTAAAGTCCTTTTAACCTCAAAATAAACCGTTAGCGATCACCAGAAATATAGACTTTTCTAGCGCAAAACTTTCAAACTATCTTTCCTAACTTTTTCGTGGACTAATTTAGGTATAAAAGTTTGGTCTCTTGCCAAAGTTTCTCGCTAAATCCCCCAAAAGCCGAGTTTATAAAGGATCTTGTTTATTTTTGCCACCATTTTAGCATTAGAAAAAGCGGGATCTTTGTATAAACTCTGGTTTTTCCAACAATTAGCTGTTCTAATCGCAAAATTAATAAAATAACGATGCGCAATTAACGACCTAGTTAGCGTCAAAAACCAAGAAAAATACATTTTTCTATTTCTAAAGCCTTCTAACTACCTCCCTCACTTTTTCCGCGGGTCAACACGGCGTCGCGGCGCATCCAGCTGCTTCAAAAAGTCTTCCATTTAGCTCGAAAACTGTCGGAAATTCCAGAATTCGGATGGCCGATGATTCGATACGCTAACCACCAGGCCGCGCTTTATTTCGGGCCATCCGGTAATGAGATGCGTCGTTTTGGCCGGGGCCGATCGGGAGGGATTGCCCGACTTTTATGTGGCCACATCACCAAATAATCGGGGGGAAACAACCACCCTCGCCGTTTTGCCGTGTTCGATGGAAAACCAGAGTTTGGGATGGGAAAATGAAAGGCATAAATATTGGGGAAAAGTTTATCGGTTTGGGAAATGTTAGAAGAAATGGGGAAATTTGGGGGAAAGATGGCTGGGTGCACGCGGACTTACGATGTCTCCGATGAGACTGACGGTCTATCGGTCATTTTTAAGGAATCTAAACGCTGCGTTAAGAATTGAATTAAAGACTATCTCGAAATGGGGGAATTGTAAGAAACAAAACGTAAAAAATCTCATTTGCTAAGTTTTGACGTAATTGTTCAGCGTAAAAACATAGAAGTTGGGGAGTTTCTTGGGTTTCTTACATAATTTTATGAATTTATGAGGTTTTGGGACCACGAAATCCTCTAGAAAACTGTATATAATTCGAGTATAAACATGTTTGGGCTGAATTAGAAAGATCTCTTTCCGATTTCGTTACAATTTACCGCCCCCGCTAACAGCCCAGAACCGGAAATCGCGTAAAAATTGGCAGTGTAAGATGAACGCGTTTCGAAAAGCAAATGAATGTTTCGCAAGGTTTCCTATATATAAACTTGAGTGCTGGAGGGTAGAAAACCCCTGAAACTTCCAGACGATTCGCTCTGAACCGACTGTTACTTACAATCCAATACCCCAATCGCCCGGGCGGTGATCATTTGCGGAAATAGGCCCCGCCCCTCGGTCTTAAAAACCCATAAATCAGCCGGGAAAGGGCGATGCGCGAGATCGGGGCTCCGGAAAAGATGAAATTTCGACATCAGCCATGCACTACTGGCTGGATTTGATAGAGGAAAATAAATGATCGATCAGATCCCTGGATTTCGGAGGATTTTCAGAAAGACTGATGGCGATCAGCACTTTTTTCAGCGTCTGAGAGCTTGGATGTTTCGTCTGGCGCCTAGGAAAAGCCTCGGAACGCTGAAAAGTGCCAAAACAACTACATATAAATAACCCTAATTAATTAATGCCGGAAAACTCCTTATTCACACTCGCAGTCCCTCATAAAAACTTGATTTTTCGGCCATAATCATCGACGAAATCACACTTCCAATTTTGATCATCACTCAAAGAGCGATTGTATGGACGATGATAAAATCTGCATAATCCACAGTTCAAAAGTTCAACAGACAGAGAAGGGCGGTGTAGATAGGAGCGTAGCGGTCGCACCAAAGTTCTGCCGAAAAATGGCGGAGCAGAGAATTTTGATGGAAGCTACTTTTTATTAAAAAATTAGTTTAAATAAATTAGATAAACTAAGTAAAATAATTTAGAATCGAAAGTATAGAAAAATAGATGCGTGATCTTACCGCAATTTTTGTGGCACTAGTTTTGGCCATCTGGGAGATCACCAGATCGCGCCGATATCTCCAAAAATAGTGTCAAATCCTTATCAATCTTTTTTTCAGCGCTGCGGCATTGATGATAACGACAATTTTTCAAATTAAATTTATTTTACGATCACAAAACGTTTTATCAAGAAGATTAAACGTTAAAACGTTTTAAGACACTAAAAATTGGGTTTTTCTTGGTCAATTAAAAGTAAAATGCGTCCAAATAAACGTAGAAAAATGCGAGGTGAATTTTATCAAATTCCCGGCCAGACAATGCCTCGAAATTGTCGAAAATCTGAGGGTGGAAATGGTGAAATGCGGAATCTTGACGATATATCCGAAAAATCGTGCGCCTATCAATCATTTTGAGGTGGGCGGGGCGGCCGGCGGCGGATGTGCAATTCTGGGGGACAGCCAAGGGGCATTTTGCGCACTTTAAAGGTGCACGGAGATATACGCCTTTATTGATGCCAGCATCACGTTCGTAAGATTTTTGTAAAAGTAAATTAAACTTTTTAATGAGTTATGAAAATAAAAATACGGTTTTTAGCAAGTTTTATGTAATTGAAGGAATTTTACTATTTTTAAAAATTCGTTGTTTGAATTTTTATGATACATTTAGTAATTTACAAAACTACCCATAATGTAAGAAAGAGGCTATCTAAATTTAAGCTATTTAGACGCTAACTAGTTGCACTTTTTTAGGAATAGGTCTAGAAAATAAGCACAAACTGAAAATCCGTTTTTCTGGTTCTTTTTTTCTTTTTTTTACCGTGGGGGCTAGCAGGGATCATTTTGGAAACGCTGAAAGTTTTAACGATCGTTTCAGAGCTCGGAAGAATTCTTAGGAAAAGTAAAAGCATATCAGGGCTCGCCGCGATCGTTTCTTTCGAGTTTCCGAATTCCGAAGTTCACCTTTTGACGATTTGGGCCGCCATTCAAACAGATATTGGCCGGGTATTAACCGCGTTGATTTGTTTGCACAATGTCCATCTTTCCTCTTTTTCCCTGTCATACGATCGCTTCCCAAATACTCATTTCCGTTCTTTATTTTTGATCTATTTTCCGTGCTGATAATCGGCTGGTTATCTCTCTCTCTATCGCTCTCTCTCTCTCTCTCTCTCTCTCTCTCTCTCTCTCTCTCTCGCTCTCTCTCTATTTTCTTTGTTAATCCCTAGGTAGAGTTTAGTCGCTGGTTAAGCGTCTGACTTTCCGGCCAACCAAACCTCACGATAGCCTGTAATTACTGTGTTTTAAAGGGGCTTGCAAGTCAGGGGTTTACAGTATCCTACCGTAATCTGAAAAAATGGCTGAAAATGGTCCCGCGGTATGCTGACTTGGCTTGGTGCCAATTTCCGCTTTTTTGCCGGAATTCTATTTTCATTTTTTTAGTGTTTTTTTACGGGTTTTCTGAACCTTACAAGGTTACGGTATTTCGCAAATTAAATATAAAGTATAATTGTATATTTTAATACAATTAATGATGTGAATTTCTAGGGTTACTGTATGCTGTATTTCTCGGGTTTTTTTACTTTTCTGAGGTATAAAATTTCATTTAATAGAAAAACTTTATTATGTACAGTACCCGCAGTAGCAATGATGGAAAATGGCGTAACAAATGGCAGAAAAATGAAGTTTAAACAATTAGAATTTGCGGGCCTCGACCGTTTGCATGGGCTGCACCGCATTCGGGGCGATGGTATCGGCCTAAAAATCAATTTTCCTCATTTCAAGAAAATTCCGGCACTTACCTTTGTCCATTCACAGGGCTCGCCGCGGACAAAAATGCAGAAAATGACGTTGCAGATCGCCTGGAAAGTTGGGTTTTTTTTTGAGGGAGTATGGGAACGAAAATCGAAGCGATTTTGCGCTATTAAAGAATTGCTAAAAACTAGGTGAAATTTTGTTCCTTTTCGCATTGGAAATTCAAGCGAATTTTGTTAATCTTTGTAAGAATTGATTTAAATCTAATTTATCAAATTTGGTATGACCAAGACCAAAAAATGACAGATACTTTTAAAACCATATGGACTTTTTTGGTTTTTTAAATTAATTATGAAATTAAAACTGGTTTTTGAAATGAATTATCAAATTAAAATTAACTACAAATCAAAACTGAAATAAATTGAAAAAATTAGCATATTAAAAAAAACGGGGGTAAAAGATACCCAAAGTTTTATAAAAGTAGTCTCAGAAATTATTAAGAAATAATATAATTTTGTAAGAGTATTTTTGAAAATAACAGATAGACATTTTGCTACCAATAAATCAAAAAATACGATCGATATAGCCAATATTTCTAGCTTCCAAAGCTTTACCATAACCCCTCCAAGCGTCATGAAAACAACACGCCACTCCTCGGGGGTATTTCCCGGGGTCAGGGGCCCCACGACGAATGGCACCAAGAACATTGTGATCGTGATTCCAAGCGAGATGTTTCCCGTCACAAAGTGGCTAAAAAATGGTTTAAAAACGCGATTACAAAATTTACAAAAATACATTAAATTAAATTGTATAGTTTTTACCTGTACTGTCGGCTGAGGACGGGTCCAGCTCGGAAAAAGCCTCCAGTGTTAGCGCCAACAATTCCGCCGGCCGCACCGAATAGCAGAAGTGAGAGCTTCTGAAAATCGGAATTTCGTGAAGGATCTCTGCTAGTTGACCCTGTCTTGACTCGCTCTTTAAACCCATTTAAAGGTGCCCTGACACTTGCAAAACAAGCGACGCAAAATCCTCTATCAATTTGGATAGCGTAATCGGTTTGAAACATCAGTCCTAACGTCAATTGCCCTTTAAAAGCCGTTTAAAGGGAACGGGAAGGCTGGTCTATGGATTTTTCGGTGCCAAAATCTGCGTCACGCGACGCACGCGCCGATTTTTCATGGCGTAATGGATTACAATCCCGTAGAGCGAGCGTATGGCGGATGCGTTGCGTGTCGCGGGCATCGAGAAAGAATCCACAGCCAAAAATCCCGGCTTGTCTGTCCCTTTAAAGGGATGGTGAAAGGTGGGAGAGGATCCCTAAAGGTCCCTGCTAGCCTGCCTATGTGCAGCTAAAGGCGTAACCAAGCTTCCTGTGAATTTGGCAATCGCGAGACGCAACGCACGCGCTCATCTTTCAATTGCGTGACGTACTACAACCCCCTTAACGACGAGCGCGTGGCGTGCGCGTTGCGTGTCGCGCGCGCGGATAAATCCATGGCAATTCCTTGGCAATTCCTTTAAGGTAGAATCGGCATTGACACTTACCATATTAGCGACTTGAGTGTTGGGATCAGTGAATGATAATAGACACAACAGGGTGAAACACCCGAAGAAGGCGATCGAATTGAACATCCTCAACTTCCACACCTCCGAGATGAACTTGATCTTGTCGCTCAGCTGGCCTAAAAATCATAAAATTTTAATTTACTTTTGCAAAAATATTAATTGAATTTTTCCGCTTAATTTGACATAGGATCCAGAAATTTACAGAAAAATCGTTTAAATTACAAAATTAATTTAGACACTTTTCGTTGTTCAAAATGTTGTAATTTTTAAAGGTTTGTTAAAAGCTTTTCAAAATTTTACGGGGGGTCTGCTTACCAATAAAAATCTTCATGCAAGCCTGCGCCAAAGGGGCCAACGCGGCCGTGAATCCGGTGTGGCTAATCGAGTAGCCGAGAACTAAAAATTAATTTTAGCATAAATCAAATTATTTTTAGTGATACCTTTGCTCAAATATATCGGCGAGTAGAGGAAGATGAGGTTGATCACCGTGAAATTTCCGATAGAGGCCACCCAGACGGCCCAGATGGCTGGGGTCTTTAGGATTGCCGCGTAGGGGACCTTTTGGAGCTCTTTCTTGCTGAAATCGTGATTTTAAAGGTGATTCCGATTCGTATTTGTATGGAGTTTATCGCTCTCTGTCTCTCTCGCTGTCTCTCTCCCTCTATCTCTCTCTCTCTTTCTCTCTCGCTCTCCCCTCTCTTTCGCTAGCGGTAGGCCGCGATAATTTTAAAACATGCGGCGGGTCCTCAACGCGTATACGCGTCATTTTCAGCGCGTGCAACTTTAAAACGCACTCAACAGCGGTCGGCTTCCCAATCTCAATCTTGTCCTTTTCGATATCATTGACGAACGGATGTTTCCTCGGGTTGTTACGGTAGAAGAGGCCAAAAACGCAGAACACGATCAGACTGACGGCGCCTTGGAAGTAGAAGATCGATCGGCGCCTGGAATGAACGGTTTCGAGGTGTATTTCGGGGTTAAAGGAATATAGAATCGGGTCCCTTATCCCTCACCAGAAGTTTTCCCTGTTAGTCTAGGTAAAAACTCCGTCATTTTTGAGCAAAAGGTTCAGCCCCAGAATGGCAATTTTCGCCTGACTAGCCCTTAATGGCTTTCTCATGCCTTGCCCGTCCCTTTAAAGCTGCCGTAACCCACCCATAGGCCTGGCAAAGTGCGCCGGATACGGGATTCGTGAAGGCGGGGGCGATTTGGAGGTACGCGACGAGAACGGCGACGAAGAGACCATTCTGCAAAATACTATTTAAAGCCTTTCACACGATTTAAACAGATTTGAATTTTTTATGTGTATTTTAGTCGCCCAACGCTTTCCTTAGAAATTTTTACGTCTTTTTAAAACTTCAGAAAACTCCCGAAATTTTGGTAGTTCTCATCTCCTACCCCCCTACATGTTTCGGGGGTTCGGCTGACCGGGGATGCTGGGCGGAATTATGTTTTTGTTGTCGGGGTTTTTGTGTTTCTATTTCTCTCTTTCTCTCTCCCTCTCTGTCTCAGTCTCTCTCTGTGTCTCTCTCTCTCTCTCTCTCTCGCTTAAATTGTACCCGCCGCACCGGGGCAAATCGTCATCAAAATTTTTGGGTGCATCGCAGAAAAAAACGGGAAGCAGATGATCTGGGTTGATGGTGCCTCAAATCGAGGGATTGGGGAGTTTTTGACCTAGGGTTAGGCCCATCGAATTTTTACAAATTTCAGAATCCGAGAAGTCCGAAACAAATCCGGAAAGTTTTGAATCTTCCGAAACAGGGCTTCAGAAATCCATGCAAAAATCAGTTGAAATTCGAAGGGAAACCCCCCAGAATCCCGACACTCCAAAATACCGAGGGCTAAAATGCCGACAAATCAAAATATCGACCTACAGAATAGCGATGACCAAAATCCCAATATTCAAAATCCCGACAGTCCAAAATCCCGACAGTCCAAAATCCCGACAGGCCGTATAGATCGGATTTTGGCTATCTGTCGGGATTTTGTGTTTGATTATTGCGATATGAGCTCGTCGGCATTATGGCCTGAATTAGCTTGGAAGCGGTGTTCGTTAAGCTTTAAAAGATAGTTTTTTTGGATTTTTTTTTGGATTTTTTCCGGATAATTCTGATCCAATGATGACGCACCAAGTCCAAAAACTACCAAATTCCGATCCCCAAAATCCCGTGAGGGAGAGCAATAAAACGATATTTTCCCCCAGCAAACCAATTCATCACTCCATTTTGCCCCCAAACGATCGATCAAAGGGGTAAGATATCGAAAAGAAAGGAGGAGCAGGAGAACTCCTTTTTGAGCCCCAAAAAAGTGGATAGGCGTCATAAGCACAGACACCAAATCGAGGGGGTATTTCCGGTAAGAGGGGGATTGATAGAGATAGATAGATAGATGGATAGATGGAGCGGAGTGGAATATCGTTTGATTGATGGGTTGGGGTGTGGAGTTTCAGGTTTTCCGATAGCTCCCAACTATCACAAGGGTTTCGGGCTATTTTTAGAGGTGATGCGGGCGCGTGAAAAAGCGTGATTGTGAGCACGAGCTATTTCCGGAAATGGTTCAAAATAAGGAAAACGCCCTAGGGAAAACTCATAATTTAGCAAAATTTCGGTGCTGGACGGTTAGTGGGGGGGCGAATATTTCCCAGGATTTCCGTACGGCTCTATAACAATATAGAGAGTTTCAAAGCGTTTCACGACGTTTTTAGATAAAAATCATATAACAGAATTTTACAATAATTCAATTATTTTTGACTTTTTGCTCACAACTGTATGAAAAAGGGTCAAATTCTAAAATGTATACAGCTTTTAAGATATTTTTTGTAAATTTGTAACAATTAAAAATTGCCAAAAACAATATAGATTACATACAAAATTACGATCCTATTTCTCAGGCTTAGTGATTACCTTTCGTATTTTTAGAAAAACTTAGGGCGTTCCAGGTTCATTTTACGGATTTTAAACGTCTCCCGCCATTTTCTGAGCGCCAAAAATTCACGTGAAAACCCTCGAGGCTCTTGAAACAATGCCAATCATCATCATCATCTCATCATTATTGTCCGTATCCCATTTCTTTCCGCTTTTCTTCTCCTTTTATCAAAACTTCGCCCAACTCCCGGGGGGGCAATGTTTTGTGTTCGAAAACGCGGACAAAACACTCGGGGAAACTTGTTGTTTCGTAAAAAAGGCCTAGGAAAAAGCTAGAAAAAGATAAAACAAATAAATGCATTTTTTACGGCGTTGACAGGATTTTAGTGGGGAAAAGATGGTTAAAACAATTTTTAAAAGAACAACAACTTGAAATTTTTCAAAGCTAATTTACCAAATTTAGACCCCCATTAGTTATATATTTCTGACCTGTTTATAGTATGTCCACCGCGAGCAAAACGCCCCGATAACCGGCATATTGCAGGCGAAGGCGAGGCCCTGGATGAAGCGGAGGCCGAGGAACAGGTAGAAATTCGTCTAAAACGGAAGGATTTGATAGATGAAGGTATATCTTGGCGTGTTAAGCCTTAAAAATGATATTTACCCGAATTGCCAGCGGTATGCACAGTGTGGCGATAGCTGATGCCAGTCCAGCCACCCCGAATATCGTGCGAATTCCGTGTTTGTTGATGAGGGAGAGAATCGGGAAATTGGCCAGCATTGCAGCGACAGCCACGATAGAGATCGAGTACTTTTGCTCGGCTGAAAAGTGGTAAAGTGGCATAAGGGCACGATAGCTTTCTTGGTGTCACCGTCCCCTTAAAAGTATCAGAAATTACGGTATTTATATTTTTCAAAATTGGGAGCTTACAAAGATCGTAACTCAGCTACGAGATGCTCCTATGAACGTACACTACCATTTTCTAGAACTTTTAACAGTCACCAAACTAGTGAATGAATTTTAAAGGAACGAAGAAGTCGAAAAAATGCCGAAAAGGTATTTTAAAAATTTCCCATAAAGTTAATTTAGCCTTTGAACTTCAATAATTCGTCTTCAGCTACACGATACTCCTGTGCACTTACTGCTGGTAAAGCTGACGGTCCCCGTCTGATTGGTGCGATCATGGCAGATGACGGCAAAATTGAACGTCAGGATGTTGGACCTGACATGAATAATAGTCAATTTTTCACTCCCGTAAAGCTCCTTTTAAAAGAGCTGGTATAGCCATAGATTTTCTATCGCGCCCGCGACACGCAACGCTACACGCAACGCAGAAACAACCGATTTCTAGTCGTAAAGCTCATGTAAAAAGCTCATTTTCGATGTTTTCAGCACCACGCGACCCGCTACGCATATCGACCGTGAAGCGGCCGTAACTATTTCCGTAATGGATGCGCGTGCGTATGCGTTGAATTCTAGAAAAATCCAGATCTAATTCTTGTCTTTCTATTTAGGTCACTCCAGCCGCTATATGCGCCTCTTCGTTGCGTGTTGCAGCGCGGCAAAGCCCATAGCCATGCCTTCACTGCCCCTCTAAACTTACCATATACACGATAGACATAACAATACTATCATCAGCACCACGAAACGGGCTCGTGTCCCGAAGGGTGATAGTTGCAGCTCGGATATCGCCATTTTTGAACGGCTGAAATTTTAAGTGAAATTTTTTATGGCTTAACAAGACTACCAAACAAACGTAGATAATGTAAAACTACAAAAAAATGGTCATTTACAGGTCATTTTAGAGCTCGACCAACTTCTGGGGAGATCGAAAAATTGCGTTTGGGGGCCAGGAAAAACCGGTTTTTTGGCGTTTTCCTATTGACGCGGTTGTTGGATAAAGAATTGACAATTTCGGGGTTTTTGACAATAAATAGAGCGTAAAAATTCATTTACGGATGCGTTAAAGTCAAATTAAACGAACACTAAAAATATTATAATACATTTTATTGCTACGTATTGAAATGGAAAACAAGAAATGTCGTTATTTGTCTAGTAACGGAACGCAGACCAAAATGATGCTCAAATCGGCCAAAAAGTGATGGTGTGCTCAAATGGGGGGAGGACGAGCTGAATGAAGAGGGTGAGTGAGGAGTGCGACTCCACCCACACCGTTGAATCAGATGATGAAAATGATCTCGCATGCACCGGTTAAATAGGGACCGGGGCAACCGGAAGAGGAAGGTGGTTGTTGCTGTCTCTCACCCTCTCTCTCTCTCTCGCTCTCTTTCTCGCTCTCCCACTGCCTCTCTTTCTCACTCTCTCGCACTCTCTCTCGCTCTCTCTCCCGTTTCAACCTTGAACGTTCATCGTCCGCCTCTTCCCCCCCCCCCTACCCGGGGTCCCGCAGCGATTGGCCGTTTTTGCGGGATAAGATAGATAGTTCAGCAAAACAAGACACCCTGGATATCCCGAGAATACGATACCTCTGTGCTCTCTATTTATCCAGCCCATCCATCCTACATTCCTCTGCAAACGTCGTGATAAGTATACTTGCGAAATAAGCCTAACAAACATCCAGTTTTCAGCCGTTCATAGGAAAGAACCGACTGGCAATACAGCACACACATTAATGAGCAAAAATCGAGACAGATATCGTGATTTTCCGACATACTACGATTGAGTACACATGACGTAAGGTGGCGGAACTTTCTGGAAAGAATAACCAAAAATTTACGGTAATCAGGGTTTCTAGCAGGAAGCACTTGGGTAAAAATCTATATTCCTAAAAAATCCCTGCTAGCCTGCCAGGGGACTCTCAATACCGTGAAAATCACTGCTACCCTGCCAAATCTGGTCTTCCTAAAAATCCTTGCTGGCCTGCTCTGTCAGCTTAAAAATTCCAAAAGAATCTCGGCTAGCCTGCCTTGCCAAAATCCTCAAATTCCTCAAGAATGTTTGCTACCCTATTTTCTGTTCTAATTAACGAATTCAGCCAAAATCTCGACGGCCAAAATGCCGACAAAACAGAAATCATCTTTTCGACGTTAGAATGTCGATTCCTTTTAAAACAGTTGTTTTGCATGTCGGGATTTTTGGCTTCCGGAGATTTTGGCTGTCGGTATTTTGGCCTTGGAAATTTTCGGTGTTTAGGTCTTGGTTGTCGGGATTTTAGCTGATTTTGGCCTGTCGGGATTATGGCTGTCGGGATTGTCGCTGTCGGTATTTTGAGCGTTTCACTTTCGGTCATTTGAGTGTGAGTATTTACGTTGCAAAGGCTATTTTCTTTCCGTGTCTTTTGGTGTCGGGATTTCCTGTGTCGGGATTCTGGCAATCGAGATTTTGACTGTCGGTATTTTACTTTTGAGAGTTTAGCAGTCGGTATTTTGGTTGTCGGCATTTTTGCTGTCGAGATATTGGATGTCGGGATTTACGCTGTCGATATTTTTGGAACCGTTCACAGGAAAGAACGTACTGTAATACAGCACACAAATTAATGGGGAAAAATCGAGACAGATATCGTGATTTTCCGACATACTACGATTGAGTACACATGACGTAATGTGGCGGAACTTTCTGGAAAGAATAACCAAAGATTACGATAATCAACAATCAAATAATTTTTGCTGACGGGATTTTGGTTATCGAAATTTTGCGTGTCGATGTTTGGCTGTCGCGATTTTCACTATAGCTATTTTTGATGTCGGCATTCTCGCGTTTTCCCCCCACCTACCGTAACCCAAAAAGGTCACACGCCCCCTTCCCGGAATGGCCGGGATTTGCAGCAGAAAAGAAGGGCAGAGCCCCGGTCGCTATTTTGAGAGAAAACTTTGAACCGTCTATTTTTGGAGCGGATGGTGGCCAGTAGATTTTTGTGGAGATGCGAGACTTGGAATGGAAGGTGAAAAAGTTGATAAAGACATGATGGACCCCGTGGATTCTCATAAATCATTGGCAGGGAAAGAGGGGGAGAAACTGTCTGCTCTGTGCCCATCCCAGCGGGGGTTCCGATTCTCAATTTTTCTCCTCACGAAGAAACCCCCACGAGATATCTGGGCAATGGTCCCGGAAATAAACTGAATTCGGGGACGGGCATTTGTATGAAAATTAAGGGGTTGGAAAGGTATTGGAATGGAATTAATGGTTCCACATTAAACGATTGACAAAACATCCCGATGAATCTTCCTGCGGTCGCGACGCGCAACTGAACTAGCTTTTCTGCGGCTACCGTATTGGTTTCGAGTGAACTTTTATCAGAAGCTCGAATTTTCAATAGGCTGCATGCAGAGACCAGAGCCGAATTTAATGGGATGCAGACCATGGAAACTTCGAGGTTCTAAAAAATCAGCTTCTAAAAATCGAGTTTGTCAGTTTTAAGATACTGTTTTCGAGATTCCTAGAGATACCCGTGTAGAGCTGGTATCAGTAGTTATCGTCTTCCGGATAACTTCCCGGTTCGAAATTCTCGAATTGCTTGCACCCGAATCTTGGCGGAACGAACCAAACTTGTTTACTCCCCCGCCAAACCTTGTGGACAACAAAAATTTTCTGAGATTCCTTTAATTTACCCATTTACATTTTGAGACCCAGTTTTCCTGTGAAAATCCGGGGTTGATACGATTTAAGTCAGGAAACTGGAACCTAGATGTTTTCGCGTCTTCCAAGAGCTTTTTTGTGATGCCAAAAACAAAAAATCGAACCACGGTAGAGAGCGTATTCCAGGAAATCCTGTAGATCAGGCAAAAAAAGCCAGCTGGTTAGATTGGCGGTATCCGCAAGGCGACAGATCCCGCCCAGATGCCCCCGGGCACCTTTTAGAGGTCATTAGGGTCATTGGGATACGGTAGTCGATGCCGACTCGCGGTAAGTTTAAATTCCGTTTTCTCAGTATATTCCAAAGATCAACGCCAAAATCTTCCAGGGGGATCCCTACGTCGTTCCGCCCCTAAAAAATTCAGGTCCCTCCACGACTGCCCGAAAACGGCTGGCTTTGCATAAAATTGCGGGTGAACTATTGTTTTTGGTCGGACCGATGGGGAACTCTCATCGAGCGAGTAGCCAAAAAGAATTTAAGGAAATATTTCTTTTTTTTTTTTTTTTTTTTTTTTTTTTTTTTTTTTTTTTTTTAAACTTTTTTTTTTTTTTTTTTTCCCCTTTTATTTAATTTAAAAAAAAAAATTTTAATTTCCCCCTTTTTTTTTTTTTTATTTTTTTTTTTATTTTTTTTTTTTTTTTTTTTTTTTTTTTTTTTTTTTTTTTTTTTTTTTTTTTTTTTTTTTTTTTTTTTTTTTTTTTTTTTTTTTTTTTTTTTTTTTTTTTAAATTTTTATTTTTTTTTTTTTCCCTTTTTTTTTTTTTTTTTTTTTTTTTTTTTTTTTTTTTTTTTTTTTTTTTTTTTTTTTTTTTTTTTTTTTTTTTTTTTTTTTTTTTTTTTTTTTTTTTTTTTTTTTTTTTTTTTTTTTTTAAATTTTTTTTTTTTTTTTTTTTTTTTTTTTTTTCCCCTTTTTTTCCCCTCCCCTTTAAACTGTTTTTGGAGATAGACAATCAAACATCACTTCCCAAAGGATCTTTGCTAGTTGCCCAAGGATGCTCTAATGGTCTCTGCTAGCTCGCCTACCCTCTATGATATCTTATTTTCCTATCGTAATCGTTTGGCGAACACACCTTTGCACCCCGGGGCTACAGATTGCCATAAAAAGCCATAGGCTATTCGCCAAATACCCCCAATCGTCATCAACACTGCATATCACACCGTGTCTCGAGTAGCGAAACGTACTCACAACAAAGAAAGGTCACTTTTAGGGGCATGTCTCTGACGGTGAATTGTTTCCGCCGCCGGCCTGTGTACGTCTGCACCGAGAATGTTCTCGAAATCAACAGCCCGGGGAATCCGTCTATCTTTTTACCCCGATAAAAATTGGCAAAACAGGCTAGAGTTTAGCCCATCGTTTTTGCTGCCATATTTTTCCAAGATTTGTAAGGGTGTTTTCAGTGCAGAACCGTTTCGAGAGGGCACCAAAAAATCGAACTTGGTGTGAAATGAAAAGCAGAAATTTTGAAAAAGGGGGACAGCAAAGTTTTACAAACGTTATATTGAACATACCAAATCTTTTTTGCATGTCTAGAAACGCCTAGTAACGTAATCGAAAATATTTTAATTGTGTTTTCAATAATATAAAATTATATTTAAACTAGGAACTATACAAAAAACTTTAAAAACCTTGAAAAAGTCGGGAGTTTATTCAAAAACCGGCTCTTTTTGTCGATAAATCGATATTTTTGCTGTTTTTTAATAAAAATTGTGTAAAGTTTTGACGTTTATGACTAGCAGAACACGTGTTAAAAATACTTCCACGATTTATATTTAAAATTGAGCTTAATAAAAAAATTTTAGGAAATTTCGACGGGAATTACCACATCTAACTTCGCCCCAAAAGGCGCATTTTTCTCCATTTTCTGCGTTTCTTAATGACATCTATTTGCGTGTGCTTTTCCAAAAATTTGCGTAGCGTCATTTGCAGCAGATCGGTATCGATTACGCGACTCAATGGAGGCCAAAATTTTTGTGGCCACTCTGCGCTGTCAGTGTTTCTCCCAAATTTTTGAATCAATTACGCTAGATAACTCAAGGATTTATGGCAAATATAAGCATTTATACAAATTCCAATGTCGCACCGTCATAGCAAATCAATAGATTCAGAATTATCACGCGGGAGGCCAAACAGTTAAGGCACCACAAAAGATACAAGCATGGTAAGTGAAGGGTAAAAACAACCGGTGTAGCTGGCAAAAATTAATCAGGGGAATGTGTGGAAAATAAGGCCAATCAATATACCGCGTATTTCAAATAGACTGGGCGAGGGGGATGGGGTTAGGATTAGACTTGGCCTGGGCTTAAGCTTTGGCCTAGGTTTAGGCTTGGCTTGGGCTTGGATACGACTTAAGCTTAGGCCTAGGTTTAGGCAGACGCTTCGGGTTGACTAGGCCTGACTAAGGCTTGGCTTAGGCCTAGGCTTAAGTCAGGCCTGGACTTGGGCTTAGCTTAAGACCAGGCTTAAGCTGACACGAATCATACCCAAAATACGACCATGAAAAGGAAGAAGGAAATATACCAAAATCACCAAAAGTGTATTGAAATTTAAACGAAATCCTAAAGGAACTAAAATCGCAAACTCAGGATTTTTTGTTGTATGCCAAAAACCCAGAAAATCTTTGGGACTTGCCGAGTTCTTTCAAAACTGAAAATTCAGAAATTTGGGAGTTTAAATCGACAACGAAGCAGATATCGATTTAATATAGTGATTTTCTGAACTTCTCAAGTCTTTTAAACCCCTGAAAATGCAATTTTTGATAACTTGAAAGCAAAAAAAATGTCTTAAGCTTCATTTTTCAATATTTTCGGGGTGTAAAGGACGATTCAAGGCAAAATCCATAACTTCAAAGTCTTAGGCATCGAATTGGTGGTTATCAGGATCCCGGGCAACATCCGGGGGTCCATCTCGGGATACGGTTACGTGGCCAGCCTTTATCGTCAGGTGACCGTCATCAGATGAAGAAATATCATCGTCCTTTTGCCGCGTCTCGTCGATAGCTGCTGCAAAAATTAAAATTATTCGAATTAAGGTAGTTTAAAATTCATCAAAATTAAGAAATTAAACCCAGAGTGGGTTTGGAAAAAAGAGAACTATTTAAATCATAAAACTAAAATTAAAATTAACGAAAACTGGGGTAAACCTACTTTTCGACGCAAATAATTTAGTAATGCCCGGCTGAAAGAGCTTTTAAAGGGACTGAGAAGGCAAAAAGTTTATCCTAGATCCTGCCAAGCGGTAAAATCCTCAGTTTCCGAGATGGTCTTTGCTGGCTGGCCCGTAGATGATCAATTTTTCCCAAAGCGTCTTTGCTAGCTTGCCGGATTTTGCTATCGTAATTGATTCAGGAAAAGTTCCTCAAGAATCATCGCTATCTCTTTTAATTTAAAGTTCGCGTCTTCAGATTTTCCGTTCTTCAAAGTACAATAATTTTTTCGGTACTGGACTATTAGCGGGGGGGGGAAGTAATTTTCCCCCCTGTAATACCGTACGGCCATAGAACAAAAGCTAGACGATAGTTTGTGATTTTACAAAGTTAAGTTTTTAGAGAGCAAGATCACAGTTTTAAATTCTTAAAATTAAACAGATTTTTTATAACTTCCCAGCAAGCAAAATTTACTAATAAACCCTAAAAACCTTATAAAAACAATATATATTATTCAGATAGGAAAAATAAAAATTCATTGACCTCGCCCCCCCGCTAACAGCACAGTACCAGGTTTTGAAGAATTTAAATAATTTAATAGCTAAAAAGCTCACTTTGCGCCACCGCCGCTGGAGCACCATTTCCGTTTTGTGGGTTGTTGATGGAGATATTGCTGGCTCCGATTTTCCTTCTCGGGGCAACAGCACCACGGGTGTAGATGTTGGCAAGGGCTGCGCGTAGCTACAACAGTACAATTAGCATAAAATCTTGTGTACCTCCTTGACAGCCACCACTCCCACCAATCGACCCTTGTCCGTCACGTAGGCGTGGTTGAGGGCAAGCAGCGAGAATAGGGTATGCACCTACAATTTTTGAGTTGGGAGAATTCCTCAAGAATCGTTGCTAGGTTGCTTTTGACGGCTAGGATCTTTTAAAAAATGTCCGCCATAATAGCCATTCGCGAAGAATTTCTCCTAGTTAGCCCTAGGTTCGGTTCCTCGAAAAATCGTAAAAAAACTTTGCGAAATGATCATACGTTTTCCCAAAGAAGCTGTGCTCGTTTGCCTTTCTGATTTCAAATGTCTTCCAAAGATCTCTGCTAGCTTACCTCAAAGACCTCTGCCAGTTCTCATTTATCGCCTCCCTCACGCTCACTCTCTCTCTCTCTCTCTCTCTCTCTCTCTCTCTCTCTCTATCTCTCTCCCTGACTCTCTCACGTTCTCTGTTTCTCACACTCACTCACTCTTCCTCTCATTCGCTCTATATCCCTCTCTCTTTCCTTTGTCTCTAACACACTCTCTCATACTTTTTTTCTCTAGCTCTATTGCTCTCTCTTCTCTCGCTCCCTCTCTCTCTCTCTCTCTTTCCTCCTTACCTTATATAGCGAACATCCCTTCACAATCTGGAATGGTGCTGGATCAATGGCCACCCCATGCAAATCCAACGGTGACGCAAAAAGAGCGGCTCGTTCCGCGATTGTACGCTAAACATTGTAGCGTCATTTGGTTGTACTCCGTAGCCATACCACTTGTGCTTCTGGTTGTTCATTTTGATTCATCAGCAGATTGGCTAGCGGAGCGCTGTGTAGTCCATTTTCATGAAGGGGCGAATGGGCGAGCAGGGTATTTCCCGAGATGCTACTAAAGACGAACTCGTTACGGTAGAATTTTTGCGAAATACCGATCTGTCAGAATTCCAGCCGTCCATGAATTTCGGCTCGGGGGTTGTTCGCGTCCATTTCGAGTGCCCATCCCGAGGAGGTTTGTCGAGCTGCGGCTGAAAAACGGGGATCTTTTGCGTTTGCGGGGGAGGACTTAGTAGCGTAATAAGTCCAGAAGCGCCTGGTAACGTGGGGCAAGTATCTTAGTACTATTTTTAGTGAAATTTAACTGTTATTCAGGTAGAAAATTATCTAAAAACCTAATTGGTAATTTTGGTCAAAAAACGGCAATTTTTGGTGGGAAAAATCTACATTTTTGTAATTTTTTCATGAAAATTTCGAGTTTTTTACATGCAAAAATTGTAAAAACAGCTTAAAAACACTGATAATTTGAGGCAAACTAGTAAATTCCTAGCGCAATTGGACGCTTTTTGTAATTTTCACAAGGCACAAAATTAGTCGAAATTCTCAAATTTTTCTTATTTGAAAAGGTCCGCCTCCGAACCTCCGAATTCGAGCCGCGCGGCACGTTTTGATACCGTAATCTGATATCTTTTTGGCAAATCCATACCTTTCTCCCCCTTCGAAACGGGCCACTTACTTTCTAAGGGTGTGCAGCAGCTCGCTGGCGTTGAACGAACGACGTTTCGAGGCGAATGCATCATCAGGGCCAAGTTTCTTGAAGAGCAGGTGGGTCAGATACTTTCGAGACACCGATCCAAGCAATGTCATCGACACTGAAAACTTGATTTACTCGCATCTATTGACATTTAGGAAAGCTCCGCTTTAATCCAGCCAATTCTATAGTGTTTCCCGTACTGTAATGTATTTTCAAACACCGTACCTTTATCGGTGACGAACGGATAGCTCTTGAGATTTGTCGTCTCGAGAAGGATGGCCCTCAATTCCCGGTAGGTCGTCTCCTTTGTGATGTAGATGATATCCTTCACCATGATTCGCTCCACTTTCAACGTGTGAACCCTGAAACGTAGCGTGGCGTATAGGAAAAAGTGTTTTCTAGGATACAACGAAAATTTTGCATGAACTACGGGATGCTCAAACTTACGAGATACGGGATGGGGGCAAGTCGGCTAGATAGGGGTAGCCCTTGATGGAGATCGTCGATTCGTAGATGGAGGGAGAGATGAAGGCGCAAATTGCATTTGCTATCATTAGGGCTATCTAAAAAATTGTAAAAAAATTTGCGACCGAATCTCGTTATCACGTATCTCCGTCCCTCTCTCCCTCTCTCCTCTCTCCCTCTCTCTCTCTCTCTCTCTCTCTCTCTCTCTCTCTCTCTCTCTCTCTCTCTCTCTCTCTCTCTCTCTGTTGCTAGAACGGAGCTAGGATGAACGAGAAAATTGAAGAGAGAGAGAGAGAGCGAGAGAGAGAGAGCGAGATAGAGAAACAGAGAAAGCGGAGCTGAGTGAGAGCCAGCAGAGAGCGAGACTGAGAGAGACAGCGATAGAGAGATACCGAGCAAAAATGAGCAAATCAGATTTTCAGGAACATTGCGTCTATTTAGTACGTACCAATACAGGCAACAGGGCACACAATTGACCGGTAGTTTCGCACACGATCACAGCCAATGAGAGGGAATGCGTGACAGCACCCGTATAGGCAGCAGCGCCTGGAAAACGATAAGCCGTCTATTTGGTGTTTTCCTCAACAATCTCTGCTAGTTTGCCGTCTAAAGCGGTTGGAAAAGTAGCAAACTAGCTGGATTCAATGAGCTAATTGACCCACCGACAACGGCATAGAGCCCGGGGAATATCTGTGGACTCTCCATCCCTCGAATCCCCTCCGGCCACCACATCGAGATCAGCTCGCCGAGGAGACGACCGAGGGCCGCGCCTGGAAATGTGGATTTGAAAGCGATTGGTTCTAAGATAGCCTAGCAAATAGCCAATCATAACCGCGACGCGTGCGCGCGCCAAGCTCTCGTTGTTTGGAGGCGAAAGCCTGCTAATTTTGAAGATCTGAGGCAAATTTTTGAATCCGCATCCCTTTTTTAATCATGTTTTTGTCCGAATCACAAAAATTGGCACAGGCTAGCCAAAATCGATGAATTGGGCACCATGGGAGGCATTACGCAATGTAATCCTTACACGGGCAAAAAGTCGATTTTGCCCAAAAACCACGAATTTTGCTTGGAAGCACCGATTTTTTTGCAAAAAATGATTTTTCGGCAGTCCCCTCCAGTTTTTGGTAGTGGATTCGTTGCCCGAACGCGCAGATTTCGACTTTATAGACCCTTTAAAGGGATCGGAAAGGGACTCTGAAGGGTCAAAGGTCGTTTGAAACTGTAAAAACAAACCAACGACGAATGAGGGGACGAATACTCCGGAAGGAACGTAAAGCGAGATGCACACTGAGATCAGGAAGAACTGGAAAATAGCGTGCTTATTCAATTATTGAAGGTTTTCGTTTTTATGCTTCTTTAAGCTGCGAATTTCACGTACATAGACGATCAGAAAACCGGCCAGCGTCAGCACCATATCATATTGACCGGTTGAACCGCTGCGCGTCCAGTGGTCAACCACGGATTGTGGACAACCGTGCTAGAAAGGGGTGAATTTTGCATGGCTCTCTCTCTCTCCTTCTCTCTCTCGCTCTCTCTCTCTCTCTCTCTCTCTCGCTCTCACCTCAGCCGCATTATGCAACGTAAATGTGCAGTTGGATAAAAAGTCGATGAGGGCCTCTCGGAATGTCAATTTGCCTCCACAGTACTGCCCCAATCCATCTGGGAATGTCAGCACCGCCACGACGACTGTCCACAGAGCTGTGTAGAGGATTGGACTGGAAAGTGTAAGTTTAAAGGGGCGGCGACAGCAATATATGCCTCTCTCACTCTCGCTCTCTCTCTCTCTCGCCTTTCCAACCTTTTGGTCCAAATCGCTCGACAAGTCTTATTCCTGCGTACAAGTGTTGCCATTTGCCGATTCAACCAGATAAAAGCCGCCGCCAAGAGCCCGCAAATTACGCTAAAATTGATTTTTTTTAAAGAATCGGTTACGATGGTATATTAGCGTAACAATTCTCAGTGGCTACCGTACCCAAGCAGCGCAAAGAACGGAATCTCCTCGATGACAAACACCTCATTTGGGAATGATGTCTGGTAGTAGGCCGTGATTGTGCCCGCTAAAAATGACAAATATGATTTTTTCGAGGTTTTATAAGCACAGTACGCTACGATACGACATTACACCCAATTTTATGTATTTTTTCTGACGTACCGATATGTTGTGGAAGGATGAAGGCCATCGCAAATCGAAAAATGACCGCTGCACAGGTTGTGGCGAAGAAGGCCCTCCAATAGTTCTTGATCGCGAAATATTTCGAGGTTGATTCAATCCCGTACAGTACACCTGCAAAAATAAGCTTATTTAAAAATTTGGAAAGGCTTTTTCTAGGTTGCTTTGGGTTCTAATGGTCTCTGCTGTCTTGCCCGTCATCCGAATCGCCTGGTTTTTCCAAAAGATCTCTGCTAGATGGCCTCAAAAGCGGAAACTGTTTCTTGGGAGTTTAAGTTTAACCATTTTTGCGATCTTACTGGCTAAATGTTGAGGTTTTATTACGAAATTTTGGCTAGCTAACCCTGGCGTTTTAGGAAATTTTTTAAGACTGTCTTCGTGATTTTCCAAAAGAAATTCTGCTAGCTGGCCTTCAGCTTTCCGGGTCCCAATTATTTAATACTGTAATGTTAAGCAAAAAATCATGTTTTCCAAAGATTCCCGCTAGCTTGCCCTAACAATAAAGTGCCAAAACGCTAAACGCTGAATTTCCGAAAAGCTTAGGGTGGCTGCCTTCTTGACTCCTGGCTTCCAGGTCCCTTTATAACCACCGTAACCCCCGGGCACCTACCTCCGGCCGGTGCGGAAAATGTGCACGCGATTCCGACGGCACATCCAGATGACAACATCTCCATCGCGCGGCCTAAAAATATGTTTTCGAAATGAAAAGATTTGCGCAACTGTGACTATCAAAAACGTACCCTCGTTTGAGAAAAAGGCATTATAAGTGCAGGCTGAGGTCATTCGGCTTAATAGCGAGGCTACGATTGCACCCATATGCACGAATGGACCCTGAAAATGGTGGAAATTCGTGAGCATCACAGTACGGTGTTTTACGCTACGGTAGACTACGCCACGCTGCGCTACAACACGTTACGCTTACAATTGTGAGAACATACAGATAGAAGGAAGGTAGGTAAAGCCAAGGAAGAGAGAACCAGGAAAAAAGCAGAAAAGGAGAAAAAGTGAGTCAGGGAGAGCTAGAAAGCGAGAGAGAGGCAGAGAGAGACAGAGTGAGTGAGAGAGAGGGAAGACAGAGAGAGGGAAGGCAGAGAGAGGGAAGGCAGAGAGAAAAACAGCGAGAGATAGAGAGAGAGAGAGAGAGAGAGAGAGAGAGAGAGAGAGAAAGAGAGAGAAAGAGAAAGAAAGAAGAGAGAGAGAGAAAGACAGCGAGATCGAGTGAGAGAGATAGAGAGAGGCAGAAAGATTTTACTGACCTCCTTCCCGACGGGCAAACACGACCCAAGCGTAAAAACCAGCGCCAAAATCTTGGCAACCAGCGTCCGAAAGGTGAGGTAATTTTTCATGGCAAACCCGGCCATGATGACCTTCACTTCAGGGATTCCGGAGCCTAAAAGTCGCATACTCGATTACGCGATGAAATGAGCGTACCGACGGCCTGTTTGGAGATGCCATGACATATCAGGCCGGCTATCGAGACGCAGATCACCAGGAAAAGTACCTGAAATTCGGGATGCTCAATTTCCGTAGTTTACAGAGGCTTTAATGGGACTGAGAAGTGTCGGAATCTACCCTCTTTTTGACTAGATATAGACAAACACGACTGTCCCAAAAATTCTGTATTTGTGTAGCAAACCACTGGAAATGTTTTCTTTGGTGCGTTGTAGCTGTCGAGATCTAGCCAAGGGGTGGGGTCGATTTTCGGGCTTCTAGCCCCTTTAAAGCAAAAATTTTAATAAATATACCCATGCCGCAAATCCGCTGTAGACACTTGTCGCTTTGAAGTACTCGTAGCTGACGATTTTGACTGAAAATCATCCGGTAGAAATCCCATTTAAAGAGCCACTGAAGTCTTGGAATCAATTCTCGTCTTATTATACATATTTTAAAGTATATGTAAACTTACAGTGCTGTAAATATTCGATTCCCACATCTGTTGTTATCGATAAAACGGCCGTTATAACGCCCAGGACGCCGGAGAGGAACCAATCTTCCACGAAGAAATGGACAATGTTACGGTATTGGCCTGGAAAGAGGGGTTTTCTCTCTCTCTTGTTCTCGCTCGCTCTCTCTCTCACTCGGTGTCACTATCTCACTCGCTCTCCCTCACATTAAATCGCTTTTTCTCTCTATCTCGCGCTGTCTCTCTCTATCCCTCTCTCTCCCTCTCTCTGTTTAGTTAAAACCCACGCGTCAAAAATTCTCGCCGTGTCTCCTGTGGTGGATTGTCGGCAAGGAATGGGTCGAAATCCTGCAAAAATTTGAATTTTTAGAGAGTTTCAAGGTGTGGTCCAACCTCATCCCCATCAGGTTCTGTAGACGACGTCGAGCCGTCGACAATCTGCGTGTTCAGGTCATATTGTCTAAATTGATATTGCTTAGAATTGACGTCTTTTACAGCGTTTTATCCTTTACCTAATGCTTTTTCAAAAAAAAATGGTTTGCTACGCTGAATTCGAAACCTAAACCTAAGTCGCAGGCTAAGCCGAAGCCAAGCCTAAGCTCAAAATTGAACCAAAGCCTAAGTCTACACCCAAGCCAAAGCCTAAGCCTAAGCTAAGCTAAGCCAAGCTAAGCTTAAGCCAGGCCTAAACGTAAGTCAGTCAGCCCTGCTCGTCCCTCTAAACGTATCGTGCCACTTCCCCCATTCACCCACTTCATCTTAGACAATTTCCTCTGGGATATCTTCCTCTCAACGGGTCCATATCCTGTCAAACTGTCGAAACCCTCAGAGAGAAGCTCGGGTATTGTCGACAGTTTCCGTCGGAACATCTGCTCGGAGGAAAGCTTCTTTCCATTAGTGCGCGCGCAATTTGGGCACGGCATTTAAGAAGATTTCGCCGGTTTAAGTCGCGTAATTTTAGAAGAAATAATCGAAAGAGACCCAGAGTATATGTACGATTTCTAGGCTCAATTTATAGGGAAACCGGGTCGCATGAATTTGCAATTCGTCGCCCCGGGGTCAAGCAGATAGTCAGGATCGAGATAAAATGGCCGGAATGGCCAGAGAGTGTGACGCAAATTTTTTCTGGGAATTAATGTAGCTTCAAGTCCTGTAAAAACAGCCAATTTAATGGCGTAATTGATTTTCGCAATTTTTTTGGCTTAAATATATTAAAACGGACGTTCAAAAGTCACTACAAAATGGTATACAGGAAAAACGGGCAGATAGATCGTATTTGGTACTAGGCTGTTAGCGGGGGGGAGCGTTAGCCGGAGGGGGGTCAATCTTGCGTCTAAGATAAAAAACTTCGAAAATTTTGGCATTTTGGTCAAAAATGTGTGAAAAATTATTAACAAAAGCCATATTTTTTTTTTTTTTTTTTAAATTATTTTGAAGTTACTTTTGCAACTTTCTACAATCAGAAACTACCGTAAAACCTATAAAAATCGATTATATAGTTTAATATCTGTTAATGCTACCTGTTAATAATTTAACAGGTAAGTCGTGAATAGACAAAAAAAAGCACAAATTCATTTCTCGTAGCCCCCCTCCCCCGCTAACAGTCCTGTACCAAGAATTTGACGTAGTAATGCGTTCGGCCGCAAAAATTGGGTTTTTTTAAAGCCAAAAATCTTTATTTTGAAAGCTAAAAAAACAAACAAACAAAACAAAACAAAACTCGAAACAAACTTTAGGCAATCTACAATCTTGTTTTTCCCTTCACAACCCATTTAAAAAGATCATTTGGATTAATAGATAGGCGTTAAGCTGATATAATGGGTGTTAAAGCCGTTGCCCAAATAGCACCGAATGGAAATGGGCGGCAAAAGGGGAAACGGCTACGGCATCGCATAAGCTGAGGGAAAAACAGACACCCATTAGAAAACAAGAATTCCGGGGCAAGCAATCGCGAAATAGTATCCGGCTCTGTCTCTGTCTCTCTCTCGCTCTCTCGCTCTGTCTCTCTCCCTCGCTCTCTCGCTCTCTTTCTCACTCTCTTACTCTCTCGTCAAATATACAGGAAATACTAAAAAAAGACCGGCGTGTTCCTCGCTAGAAAAAAAGAAAGAAAAAAACTTCCAAAAAGGGCCGATTCGAGGGGGAGGGCTATAGGGGGGTCGACCCCGAAAACAACCGATGGTGACAATAAATCGGGGAATCGAGCCGTATTTCAGTGATCTACACTGGGTATTATAATAGGGGAATAGACGACAACTTGAGGTTAACACTGGCAGGCTAGCTAGCAGAGGATCTTTGCGGAACGTTGAAATTTTAAGGGACCCGGAAGTTATGACCAAAAATGCGATTTTTGGGCTGGCTGAGAGATAGAGAGAGAGTGCGAGTGAGAGAGGAAGAGAGAGAGTGAGTGAGAGATGGAAAGGGATCTAGAGAGCTGGCGAGTGATAGCGCCAGGGAGGGGTGGAGCGCGAGAAAGGCAGAGAGAGAGAGACAACGAGAGAGAGAGAGAGAGAGAGAGAGAGAGCGATAGATCGGGCGAGTGAGAAAGCGAGAAAGTGCGATGGTGAGATAGCTAGAGAGCGTGAGAGAGCGATAGATCGAGACCGTTTGTGGAGAGGAACAGCGAGAGAGAGCGTTAGAGAGAAACAAGAGTGAAAAATGTTTCAAGAAATTGCGAATAAAAACACCCTAACGATTTCGACCCGTTCCTGTTCCCCTTCCCCTTCCAACTGCCAGATAATTGGCGCGACGCAAAGTTCACGCAAAAATGCGGTAAAAGCGATCACAATTCGCGCATGAATGCCCCGTTCAAGGTTGGCCACGATTTTCTCGCACTTTTCGACGATGGTGATATTTGAGTTGTGGGTGTGTGGGAGGAATTGGTCTGGGAATTCTGTCGGTTTGGTCTGGGTCAAGAAACGGGGGAAATATTGAGCAGGAAGTAGAGAAAAAATTCTTAAAATTTGAACTACTCTACTTTTTCATGTATTAAAAATTCTAAAATATAGTTAAAACTGTTTCTGGTGGAATTGAAGCGCCTCAAAATACGTAAATTCAAAAATGGCCGCAAAAGCAGCGCCCAAACCGCTATTTTTTAAATTATCTTATTAATAAACGTTTCATTATCTATAATTGCTAACGGAAATTAGATAATAAATCGAACAATATGGTTAAAAATTAAGATGGTTGACTTGGCCTCCAAAAAATTCCGCTTCAGTCCGAACTCAGCCCCCAATTCCAGATGTAGGGCACCGATATGGAAACGCCACTTCGACTCGACTATCGTGGTTTTTTTTAGTTTTTAAACAGCTAAAAATATTTGGTTCCTGGTGTTATTACAAAGTTATAAAAATTAGTGGTTTTTCCTGGGTTTCGGTTTAAGGGATTCACGGCCGAAGGTAGATGCCAATTGCTGAAAAGCCCAAAAAGAAGCAAGCCGAAAAAACTCTTTGGCATTGCGGAAAAATATTATTTTTGTTGTAACTCGAGGATTACGGTAGCAATGGGGATATATCTCTGGATTGTTGTTAGTTAGAGTCCGATACGTCCCAGGTCCAATTTTGGGAAGAATTCGGTGTAATACGGCGACATGCCGACGGGTCGTGCCGATACCGTACCGTTAATTCGGATCAATATACTCACTTGACACCATGCGGATCCATAATTGCCGGTGTTACAGGGTGAAAATAGTCGATGATCAACCGTAGATAGGATGGTTTGGTAGTGTTGTATGAAGGGAATGACTGTCTGTCTATAGGTGGGGGGGATGTGATCGTACTCTCAATCTCTTCCTCCTCTTCCTTCTCTTCCACCCTCTCGGGTTTTCATTCGAATCATTTTTGGGGGGCTGTATTTCCGGGGGGAGGAGGAGGTGGAGGTGATCCTTCCCGGGGGATCTCAATAAATCTCGGGTCATTCTCAAAATAGACCGATAAAAGGCAAGAGGGGGACATACTATCGATTTGGGGGGACCCCTTTGCATCTCCAATGTCAGAGCTCTTGTTTTGTGATTTGAGGCAGAGAGAGAGAGAGAGAGAGAGAGAGAGAGAGAAAGGGCACGATTTAGAACAGTCCACCAAAAAATGACCAGCAGCGCCGTTTTTAGACGTGATGTTGGAACCCGGGTTTTTGCTATTTTTAACGGGGTTTTTACGAATCAGCTTTTAGAGATAGGCTTTTATTAGCCTTAGGCTTTAGGTTTAGTCTTAGACGACTTGGCTTGGCTTGGCTCGGCTTGCCTTAGATTGCTTGCCTGGCTTGCCTTAGCTAGGTTATATTTTGCTAGGTTTGGCTTGGATCAGCTTTAGGCTTAGGCTTGTCTTAGACTTAGGCTTCGGCTTCGGCCCTGGGCTTGGCTTACGCTTAGGCTTGGCTTAGGCCTGGCTTGGGTTTAAGCTTCGGCTCAGGCTTAGGCGCTTCGGATCCAAACACAGATCATTTAAAGACACTCAAATTCTCCAAAATTCGAGCTAATAGACGTCCTCAAAAAAATGGAAAAAATTGATGGATTACGGTAGATTACGGTAACCTACAGCGGACAAGTGGAAGGTTTGAACGTTTTTAAGGCAAAAACGCAAATTCCTTGAAATAATGACTCACGAGGTAGATGGCGTCGGCTCCAAGTCATCGTCATCTGGCGTATCATGTAGTCGTCGATACTTATAATAATCCATCAGCTGTCCCTCGTCCTCCTCTTCTTCCTCTTTTTCCAGAAAGAATCCAGTCCTGCAAGAAGAAGCCATGATGTCCAAATGAATGGCCCACAAAAAAGGGTAGAAACAAGGGGGCAGAACAGAAAAAAAATCTAGATAAGAAGCTAGAGATACCCGCTTTTTCTGAGCGGTCGGTCCAGAAGAACCCACAAAAAGACGGCTGGGGGCATTCAGAAAAAAAGCCGGTGTGCAAAATTGTGATAACAGGGGCCGTTCGGCTGCTGCTTACGTTTCACGGCCGTGTACTCGGCACAACATACGGTAATCGCTTGAATCTATGCACCATTTTGCTGTTGATGTGGTATATTCCAAGAGTTAAATTTTTAAACCAAACTGATGATATGTCAATTGGAATGTAGCGTACGTAACGTTGAAAAGCTACACACCGTCACTGTCATCCGATGTCAATAAATCGGCCAATTTCATGTGGGAACGCCTGGGAGATTCTGTTTTATTGTTTTATGTCAATTTAGTAAAATCAGGAGAGGTGAGAGACAGAGATAGAGAGAGATAGGCAGCGAAAGAGAGAGACAGAGTGAAAGCGAGAGAGAGAAAGAGTGAAACCGAGAGAGAGTGAAACCGAGAGAGAGAGAGAGAGACAGAGTGAAAGCGAGAGAGAGAAAGAGAGAGTGAAAGCGAGAGAGAGAAAGAGAGAGAGAGAGAGAGAGAGAGAGAGAGAGAGAGAGAGAGCAGCAAAGCGCGATTTTCCAATATTTTTCGACTGAAAAGCTAGATTTTCGCTTATGGGAGACGCAGAAGCTCGATTTAATCCGTTTGGAAATTTTCAAATTAGCGTATATTGGTGTTTTTCGTCGTGTATTAGATACATTCTCCTTTACTATTTTTCCTTACTACACAGGTGAAGTTCCCGCTTTATTCCAGGTTTATCGACGCGAATTCTCAACCGGAAACCGCGGCCGCAGCTCAATTCCCGTGGCCGGTGCGCAAAAATGGGCCGAGCGATCGCCCATCCCCGGAATTTCGCCCTATCAATCAATGACCAAACATCCAACGGATCGCGCCGGGGTTTCAACCAAAAAATGGGGTTCTCGGCGTGGATTTGCGGGGGTAAGGGGTAAAATGGTTGGCAAGGGGTCTGGTAGAAAGTTTTGGAAATGGAATCGTTCAAAAAAAATCTAGTATTAGCTTCCAGAGGAAAATAATAAATAAGGGAAATTCCTCCCTCCGTCCGTTCTTTAAAGCGCACGTTCAGGGAGGGGCCGTGTACTCGTCCCAACGTGTACACCCTATGGACGTAGGGACCGCGCGCACTGCCTGCCCGTGCTGTGACAGGCCATTCCCCTCCTTTGCGGCGTGGGGCGCCCCTCGCCCCCTTGCCAGGTTGTAGCTGTGGCTGACTGGTATTCATCCGCGCCTCCCGAACGGGGGACCCGGGTTCGACCCCCGGCCGCGGCACAAACCTTTGCTTTTTTCCAAAAAAACGTCCCTGAACGTGCCCTTTAAGGAAACGCCAAAAAGTTTTAAAACCTTCCAAAAACAACACACAGAGAAATTGGCTGAGCAAAAAGGTTAAGTAGATTAAAGGGGCTCCGAGATTTGGTCCACGGCCCTCTGCGTTGATTCCTGGCAAATAGCCAGATGCAACCGCGTGATCTTTTGCCCCTTTTTGTACGCGAAAACGCTTGAATTTCAAAATTCTGAATCTATTTCTGTAATTATCATCCAATTTTGATCATTGTAGTCGTTTTATTTATGAAGATTGATCTGAGAATCGCCGAGATCGAGAGATTGGGGCCTTACAAGGCATTACGGCATGTAATCGGCGCGCTGTCAAAAAGTCGTTTTCGCCCCATGGGCTTTCTTTTGGCTTCAAATATTTTACGTTTCTGTTCACAAAGAAGTCACTTTTGTGGTTCTTCTCGGCAGTCACCCATTCGTTTTTGACAAGTAAGTGCAATCCCCGCATACGCGAATTTTTACTTCTTCTTCTTCCTGTAAGAAAAAGAGGCCGCTCAACCGGTTCCGACCTACCCCTTCTAGCATAAAAATTCTATTCTCTTAAAAAACGAGAAAAAATTGAAAGGAATCCACTATTAGAGTCAGGCTTAAATGGCACTAAAGAACCGATTGCGCCATAGAATTTAGAATTTGCTGCAGGCATTCAAAAAGTGGGATAGAACCAAGCAAATCTCGATGGATAAAACTTTGCCAAAATAAGTCGGATCAGCAAGACGAAGAAACATGACGAAAACATGACAATCGATTACGGCATGAAAAAGGAATCGCGTGGAAAGCATTATGAATAGAATATTTTTTTTGCCAAATGTTAACCGCGGCACGGGACCGCGGAACAAACAAACAAACCCTAAAATTTGGGGAAAACCCGGGCCAAACAATCTCCCGATGAATAATCGGATGGGCCTCACCAACACTACCCCCCCCCCCCCCCCAAAATCGATAATGAAATACCGGAAACCGGGCGGCAGAGGTGTAAACAGGGCGTTTCCTGCTGTACATCGCATATTTGGATAGGTGCTCGGAAAAAGGAACCAAAAAAACGTGATGTTTTTTGGACATTAAAGCGCACGTCCAGGTAGGCGGAATCATCTTCCTATGGACACCTGCGTCTCTCTATCTCTCTCTCTCTCACTCGCTCTCTCTTGCTCTCTAACTCTCTCTCTCTCTCTCGCTCTCGCTCTCTCTCTCTCTCGCTCTCTCTTGCTCTCTAACTCTCTCTAAAATTTTACAGTTTTTTAGATACATAAATCAAAAAAATTTTAATTTCGAAAATTGGAAAAACATTTTTAATATTTTGATAGGTTCCTAGCAATCAAAAAAGTACTAAAACCGCTATAAAAATGCATTTTATTTTAGCAACGGCAACAGAGATATTGGTGGAAGATCAAAATCTTTTTCTCTGCGTAAAATCCCCCCTGCTATCAGTCCAGTGCCTAACATTTAATGTCGTAATGCATTGAATCGATGAGGAAATGGATTATTTAGAGCCAGAAATTTTTATTGTGCAAGCAAAATTTGTATTTTTAAAATCTGAAACCTTCGTCTTGTTTTAACAGTACAGTTCGCATGAATTTAGTCAGAGGTGCAGCAAAAACGGTGCAGTAAAATCGATAGGTCAAACGGGACAAAGTGGAGAGGGAGGGACGGAGGGCTGTTGTGGGTGTATGCGGACGGAAAAGAAAAGAAGCAAAGGGAGCCGTGCTGCAGAATTGACGGCCAAATTTTGAACCCGCTACAGGCTGGTAGAAAAGGGAGAGAGAGAGAGAGAGAGAGAGAGAGAGAGAGAGAGAGGGAGAGAGAGGCAGAGAGTCAGATTGAAAAGACCGGAGAATAGTACGCGAAATGACAATGGAAAGCCCCTGTAGTCACTCTCTGCCGCCGAGGAATGACCTGCGAGATTGGCAGGGAATAAAGGGACGCATTCCCGGCATTTGGGTCATGTTTTAGGGGCGTTGGCATGTGCTCTTTGTTACGGTAGATGCATAAATACGAAAATTTTATTTCATCGATTTTTGCTGGTGATAAGCGGAAAAAGTCTACAAATTTGAATTTGAAATACCGAAAAGTTTATTTTTGCCGATTTTCGACCAGTACTTATTTTTTGAAGCAGAGAGGCATGGAGAAAATTGAAAAAGCCAAATTGGTTACCCAAAAACGGCTGCGGTGTCAAGCAACGGGAAAATGGCTCGAAAACGCTGGTCATCCTGATGTTGCTCGGTATGAGGAAAGAATGGAATCGATGGTGGTGTTGCTCTGTCTCTCTCTCTCTCTCGCTCTCTCTCTCACTCTTTCTCTCTCCTCCCCCGGAAAGGTCAACGCCTTCAGCACAAAAACCAGTTTCGACCGACTGCTCGACATCCCTCAGCTGCATCATAATTTGTATCACCACCTAGCTGTCATAATTAAGCGGTATAAATGTTTATTAACTGTGCGGTGACTAGAATCGAAATCCATGAAAAGGCTGTCAGTGAAAAAGCTCGCTATCGGTGGGTTTAACGGGACGTGGAAGTGGCCTAGTCTATTAACGGGGGGGTGTACCTTTAGAACCGGCAAAGTGGGCACCAAAAAATAGGCTGGGCATATTTGGTTGTAAAGTGGATTGACCCGTAGTGGAAAGTGCTGAGTGGGAAAGTGCAAATGCTACGAAAACTTTAGGTATCGAATTTTTGGCGGAAAATGGGGTTTAAAAGGAAGGGCTGTTCGGCTAGACTTAGGCTTAGGCCATTGGCTTGGACTTAGACTTGGACTTAGGAGTTTAGACTTAGGCTTAAGCTTAGGCGGCTCAAGCTTGTGCGGCTTAGGCTTAGGCTTGGGCGGCTTAGGCTTGGGATTAGGCTTAGGAATGGTCAGGCTTCGGCTTGGGCTTAAGAGTTTAGGCTTAAGCTTAAGCTTAGCCTTGGGCTTCCGCGGCTTAGGCTTGTACGGCTTAGACTTAGATTTAGGCTTTTGAGCTTAATTTTTGGCTCAGGCTTGGGATTGGGCTTGGGTTGGGCTTAGGCTTCGGCTTAGGCTTGGGCTTAGGAGTTTTTCGTTTTTTTTTATTTTTCGAAAACCGCCGTCTCCTCCAAAATCAACCCTTCTTTCCCCGCTAAATCCGCCAAAAATTCAATACCCCGGGCGGAAAACGTAGAGAGGTAGCTTGAAGCCAAACGTAAAGCACAAAAAACAGCATAAAATGGTTAGCAGGAGCATGAATTTGAGGGCGTATCGTCGCGTAGGTCTTCCTCAGAAAGATAGATTGATCTCGTTCCCATCATTCCACTCTTTATCCCCTCCCATCCATCTTGGATTCGAAGGTAGCCCGACTCGAGACGCGCGTGCACCTCGTGCGCCATCTGAAAATTGTTTATTTAATTTCAAGTAAACCGAAAAACTAATTAATTTTGAATTTGGGACGTTAAAATCGTTCAGAGGAGCTTTAGCGTTATCGGGGGAACCAATTTTTTTTTTGATCTACCCAGAAATCCCTAGCAGCGGAATATTCAGTTTTTTAATAGCGTTTTCAGTAAAATTTAACGATATTTCAAGTGGGAAAAGAATAAACTAACTTAGAAAAAAGTCCATGGTTGAATTTTCATCGTAAATTGGCAACTTTTTTGTCAACTATTTATATTTATTGTACTTGTATTAATATAGCAAGTTACTTAATCGTTTTTATTGAAATTACTGTGTTAAAGTGTGTCAAAAAAAAAGATTAAAAGTCGCAATTTTGGCCAAACATAGCCGGTGTTTTTTGGTAATCATGTTTTTGTTAAAATTTAGCCGTTATTTAAAAGGAAAATTGTCTAACAATTTAAAAATTCGACATTTTGGGCGAAAAATCTATATTTTTTTAGTAAAATTTGTAAAGTGCGTCTTGCGAATGCACCGCAGATTCAAAATTGAACCTCCAAAAAGTGTATTAAGTGCAATTCGGGACGGTAACTCGTTGAAAACCTTCGCCCTCTCGCGCTACTCACCATCAAAAACGCGTCATTCACATTTTCGCCGGTAATCGCCGAGGTCTCGATGTATTTCATCTTGTGGTATTTGGCAAAGTATTCGCCCTCCTCGTGCAGCACCTAAACTCGATTGTCGAACTGATTTTCTTCGATTCTAACCAATTTCAACTATTAACAAGCTCACAAACCTGCCGCTCCTGCTCCCGATCAGCCTTATGGCCGACGAGCTGGAAGACGGACTGTCCCGGGCAGGGTCCACCCACGTTATTCTGCGCCTCGTTCAGCCAGCCCTGAATTTTGATTCCACTACTTAATTTAGTTTTTAAAATTGAATTTTGATTAATAATTCGCATCTCTGAATGTTGCTCTCCCACCTGGATATGCTCAAAGCTCTCGCGGCTCGTCACGTCAAACACCAGCATGATGCCCACCGAATTGCGGTAGTAGGAGCGGGTTATCGACCTGAAATCGGGGAGCATAATGCAAATAATTATGCATCTTGTGCAGCCCTTTTCCCTGATCCCGAATTCATGCTCACAAATTGCAAAATTCGGTGAAAAGATGCTCATTCGAGCTCAGGTCCTGGGATCCACCCGAAATCCGGTCGGCATCTGCTCGCGACACCGATCGGAATTCCAGTAGCGGACGCGACCGGATCCACGTGGAAATCGACCGGATTGCGGGTGGATGCACGGGTGGAAATCGGGTGGATTGCGGGTGGAACGCATGGAAATCGGGTGGAAGCGGGCGGTTTCCACCTGGATTACGGGTGGATACTGATTCCATTAGTGCGTGGATAGCGGCCGGTTTTGCCCCCCGTATTCCCTCGTATTCTTCGTATTACATGCAGATACACGCTTATACTGTACCAAAACATTTATCCACACAAATAACATCAAAATATAAATTATACAACACGAATAGATGCGAGAAATAGAAGATATACAAACGAATAAGTTATAAGATAGTCACAAACATAGTTACAAGTATAATATGAAATATTCTTACACATTCGCGTGACGAAGGGTTTGTGTTGCTCGTCGGGTCGGTGCAATCGTCGTCGCTGCTGTTGGTGTTGTCGTTGCGCGTGGCGGCTTCATGTCGTCCAGTTCCACGGCTTCACGCTGACATCCCTAAAGATAAGAAAAGATAAGAAAGTCGGAAATCGAACTCACATTTATGCGCCATACACAATCCATCACAGCATCCTCTCAGCCTAGGGAGAAGGCTAGAAAAAATAATTAAAAGCCATTCAAAAAAAGCTACCTTTCTGAAGAGGCCCAAGCAGCACTGTCGTAAGTCCACATCCTTCATTTGTACTTCCTAAAAAATATAGACATGATAAAGAACAACAAATCGAACCAAAATCCAAGATCGCGAGGTCGATCACTTCTGGCAATTCATCTGGGAGGTAGATGAAGGCGCTACCTAAACTTAGAAAATTTAATGCAATTGAAAGTACGACCTGCTCCGGAACATACACCGGCACCATACACCGAAGCATCACCGGCCATTCGTTTCGCCATCTAGAAGTCGCACTTTAAGATCAATATTAAAAGGACTAACAATGAACCTTGATAAAATAAATCTATCCTTTATAATTTTAGCACACGTGAAGCCTAAATCTACATAATATTTTTTTTTCTCCTTTCATTATTCATGGACGACTAGAAGGTTAAAAAAATATTGGCCTAAGAATATCGAAACGATGGTGCTTCCGTGTTAGCCGGAGATAAGGCTAATTTTTCAATCTATTTATGGATACTTAACTGCTAATGAAAGATAATATATTTTTATAGTGTTTTTAGGAGGTTTCGATAATTTATGAAAACCTGGATAGAAGCATCATTCTAAAAGGTTATAAAAGCTCTTAAAACTCAGAGGTTTTTGTTAAGGGTCGTCATTTTTTGTACATGTATTGTCGGAACGACTAAGTTTTTGGCACTTTCGTAATTTAAATAAGTTTTTCTATATAAAAAAACGCTGTGGAATGTTTATCAGTTTTGCTAGAGGTGGTTTAAATATCAAATTTTATCTGCCACGCTGCAGCCCCTCGCAAACTTTAGCCTTACTAACCCCGCTCACCCGGAAGCTCCGAAAATACTACCTAAAACGATCCATCTTACTCAGAATAGGTCAAAGAAAACTAAAAACACACCGGAAGCCACGTTTCAAACAAAATAAATCTATAAAAGTTCTTAAAATCCAGAAGTGGTTGTTCAGTTTTGGTCATTTTCATCCTATTCTGGCAGAAAATGAAACATTTTTGTCATTTTCGTAACTTTATTAAGTTCTTCTAGACTAAAAACCCCGTCGAAATGGTTTGTTCGTCTAAATAGAAATGGTTGAACTATAAAATTTTATTTGTCACGATAAACCGCCCTCGACAAGATTAGTCTTGCTCCCCCGCTCACCCAGAAGCTCCGAAAATATTGTCTACAATGACCCACCTTAGTCAGAATAAGTAAAAAAAGATAAAAACACACCAGAAATCACTTTTCGGACCATATACTACTTGTCCTCGTCACGATCATCGAACCAAGCCTTGAGCACTGCCGATTGTCTCTCCGGATGTCGTTCTTGCAGAGAACTGAACAAAAACTACATAAAAAGTGATTAAACTTACAAAATGCGTGATTCCAAACCCAGGTTTACGCTTGGCGCACGTCAAGCTTTGCCTCACGTGGTTTGTGCGGTCGTTGAATTGACGCAGACATGCCGCTACCTAAAAAAACTCGAAATAACGAAGTACCTGCTGGGCATCGGGCGTTGAAAGTGCTTGTAACGCGCGATCGTTCTTGGCTCTTGCTCCCGACGCCGTACCTGCAATTCGAAAAATAAAAAAGTGAAAAATAATTCTGAAAATGGCAGAAAAACCACGGAAAAGCTCGATAGAATGTGTTAAAAGTAGTCCAGGACAAGTTTTGACGTTTATTAACGCAGAATATGAGGAAAACTCACAAAAGTAACCAAGAGTAACGATAAAACACTTTAGAAACAATTTTTCTTTTAAAAATAATTCGAAAAAATGTTTGCCCGCCGCCCGGCGACTTTTTGTAGTTTGTCGTCTATTTTCCACACGAAATCGGGTCGATTTCCAATATCTCTCGGAAAATCAGTTGGAAATCGAGCGGATCCGCCCGGTTTCCACTCGATTTCCATGCGCCGCGACGCGTGCGGCCCGCGTTGCGTCGTGTTTCCACTCGATTCCGTGTGCATCCACCCGAAATCCACCCGATTTCCATGCGTTCCACCCCGAATCCAGGTGGAATCCGATCGGATTTTGGGTGGACCCCAGGACCTGAGAGCGAGAACCTCACGACCTGCGGCTCAAAATTCAAGAAAAAAGTTAGTTCTTTCCCATTATCGGGGGGAGCGAAATTTTTGGTGACTAGATATGCCTAGTAACTTCATCGAAAGTATTTAATAATGTGTTTAATTAAATAAAGCTGTATTTCAAATCGTTGAACCATAAAAACAAATTAAAAGATTTCCAAAAAGTCGAAATGTTGGCCAAAACGGCCGTTTTTTGGTCGAAAACCGACATCTATGTATTTGCCATTCAAAAATTTGTAAAGTTTTCATGTTTAGGGATAGTAAAAAAACAGTTTAGAAACAACTCCGCCATTTATACGTGAAAAATTTGATCCTAGAAAAAGTATGCGATATTGCGAAAGAACCAAAAAAGTTGCGGTAAACTTTCTTTCTTGCACGAGGTTCTCACGAGATTTTTAGAAACGTTTAAAAGGCGATGTCCCAGTCACCCGAACTAGCTTGGTACAGTTTTTTTTGGACCCTGTTTTTTTGACGCCATCTGAAAGAGCGTAGTCGAATTAGTAGGGCTGCATAGTTTTGAAAGTTTAAAATGTTGATTTTCGGTTTTAAATGGCTGTTAAAGTTGCGTACCACGAAAAATTATCTCGAAAAATACTCATTAGAAAAATCTGAAAATTTATGACAATACGAATTTTAGGGTTCTGATCATTTCTCTAATACATTGCAACACTTGAAAATAACTAGAACATGGTTAAATCGTGTACTCAAAAGAGTTTTTTGCAATTTCCAGACGGAGGACAGTCGGCCGCCCGTTGAAACTATCGTAGAAAGATGCACGCGAAAATTCTGCATCGAATGGTGTATCGCTTATCGAGCGGCCACCTGTCCGCATATCTTAAAAATTGCGTTTATTGTGCGAAAAACGACGATTTTTGCGTGTTTTGGGGCGTCTGGGAGGCGAGATAGTGGGGCACGGCGAGAGAGCCCCGACGGACAGAGAGCAGCCCTGGGGGAGCCGCTCGGATGCTGCAAGAGAGCAGCCACCTGGAGCACCCTCGCTGTCTCGACCCTCTGCGCCGCCCGCACTCTCTCGCCTTTCCAGTCCCAGATTCCACGCAAAAATCATCGTTTTTCGCACATAAAACGCAATTTTTAAGTTATGCGGACAGGTGCCCGCTCGATAAGCGATACACCATTCGATGCAGAATTTTTGCGCGCATCTTTTTACGATAGTTTCAACGGGCGGCCGACTGTCCTACGTCTGGAAATCGCAAAAACTCTTTGGAGTACACGTTTTAACCATGTTCTAGTCATTTTCAGGTGTTGCAATGTATTAGAGAAATGATCAGAACCCTAAAATTCGTATTGTCGCAAAATTTCAGATTTTTCTGATGAGTATTTTTCGAGATAATATTTCGTGGTACGCAACGTTAACAGCCATTTAAACCCCGAAAATCGACATTTTAAACTTTCAAAGCTATGCAGCCCTACTAATTTGATTACGCTCTTTCAGATGGCGTCAAAAAAACAGGGTCCAAAAAAACTGTACCAAGCTAGTATCGGGGCCGTTCGGGTGACTCGGAAACCGCCTTTTAAAGTCCTGGAATTACGGCCAATTCGGGCAAAATACAATTTAGCTTCTTAAATTCAGATATGTTGCCAGTCTTGAACGTGGATTTGGAAACAGGCAAAAAATTCTGCAGAAGATAGGATAGGGCGAATTTCGAAATCCCACTAACTCCTAATAAACTCAATTTGAATAGCCTAGATTTCAATTAATTTTCGAATTATTCACCTTCTTGGCCCCCTTGCATTTGCCGACACGGAACCGAAAGGGCTACCCTCAAAAACCTTTCCCACTCCCCCAGCGCCAAGCCCGTTTAGCTCAGTGGTAGAGCGTCTGTCTCGTAAACAGAAGGTCCACGGTTCAATCCCGTGAGTGGGCAGCACTTTTTGCTTTTTGACGAACCAATTGCAAAATCGCTGCCAAAACCCGGGCCCACCTGAACTTTTCCTGGCCGGCCGTGTCCCAGAGCTGCAATTTGACGCGATACCCCGGCTTCAGCTCGACCATCCGCGCATAAAAGTCGACGCCGACGGTGGGGTCGCTGATCTCGGCCACCTTGCCCTCGGTGAAATATTTGAG